CCCACACTCTGCAAACCATTGCGAATCGTGAGGCACCGAGCGATATAAATATCCAAGGCAACCCAACCACAGCGAAAGAGCCGCATCAAGACATCAACTAAGGTGAGCTCCCTAAAAGCAGGCAAGCCGAGTGCATAGTGGGTGTTACAATCAGTCTTCATATTGCACTCATCCGACCTTCACAACGATACCTGCAGAGCGGAGACGTAGGAACCGCAAGCATGCCGTCCACCATCCCGATCGGGGCACTCCGTCCCCTATTTCCTGCGATCTTCAAGAATTCCGAGTACAGTTCGTGAGAGGCTCCCACAAGATCCAAGAAAAAGTCAGGCGGTCATCTAACCGAGCAATCTTTTGACGCTTTCCGCACAGTCTTTGCCGAGAATGCTGGCGGCAGTCAGGTGCTCGGCTCTGTTGTCGATTGCATTAGCGACTACCTTCTGACGACAAACGTGCAGATGGGTTCGTGCCCTTTAATTCGTTGGAAAGCGGCTAGCCTGTTGAACCTCTTGCCCTGAATACGGCCGCAGGCAACTATGCTCTCGCCCAGAGCGCCGGATGGCGCGTTGATCAAGGCTTAGCGGCAGCGGCATTCTACGCCCATGCCTCGAGTACAGACGAGGTCATGGTTGGCGCTTCGGCAACGCAGCTCGCTGAGACACTCTCGCGCATGATCGAGGAGACCGTGATCAAACAGCGGGCAGGCATGTACCAAGGCCAGGAGCCGACGTGGGAGGAAGGTGATGAGATCATCATCAGTCAGGCTGATCATGAAGGTAAGTCGGAATGCGTTTTCGCAGACGAAAGCCTTGATCAGCAGACGCTGACCGCATGACTGCACATTCACAACAGCCAATCGGGGCGCTTGGAAGCGTCTGGCAGCACGCCAGAATCTTGTGATCAAAGAATGGCCCGTCACGAAGATCGCCTCTCAATCCGAGAGGAATTTGTACGCCGTCGAGTTGTCCGTCGCGGCGCTGGCGCCGTTGCTCACGCCACGCACGCGTCTGGTCGCATTCACAGGCTGCTCGAATGTGCTCGGCGGCTTTACCCCCGTGGCAGAGGCGGCAAGACTCGTCAAGGAGCGAACGCAAGGGCGCGCGTACGTCGCGATTGATGCCGTCGCCTTGGCACCGCACCGCCCGGTGCGGCCTGCGAGTGGAGAGTGGAAGGACGTCGACTTTGTGTTGTGGTCGTGGTACAAGGTCTATGGTCCACACACGGGCTCGTTGTACATCGCTCCGCGCGCGTCCGCGCAGCTGCTTTCGAAGCTCAACCACCATTTCCTTCACGGCAGCCAGGGTTCCTTCACGTTCCAGCCGAGCAGCCGGCAGTATGAACTCATTGCAAGCATCAAGGTGGTCGTCGAGTACCTGGCCTGGCTAGGAGAGGGCCCAGCAGCGGGGTCGAAGCCTAAGGAGATCGACTGGGCATCGCTCTTCGGCGATGACGGGGGCAGCGGTGGTCGCAAGCAGGTACAGCAGTCGCTGCACACCGCATTCGCGCTGGTCGCTGCACACGAAGAATCGTTACTGCACATCCTCATCGGCTTCCTTACGAGCGAAAAAATGCGTTCACGCGGCGTGCGCATTGTCGGTAGCGAGAGTGCGAAAGCGCAGAACCGCGCGCCGACGGTCTCATTCGTCATAGCTGCATCTGGTGGCAAGCCTGCGGTTCGGAGCGCCGAGCTGTGTGCTGCTGTGAACAAGAAGGGCAAGTTCGGTGCGCAGCTGGGGCACATGTATGCGTACGCACTCGTGGACGCGCTCGGCTTGACCGTGGACGACGGCGTGGTGCGGGTGAGCCTGGTGCACTACAACACTGTCGAGGAGGCGAAGGAGGTGTGCAAGGAGATCGAAGAGGCTATCGACAGCTTTGCCTGATCGCGCCAACAAGTGAGAGAACAGCGCAAAACACTACTCTTGATGGAACGCTCGAAATCCGATGAAGGCACTCTGGACTATGGGGTAGCAATGCAATTAGCACAATGGGGTTACGATCCGCTTTCCTTTCGCTGCCCCCCCCCCCCCGGCCCCTTGCGTTTCTGTACTCGCAGCCGTTCTATCATTCACACATGAATGGGGCGAAAGGGCAAGCCCCAAAACCCTTTTGGTCGCATGTCAATCTGGCTGTCAGCCTGAGGCACTGCCCGTCGAAGTTGGAAGCCTCGCATCTGATGAGGAACAGATGGACACGAAGTCTGAGTACTCATGGCGAGACAGCGGATGACCATCGAGTGTCCTCCTCTCTTTGACAGCATCATGGACTTTCGTTTGGGGGAGACGATAGACGAGCCCACGCCATACTCAGCACAGGTAGAGTTGATGGATGCGCAAGTCGCAGCGGCACTGCGCGCTGGCGCAATTAAAAAGTCGTTCCTGAGCTCCGAAGTGCGCTAAGAGCGTCGATCACATGGCTAACACATGGCTGGCTGGCAAATGACAATGGACGGACCCAGCGCCTGGCTCGTGACGTGCGAGAGAACCCATGTGGAAACAAACGCAAACAACCAGATGGAATAGAGCAATAGTTTATCTTCTCACATGCAATTCTCCCACGACATGTTGCATACAAGTCCTCTCCCTCCTCCGCCACACGCGCATCACGGCACAGCGCCTGTTTGTTTATTTTTACAAGGGACACGACAGATCATTTAATTAAACACGGTATGTCTCGCTCCTTTTCTGGCTGCGGACGTACATACTTATGTACTGGCTGCGCTGCTGCAGGCCCCCTGCGCATGTGATGTTGGCCGAGCTAGGTGGCATAGGCACTAACAGCATATCGCAGTGTTCGGGCCCCAAAATTCAACTTCGGCACTGCGCTGTGCGCTGGATGGTTCCTCTCAACCCTGTTCCACATGACGTTCTTCAATGGCGAGATGGCGGGCTGCGATGAATAGGCGGTCACCCCTTCCCTTCGAGGAGGCCTCCTCGCTGCGTGCGACGGTGATCGACGAGCTGCGAGACGCGAAAGACGAGGCTATGTGACGAGGGTAACCAAAGCTAGCAAGTATTTTATGAGATGCATGTACAAAAGTCAACGGCTTCATTGCCGATTCCAATTTCACAACCCTCGCTCTCGTAGTCTTCGTCGTCACCGCTACCACCACGATCATCGCTCTGCCCTCCCCATTCGCTCCCCCTGCTCCTTCCTGCGATCCTCCAAGCCCGGCCGTGCTTGTTTCTCTCGTCTGCTCTACCCCTTCCGCCTCACCGCTCGTCACCTTTGACACCCTCCCTCATCATCCAGCTCTCGCCGTCATAAGAGTCAGGCCCGATGAAAATGCGGTGCAAGTCCCTCCTCCTTCTAGGCGTCATGTTCGCCAGCGGGGCACTCGCCACGCCGTTCCCCATGATTCTCAAGGAGACCGTGAAGGTGCCTGCCAGATGGGTCAAGCGTGCCGATCTGGCACCTGCTGCGGACAGCAAGGTCTCATGCGCATCGGCCTCACTCGTCGCGGCATCCACGATCTTGAAGCGCGCCTGGAGCAGATCTCCGACCCGAAACACGTTGATTACGGCAAGTGGCTCTCCAAGGACGATGTCGACGCTTTCCTCGCTCCCTCTGTCGAGTCGAAGCGCGCGGTCGAAGATTGGCTGGCATCCCACGGAATCAATGTCGACCAAATCAGCAAGCGCAGCGAGCCGGGCGACTACGTCGCCTTCGAAACCACCTACGCCAAGGCCCGTGCCATGCTCGGCAACGCAGACTTTGCGACGTATCAGCACGCGCAGACGCACGAGCGTATCGTCCGCACGACCGCATACAGTTTGCCACGCGAGGTGCACGAGCATATCGCCATCATCCACCCCTCCACCAACTTTGGAAGCGGCCTCAAGGGGCAAAGCGCACCGTACAAGGACCTTGGATACGTCACGCTCGAGTCTAGCGCTGGCGGCAGCGCCGGCAACATCCAGCCTCTGACGGCTGGAACGCCGATGGGCAACGCGGCGCCGGCGCCCAAGGGCTCTGAGAAAGGCAAGGGCTCTGCCCAGTCCGGCCAGACGCAGGTACCGCCCGACTGCATTCTGACGTACACCACGCGCGCTTGCATCCAAGAGCTCTACCAGACGCCCAACGCCGCCATCTAAGGTCCGCGGAGCGGCAACTTCATGGGCATCGCGGGCTATCTGGAAGAGTATCCAAACTAGGACGATTACTACTTTTAGGGTGCGTTTGCGGCGTTTACAGCTGCATGCATCCTATACCTGCTGATCATTTCCCTCGCTGCGGTGCTTTCTTCCACCACTGCGCCTACAGAAAAACCCCAAGTCCCGCAGGCGTACGCTGATGGCTACAAGTTCAGCATCGAGGAGATCAACGGCGGTCTCAACAACCAGAGCATTCAAGCGGCCGGTGGCGAGGCCAACTTGGACGTACAAGCTGCCCTGCTGAGCTACCCGATTCCCACGACGTACTACTCGACGGGTGGCCGTGGCTCGTACATCACTGATCCCTCGACGCCGACAAACACGAAAGAGCCGTACGCTGCGCTGTTCGAGACGCTGCTCACATACCCAGACGACAAGCTTCCATCCGTGATCAGCAACAGCTACGACGATGTCGAGGACAGCGTCGCGCTGAGCTACGCTAAACGTGTCTGCCAGGATGTCCTCGCTCTCACCAGCCGTGGCATCACCGTCGTTTTTTCCTCCGGCGACAGCGGCATGGGAGGCGACGGCAAGTGCACCATCTCCGGCAAGCCGGCTTTTCTCCCCAACTTCCCTTCGGTGAGTCGAAAAATACTTGTGCAGTCGGAACCACCGCTTTGCTTACACGCGAATATCTTCCTACCCTCTCGAAGCCATGCCCGTACGGACTGTCTGTAGGCGCCACCCAAAGATACGCGCCGCAGGAGGAGGCAGTCGATTCAGACGTTGCTGGCTTCTACTCTGGAGGCGGCTTCTCGAACTACTTTGCTCAGCCGAGCTACCAAGCCAAGGCGGCTAATGCATATATCAAGGGCCTCGACAGTGGCCTCACGCCGTACTACAACGCCAACGGCCGCGGCTACCCGGACGTCGCCGCGCAGGGCTCCCGCTGCCTTGTGCGCCTGAAAGGCGCCTACCGGGCCATCGGCGGCACGTCGGCCTCGGCGCCGACTTTCTCGAGCGTCATTGCGCTGCTCAACGACGCTCGGCGCGCCCAGGGCCTTCCGAACCTCGGTTTCATGAATCCGCTCCTGTACTAGCTCGGCGGCGCACAGGGTCTCAACGACGTCACGAGTGGCGCTGCGAAAGGCTGCAAAGAGCTCCCGTCGCCCGCTAACGGCGGCTTCCCGGCTGCGAAAGGCTGGGACGCAGTCACTGGCCTTGGCACGCCAGATTTCCTCCACTCGCCAAGCAGGTCGGCGCCAGCATCTAAAGCATCGGAATCAAGAAACAGCGCCGTCTCGACCCCATTTTTCTCCCTTTGCGCGCAATTAGCCTGTAGGTCACGTGTGGGCGCCATCTTCCCTCAAGGAAAACGGGCCCCCGGACCGCACTGCCATCTCCCTGTATGTAATTCGCCTAATCCTGGCGCTATGGATGAACAGGATAGCTGCTTCCTGTGCTGGCGAATACTAAGTAAGTCGACGCTCATTGGTTGTAACTGCTGTGTACCAACCACAATGTTGCTCTTGCTCATCTCTTTGAGGGGAAAGATGCAGGAACAACCTTTGTGAAAGGTTGTCCCGAATTTGTGATGCTCTTCTCCCGCCGCCAACTGTACTTTTTTTGGCGACAGTCAACTTTGTAATCGGGTATGTTTCCTACCCCTTTGTTGGCTGTACGGATGTACCGACACGGACAGGCTGCTAGCCCTGCATTTCAATTTCCAGTGCTCATATCTTGCGCCTTGGGAGAGCGAGACCAATATGGCCTCAGTAAGCGAGCAGGCGGCGCACGGCGCCGCATCGACGTCCACCCTCTCCACCGAGCAACTCGAACTCAATCTCGCGCTGCTGGTGACCTGTCAATCTCCCGACCATCCTCGTGCCCTGCAGTCAGTCAAAGAGCTGATCGAGCGAGGTGCCGATGCTTGGTACGAAGACTCAGAACTCGGGTGGAGCAGCCTGCACTATGCTGCAGAGAGCGATAATGCTGAGCTTTGCTCATACTTGCTCTCGCACGGTGCCATCTGGAATGCTGGTATGTCTCATTGGGCGCTCCAACCTTCGCTGGCCGATTTCTAATACCCTCTCATCTCATGCAACTACACGACTTGGATCACATCGTACGCAGTCGATCACTTGGGCTTCGCAGCCGCCGAAGTCGCTTTCAGCCTGAACCATGATGCATGCTACCGGATCATCTTCGAAGGTGCGTTCGTGCACCATGCGCAGTCACACCTAGGCCTTCTTTTCTTACCTGGCTCTCCCCATGAGTATAGAAGGCGTGAGACAGACTGTCATTCTGAACCTGCTTGGTCGCCAAGCCGAGGACGAAGATGAAGCCGCAGATGCAGATGCAGAAGACGAACAGCCGCAAGCAGACGCAGAGGCTGACCATCCTGGCGGTACAGCCGTGGCGATTGCGTCGGACGAGGGCGGCTGTGCTCACATGGTTCTCCAACCAGAGCATGCAGACCTGGCGAACGACAATGACAAATTCCTCAAGAGCAAGTTGAGATTCATACCCAGCGCCGACGATCCGGAAGTGGTCGAGAGGTGCCTGGACGAAGATGGAAACATGGTCATGGCCGCTTGGGAGACGTGAGTGTACACAGCAGGCATGCAATACAGGCCAGAGAGGCCTGGGATTCATGCTGACTCCGTACCCTGTTACTTCCCACTGTGCAGTGATATCATGGAACGCACAACGCGATTGCTGTGTGAAGGCCAGCCGGAAGGATTTTCCATCCTGAATGTCGGCTTTGGTCTGGGGATTGTACGTGACTTGTACGACCTACACATGCTTCGTGTGGGTGTGCTAATCGAAGCTCCCTTCCATTCTCGCGCGCACGCTCTGCCACGCCGCCCACACAGGTGGACCGCCTGTTTCAAACATATAAACCCGGACGACATGTGATTGTCGAAGCGCACCCAGATGCGCTGGCGCTGATGCGCTCGCAAGGCTGGGACAAGAAACCAGGTGTGGAGATTTTCGGATGCAAATGGGAGGATGCGATCAACGACGTGCAGCTTGGCAGCTTTGACGCCGTCTTCTGGGATACATTCAGCCAAGACTATGCGGAACAGAGGGTCTTCTTTGACGAGCTACCAAATTTGCTCTCTGGCCCACAGGCGCGCTTTTCCTTTTGTGAGCTGGCTGGCGAACGCACCCGAGCCTTCCATCGCGTGATCAAGGCCCATTTACTGACGCCCTTCGCCTCGCTGCCTCTCCCTGCGTGTGCTGCTCTGCGCTCGCCATCGTGCGGCAGTCCATGGCCTAGCGGGCACGAACGCGTTTTTCTATGACGTGCTCACGCGCGTCGCGGAGATCGACCTACGCGACATTGGCCTCGAGACGACGTGGTTCGAGTTGCAGCCGCAACTGAAGGAGGAAGTCTGGGAAGGGGTGAAGCGAAAATACTGGAGCCTGGACACGTATCGATTGCCGCTGTCTACGATGGCTCTGTGAAATTGACAATGCCTTCGTTCGTAGGACAGCATCCCCGTGTTCTTAGCCTGACGAGAGCTACTTCCATGGAGCCTTGAGGCGCTGGTTTCGTGCAAGGTCCCATTTCGAGCACGTCAATGAGGTCATGCAGCGGAAGACTGGCCAGCTTGCGCATTGTCAGGAATCCGCTGGAAGGCGCTGGCGCATGCCGAAGGCAGGGGCATGTGAGGTAGCACTCCGGGCCCGCTCGAAAGTAGCGCCTCCAGGGAAGGCTCTCTTTCGTTGCGGTCTTCCGGATCGGGGCTGCGGTCAGTGCCACGCGGGTGGGCCAGGCCACATTTGTGAATGTTGTGCATGGGCTGGTAGAAGGTGCTGGATGCGTGCGAAAATTAGGCGACCCGCCATCACCTGTAGGCCGAGTCAGCATGGAATTGCCCTTGGGCGCGAGAGTAGATGTGCTACTCCGCGATGACATGCGTATGTGCATACGCATACAATGGGCGGGCGGCCCGCACAGGCGATGTCCATGGCCAACCGTGTGGACCCGTGATTTCGCCAGAGCGGCAGCGCTGTGAAGGTAGGGGTGCAAGGCTGCAGCACCCGTGGCCATTTTTTCAAAGGCGGGGGTGCGTGCGCGCTCGGACGCTGACCCACTGCTCACTCGTCCCGCCAGGCGACAGTGCCCTTCGACCAGCGTTCGGCCAGCAACGCACGGCGATGGTAGCGGGTCCTGAGCTCTCGGAACTTGCGCACAAACTGCGTGTCTGGGTCACTGGCGCGCGCAATGCCGCTGGCGCCTGGTGTCATGGCGGACGGGTTCGGTGAGGACGAGATGGGGAGTGAGCCCGGTTCGTCAGGTGTGACGAAGCCGCTGGCGAGCGAGGGGAGGTTCTCGACATATGCATTCGCGAGTGCTTCCGAGGCGTCGTGCAGCTTGGAGGTTCCCTGCGTCAGCTGCGCGTGTAGTGAGGCGGGGGAAAAGCGCTGAGAGGGATATGAGTTCGAGACAGGGAATGGTGCAAAGGGGGAATATGTTAGCTCTCCGTGTACGAGAAGAGGCGCAGCAGAAACGCACCTTGTACATCTCTTCGAGGGTAGCATTGAGCGGTAGCCACTGTGCATCGAGGGCCTGCGCTTGTTGAAAGCACTGCTGCGTCTCGCGTCGCAGCGCTTCCAGACGCGGCTTCAGCTCGGCATTTCGGCCTAAACAGAGGGGGAGGGAAGGCGTGAAGTCGAGCAGGAGAAGTGAGTGCCGATCCCGGCGGATGGGGAAAAGGAGAAACCCATGCTGGCACAGGGAAAGGGCAGCGGACACTCACGAGCCTTGTCCTCGATGCTCTCTAGCAGTGCATCGTGCTCTGCGATCGTGCGCTGCACACTTGGCAGCGTATGCACAAAAGCTTCAAAGTAGGCGTTCTGCTGCTGCAGCGGCGGCGGCGGCGCGAGCGGGTCTGCCTGAGCCGAGATAGCTGCATCTACAGCAGCAGCACCGAGATGATCGCGCTCGTTTGAATCGCCATACAGCAGCTGCTCGAGGTCTGCCCGTGGGAGGTGAGCGGTGGGGGGAAAGTCGCGCGTGAGCGGCGTGTCGAGCGGGACCGCCGTCGACGCCGACTGCGCGGCCATCGCTGCTTGTTGGCCTTGGACCTTCCTCGCTCTTTCTCACACTCTTGCACTCTCTGTCTGTGCAGAGAGTCATCCGGAGGGCGAGATGTATGCCTGCCTCTGTGCCCTCGCCAGTCCAAGTGGGACGGTCAGTACAAGTGTAGCCAGACGGGATGTGGGGAGGGTGGGATGGGTGGGGATGGGCACGTTCGTTCCGCTCTGTCTGGAACCCTCCCCCTTGCTCCTTTCTCTGCTCTCTCGCTCTATAAGGCTGGGGTGGCGGGCAACAAGGCTGTGGTGCCTCGGATCAACATCAACCCTCTCTCCTCTCTGCGACGCGCGCTTTGCTGCCGCACGCCACACTGGCACGGGTCCATCAGACAGGGGAGAAGCATCGGTGAAGAGAAGAGAGAGGCTGGACGGACCCCCCCATCCCCGGGATGAAACATGATCGAGTGAACGTCGAGAGCACCTCCTCACGACTGCCTGGTCCAGACAGCCTCTGCCCCACTTGATCCTTCCCTGGGTCAAAAACACCACCAGCCGTGGTCTCTGCCATTCATTTCAACCACGAACTCGCCACTGCGAGTTCGCCATATCCAGCTCATCCTCTCTCCGATCCAGCATCACATAGACAAGAAGTAGTAGCCTCGTAGCACCAGGCACTTGCAATCGCAACTACACTGATACCTCCACCGACTCTGGCTTGGGCAGAGTCGCATCAGCAGCAGCTTCTGTATCCAGTTTCGAGGGCACGACACGCGAGAGGGACAGCGTAACTGCCTTCTCGTCCCGCACTACCCATCGGCCCCTCCTTTCTTTGGCCGGACGTGGACAAATGTTCCGCAAGAAGAACAAGCAACAGGACTCAGCCGCGCCCACCAGCCCACTTCCCGCCGGCATAGCCAACGGCCAAGCACCAGCAGCCGACCAGCAGCAGCAGCAACAACAACAACAGGGCCTTCTCGGTAAACTCGGAGGAGGCAACCGTCCCAAAGTCGGTCGCAGGCTGTCGCAGGAGCTGGGCAAGGAGCCAAAGTTCAGCAAGAAGGACCTCAAGATGATGGCTGAGAAGGATCCGCTCAGCGGCAGGCCGGGCCATCTCGATCCTGGCCAACAGCATGTGCTGAAGAAGTTCAAGACGGCGGTGAGTCCTGAGCGCGTTTGCGAGAGAAAGAGAGGAAGCGGGTTGGTGCACCGAGCATAGTCCTGACATTGGTGCAATTGTTGCGGCTCGATGATCCCAGATCGAGGAGCAGGGGCTCTACAATCCAGAGCGCCACGATGAGGCATGCAGTGAGTCGCGCGTACACGCTGCCCATGCGACTCCTCCTTCCCGTTGCGTGCACACCGGGGCTGACCCGTCCCGGCTTCGCCCTGCGAAACAGTGTGCCGCTTCCTTCGCGCACGAAAGTGGGACTTAGAAGCGTCGTTAGCAATGTTTGAGGAGGCGGAAAAGTGGCGAAAAGAGTTCAAAGTGGACGAGCTGTACGACACATTTGAATACCCAGAGAAGCAGGAGGTGGACAAGTACTATCCGCAGTACTACCACAAGACCGACAAGGATGGACGCCCGGTCTACGTCGAGCAGCTCGGCAAACTCGACCTGAAGGCGCTGTACCAGGTGTGAGTGTGGTCTTGCATCGCTCCCTTCTCTTCCGGCCCTCGCACTGATGGACGACTCGGTGCATCTTCGCTCACCCGCCCTTTTTTTCAACGCCGCGCAGAACAACGCCCGAGCGCCAGATCCAAAAGCTGGTGGTCGAGTATGAAAAGTTCCAGCGCGAGCGCCTGCCCGTCTGCTCAGCCGACCGGGGCGAGCTGATCGAGACGAGCTGCACGATCATGGACTTGAAGAATGTCGGCATCAGCGCGTTCTGGAAGGTATCGACGTACGTCCAGCAGGCTAGCAATATCGGCCAGCACTACTATCCTGAGACGATGGGTGCGTGAGATGCGCGCGTGTATGTGCCAGCGCATGTTCCTAGAGAATCGCCCTGCTGATGTTATGCATTTCTTCTTCATCTTTCCCTCACCCATCACCCTCGCATTGCAGGCAAATTTTACATTGTGGTCCGTCACATGTCATATGCCCGACTTCGCGTCGCGGCCCGCTGCATGCCCATTTTGACAAGTCCCGCTAACATGAGCGTCTTGCTTCCTGGTTGGCCTACTTTAGAACGCACCGTACATCTTCACGACCGTCTGGTCAGTCGTCAAAGGCTGGCTTGACCCCGTCACAGTGGAGAAGATCAAGATCCTCGGCAGCGGATTCGAGAAGGAGCTGATGGAGCAGGTGAGTCTACAACGTACGAAAGAAAGAGGTTCGCACCGGCTTTGTTCCTTTCATCGCTGAGTTCGCCCCACGCTGTGCGTTCCGCCGCGCCGCTGCGCCGCAGATCCCGCCAGAGAACCTGCCATCATCGCTGGGCGGCAAGTGCAACTGCCCGGGTGGCTGCTCGCTCTCGAATGCCGGCCCGTGGAACACGGAGAAGGGCAAGGAGATCATCGAGCAGGTACGCAGGGAGGAGGCGAGCAAGAAGGCCACGCATGAGCGCCAGAAGAGCGAGAAGGCCGGCGCCGCTGCGCTGCCTTCGAATGCGGACGCCGCGTCGCCGACGGCGGCGGCGGCGTGAGGACGTGGGGCGCAGGCGTGCTTGCGTGCTTGCTCGTGAGCAGGCCAAGGCAAGGCAAGATGCAAGAGGTATAAGAAGGGAAAGAAGGGACTGGAGAGCGCGCAGCGTCTCAGGCGCACTATGTTCCTTCCGCGCTGTGCGCCCAGCCGGCCCCTCCCAGTCTGTCTCCCCGTTTATGGCACTCTTCATAGCGAGGCCCACAGCTCCAGGACGCCCACGCCCACGCTCGCTTCCCCGGCCCCCACTCCCGTCTTCGGCTTGTGCATGCGGGTCCAGACCCAGACTGAGTAATCTTGTAGATACATGCGTACGTACATCCCTGTTCCATATTCCTTCCTTCGGTGCCGTCCTTTCTGCCGCAGCAGCGTTCGTCCCCCCAGCTTGATGAGATGCGGCGTCGGGCCCTGGAGGGTCTTTACCCCATGCGGGATGAAGCAGTGGAGGCGCGTCACGGTCACGTCGCTCATCACGCATGGCATGCGTCAATTCGTGAGCACATTCATCATCAATCATTCATGCGAAGCCGGTGGTCGCGACGTGTTGATACATTCAGAGCCGTCGGCAGAATTTGACGCCTTGGCCTGGCTCTGGTTTCACGGTGCCTCGTATTTCATCGTTCACCGTTCATGGTTCGTAGCTCATCAGGTATTCTTGAGCTTCATTCAGGCGCATGGACTAGCAATTACACATGCGTAATGTAGCCGTGTACAACATGCTCGGTGCTCACCTGCTACTCGACGAAACCAGGCCTTCCGCTTGTCGAAGGTCTTCGCCACGTTCATCATTGTTTCGAAGGAAGGCTTTGACTGGTGTGTTAGACGGTATACCCACTGTCTGCCCACTCGCCAAACTGGAGGTCCCCGACCGCCCTGTTCCCTCCCCATAAACCAGCCCCCGTTGCCTCTAGGCAGGCTCTTGCTTGCTTGCCGAGACTTGAGTGTCGACAACACGTGTCGAAGTGAAGAGCCCACTGGCTTCGACTAGAAAGCACCATGGCGGCTGCTGAAAGCCCGCTACATATGTAGGAGCGTGAACGCCAATTGGAGAATACGGATGGGCTAGGGATATATTATATATAACTTTCCAAGCGGACCGGTGGGACTGAGTTCCTCTGCGCACTGCTGCAGGCCCTGAAGCCCATCGGCCACCGCTGCATGCGCATTGGGGCAGCAGCCTCTGTGTCCAGTCGGCAGCGGCCAGCAGCCCTCTGATCGGACTCAATTCACAGACGCCCTGCGCGCTGCGGGTTTCGGCTGTCCGGCAGTGCAGTGACCGGGGCCTCGGGCACTGAGATTTGCTTTGCCCGAGCCTCCTCGCCAGCCAAGTTTGTTGCGGTCTAGTGGCATTAGGGCGCTTGTGCACAGGCCACCCGCCCTCTCTTCTTTCCCACACACGGGGGTCATGAGTCGGTGCATCTTCACCACTCAATTTATCACACCCATCGTTGACCACCTCTCTCTCCTCTCCGGATCACCCCACGCCGGATGCCATCTCCCATCTTTTCTTGCCACTACTACCACCATCTAGATCGTCCATTCGTGCGACCCGTACAAAAGTCTGTGGAACGAGCCATCAAGCCCGATTTCTCTGCATCTGCCGAACAACGCAAACACCTCCATATCACCCACTCATCCTCATTCACCATGGCCGCAGCAGCAGCCCAGGCCGCCGGGCTGACGTACACCCCCACAGACGAGATCCCACAGGTACGTCTGTACATTCGCGATGGCCACCTCTATTCTTGCTCACCCCCTTTGCGAGGGAATTCGCTAACCACATACGCGCACCACCCTGGCAGATCGTCTCGAACCTCCGCAAAAGCTTCCTCTCCCTCAAGACGTACGACCTCGAATACCGCAAAAACCAGCTCAAGCAGCTCGCCTTCTGCATTCAGGACAATGCAGAGGCCATCTGCGAGGCCATCAAGAAGGACCTTGGCCGAAGCGACTGGGAGTCGACCTTTGCCGAGGTGACAACCACCGTCAACGAATGCATCGAATATGTGCACAACCTCGACAAGTGGGCCAAGGATGAGAAACCCTGGAGCGGCATCGCATGGGCCTCGCACGGCACCATCATCCGCAAGCAGCCCAAGGGTACCGTACTTATTATTGGCGCTTGGAACTACCCGGTCACAGTCACAGTCGGCCCATTCATCGCAGCCATCGCTGCTGGCAACACTGTCATCCTCAAGCCTTCTGAGGTCTCAGCACACACCGCCCGGCTCCTGGGCGAGATCATCCCCAAGTATCTCGACCCGGCTTCGTACGTGGTCATCAACGGCGCCATCTCCGAGACCACCTTGCTGCTTGACCAGCGCTTCGAGCACATCTTCTTCACCGGTAACGGCACCGTCGGACGCGTCGTCCAGGAGAAGGCTGCCAAGTGGCTTTGCCCTGTCTCGCTTGAGCTCGGTGGCAAGTCGCCCGTCGTTGTCGACGATTCGGCCGATCTCAAGATTGCCGCACACCGCATCCTTTGGGGAAAGCTGCTCAACGCCGGCCAGACGTGTATTGCGCCCGACTACGTCATTTGCAAGAAGTCCGTGCAGGACAAGCTGATTGCCGAGATGAAAACCGTTTTCAACGAGTTCTACCCCGAGGGCCCTGCCAAGAGCAAGGACCTTGGTCGCATCATCAACGAGGGCCACCACGCTCGCCTCACGAGCGTCCTCGACGGCACCAAGGGTGACGTCGTGATCGGCGGCGACAATGATGTGTCGACCAAGTACCTTGCCCCCACGGTTATCGCCAATGTAACCGGAGACGACTCGGTCATGCAGGGCGAGCTGTTCGGCCCGATCTTACCGATCGTCCCTGTCAAGGATCTGGACGAGGCGATCACCTTCATCAACAGCCGTGACCAGCCGCTGGCGCTGTATGCGTTCGGCAACAGCAGCTCCGTCAAGAAGGTCGTCGACAGTACGCGCTCTGGCGGCGCCGTTATCGGCGACACGATCCTGCATTGCGCCATCAGCCAGCTGCCATTTGGCGGCACTGGCCCCTCGGGACACGGCTCGTACCACGGTAAGGCCGGGTTCGACTGCTTCACGCACCAGCGCGCCGTGCTCCTCGCGCCGCACACTGGCGTCGTGGGCAGGACGATCGAGAAGGTGATGAGCTTCCGCTACCCGCCGTACACGACCGCTAACTTGAACAAGTACAAGTTGCTTATGGGTAATCGTCTGCCCTTCTCCAAGCCGTCGAGTCCGCACGCGAGCAAGACAAAGGTGTGTTTTTGATGCGATGCCATCCTTGCTTCCTCTATGCCTCTCGTCCTCTCCTCCCCCTTTCCTTTCGCTCCTGTCCATTCTTTCCTTCCCGCTGTTTCCTTCCACCGCATTGATCGTTGTGATTTCGAGACGGGGCTGAATGCTTACGCTCGATCGCTTCGGTCCTTCCTTTTTTCCTCCTTCGCTCTGCTGCGCACACTGCTTTCGAATCGAAAATTCGCTCGACTGATTTTGCCCCGCGAACCATTGCTCTTCCCATCCTTGCCCGTTCCTTCATCTCCCGGTCGCAATGTTGATCATACGCCCCTTAGCCGGGTTTCTCTACAGGTCGCCTAATCGGCCGACGCGTCGCGCTCATCGCCGCGATCCTCGCTCTCGTCCTCGGCGCTCGCCGGCAGGGCCTTATCAAGGCTTTCTGAGCTAGTGACAATGCTGCCCTCGGAAATCTTATTGCGCGACTTTCATATAGATGTCATTGAGTTCCACATCACGAGGGTCAGGTGTTAAAGTGGACATTACCGGGAGGAGGGAAAGGCGCAAGGATGGAGAGATGGAACGGTGCAGGTCTCATGCGCGCGAAAACCAGCTTGTGTGATGGCGAAAGGAGTCTCTTTCCCTGTGCAACAAGTTTATCGAGTGACATAGCGAGGATCGAAAAAGCAGGCGAATAAAGCGAGAAGACGGCTAACGAGAAGGCAACAAGAAAATGGCCAAAGAAACAACCCGCAAAAAAGTCGATTGACCGACTCGACGTACACTCGCTTATTAGCTTTGCGTTGTTGCCTCGCCCATCTATCAACCGGCAAAAGATCCAGCAAAGGGAGAAAAAGAGAATCGCTCATCTATTCGATCAAATATGCCTGCGAATTTCTCATTCGATACCATCATTCCACACAGTAACACCCGCGCTGCGCGAGGTTCATATTCTGTCGTTGCAAAAGTCTCGTCGAATGTTTTCTTCCACTTTCCCCCGAGCTTGTCCTCGCATTTTGTATTATTACACTTTGAAACGCACTTGTTGACTTGCTTCTAGTCGGAAGTGATGACCCGGCAAGCCCGAACATACGAGACCATCCTTGGAGGGCATGTCTTTTGAGGTGCGAACAAAATTTGATAAATTACGGCATTCGCTGCCTCAACAGCCCACCTTTCGCCAAGCACACGAGTGTACATCCTCTGGTGCTTTCGACAAGGCAATGGTTTACGTTGACGTGCACTGGCCCACCGCACGGGGAACTTGCACGATGATTGCAACGATTACAAACACGGCCGAGGAGACGCATCCGCCGGATATAGTGGCTTTAGTCAAAGGCATCCAGGTTGATGATTGCTTTGTCGAATAATTGAAATAACAGAGGAAGCCCATTCGAAAGGACTTCCTAGTCATGACTTGGACCGTCACTTACGTTCACACCGGTCGCTTTTTTCTCACGTCGCGATGCCATCTGACGGTCGTGTCACTTTCTAACATGTGTAATTCGTACACAACCCTGATGCCTCACTTTCTTCCATCTGGTCACTGAGGATTTCCACGAAGCACAGAGTGCGACGCCGATGGATTAGCTAATCTGCACGCCGGAGTGGTGTTTGGACGAGAGATGCAAATGGCGCCGAACGCAAACGCTCTCGATTCTTCTGGCTTGCGAATTGCCGGACGACCTTCAAGGAATATTGGCTCTAAGCATCGGAAGACAAGGCCTTGCCATGGCCGCGAAGTGACGAGCGACACATGAGTTGGATCCAAAAGTGTCCAGCTCTCTTGCTCAGACGTGATAATTCAGATTGGGCTCGATGCTCCATTCACCCTAAGAAGTTGACTACAAAAAAGTGGAGAATGACAGAGCTGAATAGAAAGTCTCCGAAGGCGCTGCAGAGATCGAAGTGCGCGTGCGATACGGAACATTGGGGTTCTTCAGTCAGTTGCACAGTCTCATGGTAAGCTGTCTCGAGCGCGACGGTCTCTGCCGTCCAGCAGCAGGCAGCGAACGAGCAAGTCGACCAGCTTACTTACCGTTCTGGTGATATCTTTGTGAATGTCTTCCCATTCTCTGGGTTCGCCTGTATCCGTAATGAGGCGGCCAAGACGAATTGCCCAACAGTCGATGCGAACCTGGGCACCACAACCGTGTAAATCAGTCTCTTCTCTTCTCAGCTCGTTTCATCACGGTCCATTTACTGGCCCGCAGGGCAGCGTAAAGCAAAGTGCACGCACCCTGCGATGAAGCTGTTGAATGGGAAGCTGGTGACGAGAATTGCATACGCGAACTGCATGACGCCCGAAAGAATGAGGAATACAAGGAAGGCGTCGATCATCTTGAGCTTCAGCGGCGTGTCTTGCGAATATGCCTCGAGCAGCGTCTGCAGTGGATTTTGCTTGTTGCTCGAGCTGTTTCGCAATTTGACCACAACGTGCGGCAAGGACGACACGAAAAATGGGGTGTCGCACCGGGTACGACGGATCAAAGAGAGATAGCAAATGGTATTCGTCAGCAATGCTGCAGGCTTCAGCGACGCCTTGAAATCTGAACGCACGAGCTAGTTCGTGGCGGTGCTTTTGAAGACATCGTGCTATGTCACCGCTATCCAGATCCAGTACTTGAAGCGGTGACCAAATTGTACAGAATATGAGCATACTTCTCAGAACTGAGCATCTTCGTTGCGTCCTTGCGAAAAGACGGAACTCACAAGACACGATGAGAGTGTGGTTTGACTAGCTGTTGCGCGACGATGCTGTCGTGGCGGTTGAGTCTGCGCTTCTACAGCAGCGAGGCTTTTCACCTTTCAGTGCGTTGCTATGGAGAGATCTCTTACTCTACGAAATATGGGCCACCAACATGGCGAGAGCGGCGTTCAGAAGGGTAGCATATGAATCAATGCTATGCTTCAAAGGCGATTGATGCTCAGCGCAGGCACACTGCTTGACTCGGCTGTAATCGAGCGCTTGGTGGCCCCAACGGAAAGGGGAATTTGGGCCTCTTGTTGCGTTTTACAACAACGCTTAGGGTTATGGCCGAGCAGATGTAAGGGCTCGAAGGGGGAGTCCCTCCGGGCCAAAATTTGAATTGGAATCGTGATGTGAACTCCATCACCAGCACAGTTCCCCCATGATGCACCATGCATGGCGTGGCCGAGGTAGTTTCCACCTCTCGTGGGTCATCTTCCATTTGGCATTGGCTTGAACGATCCGACTGCGACGTGATCGAGGCCTTAGGAGAGCTTCGCTGAGAACTTCCATCTGCGTCCCGAAATCCAAGAGGGCACGGTCGAGATTTCAACATGAACCCAAACGCTCGGTCCTTCAACTTCAACCCCAACTCCTCGGGCTTCGTCCCCCCTGGCCAGCATCAGCAGCAAGGTCAGCCACACCCGCAGGGTGGCTACGATCAGCAGGGCTTCACTGGCCCCGGTGCGGGTGCTCCGGGCTACGGCGCTGGTGGCTATGGCGCTGGCTACGGAGGATATGCTGCAGGCGGCTTCACTGAGCAAGGCGGCTACTACCCGAACGCTGGCCAGCAGGCGTACACGCAGAGTGGCTTTGACCAGGGTAGACTCCCTGCGCATCGGCAAGCACAGGCTGCGCCACCACAGCAGCAGCAGCAACCGCAAGCTCCGGGGGCGAGCTCGCTGCCAACCAAGCCGGGCATGGGTCAGACAGACCGCAAGCCCGTCTCCATCTCAATCGGTGGCGGCTCGTCTTTAGCAGCAGCTCCCAAAAAGGAAGAATCCCCACGCAAGCCGGTCAGCATCAGCATCGGGGGAGGTAGCAGTGCAAGTAAGGAAGAGCCTACTGTCCAGACGGCGGCGGCAAAGCAAGAGGAGGCAAAGCCCGCGCCGCCTAAGGCAGTTTCTTCCATCAAGGCAGAGGAAGGCGTTACGGACGCTTGGGACGCAGAGCCTTCGTCTTCTATTCCTGCAACCGATTCGACACCCGCTGCTGCTGCCGCTGCATTGCCAAGTAAGGGCTCCACCGATGCATCCGCCCCGGCCTCCCGTTCAGAGTCGCCGACGCCAGGCTTGGCCTCCAAGGGTGGCATGAGTGCACGACAAAAGGCCAAGGTAGACGATAAGGTGCAAAAGGCCCATATGGACGCCGACAAAGTCCTTGCAGAGACAAAGAAGCTGACTGATGAGGAAACGCTCAAGGACCTGTTCGGAGAGCAAGCCGATAGCATGAAGTCACACTTGAATGTTGTCTTCATTGGCCATGTCGATGCCGGAAAGTCTACGATGGGTGGCAACTTGCTCTACCTGACCGGCATGGTTGACAAGCGAACTTTGGAGAAGTACGAGAAAGACGCCAAGGAAGCTGGGAGAGAGTCGTGGTACCTGAGCTGGGCCCTCGACTCGACGCCTCAGGAGCGAGAGAAGGGAAAGACAGTTGAGGTCGGAAGGGCCTACTTTGAAACAGGAAAGAGGAGGTACACCATTCTCGATGCTCCAGGGCACAAGAGTTACGTGCCGAGTATGATCAGTGGCGCTGCTCAGGCAGACGTTGCTATTCTGGTGAGTCGCAGTGTCACTATAAGCAAATGATGTCGGAGCTCATCGCGAGCCCATTCCCTGCACGACTGCAGGTCATCTCGGCGCGAAAGGGAGAGTTCGAGACCGGCTTCGAGCGAGGTGGTCAGACGAGAGAGCACGCGATGCTCGTCAAGACAGCCGGTGTGCAGCGTTTGATCGTTGTGGTCAACAAAATGGACGAGCCAACTGTCAAGTGGGAGAAAGCGCGATACGATGAGATCGTCGGAAAGCTGTCACCATTTTTGCGCAGCGCAGGCTTCGCTCCCAAGGACGTGTCTTACATCCCTGTCTCAGCGTTTGCGGGACAGAATCTCAAGGAACCTGTGCCTCGCGAGGTGTGCAGCTGGTACGACGGCGAACCGCTGCTCACGTTCCTCGACAACCTCGAGCTTGGCGACCGCAAGATCTCCGAACCGCTCAAGATGCCCATCAGCGAAAAGTACAACGATATGGGTACTGTCATTGTCGGCAAGCTCGAGAGTGGCAAAGTGCGTAAAGGTGACACACTCATCCTCATGCCGAACAAGACGCAGATCGAAGTTGTCGGCATCTTTAACGAAGTCGAAGAGGAAGTTGTCGCCGCGGTCTCGGGTGACAATGTCCGTATCAAGATCAAGGGCATCGACCACGAGGATGTTAGCGTCGGCTTTGTTTTAACGGACACCAAAAGCCCAGTGCACGTCGTTACCAAGTTTGAGGCCCAGCTGGCCATCCTAGAGCACAGAAACATCATCTGCCCAGGTTATTCGGCTGTCATGCATGTTCACACCCTTTCCGAGGAAGTTAACCTGATCCAGCTGTTGCACTACTATGATAAGAAGACGGGCAAGAAGAGCAAGAAGCCACCTCAATTTGCGAAGAAAGGTGAGTACATGTCCGTTTCGTATTCCTCGCGCATGATGTTTATCTCCGTTATCCCTCTCTTGCACACCGCAGGCATGAAGGTTGTCGCCCTGATTGAAACGACAGCACCAGTGTGCCTTGAAAAATTCAGCGAACACCCGCAACTTGGCCGCTTCACGTTGCGAGACGAAGGGCGGACTGTCGCCATCGGTCGGGTGAGGATGTTTTGCATCGAGATCATTCCAACACCGCTGATTGCAAGTGCTGACGCATCCTTGTCGCTCTCATCCTTAGGTTACGAAGCTGCGCATGAACGAGGAGGCACCAGATGTGAGCAAGCTCACTTTGGACGGAGCGGCTTAAGTTCCATGCCGACACGTCGACTGGCCATTTCATTTGTACCCTCGCAAACATTTTCACGCATGAGTGCGCAAATGCAATGGCTTAGATGATGATATTGCACAATGCGACAAATGGAAATTATAGAACCTGGGGTATGACTGATAAAATTGGCAGTTAACGGTGACGAAAGGCTATTAGATTCGCCACCACTTTTTCTTGCGGTTGGCGTGACCGTCTGGCGTAAGTGTTGTATCAAATTCTTGGATAGCGTTGAGACCTTCTGGGACGAGATCGTGACTGAGATCATTAGAATGACGCTTCATGAGAGATGCTGAATTATAGGAACTCGGAGTGAGTGCAGTATCGAATCTTGCAAGGTCTTCGGTCATGCCTTTTACGCCGCCTCGTGCGTTAGCGCCGCTGATTGTGGCACTTCTCTTGCGCGCGAAGAAGCGACTACGCCCTCCTGGGGTTGGAGACAGCTGAGGATCCCTGCGCGCCACGACACTGCTAATGACAGTCGTCTGGCCGTGCAAGGGGGTCTGCTCTTTCAAAGTGCTGCTGACATGGACAGAAGTTCAAATGAGTCATTTATGTCAGGTGCTTCATAGGCCGATCGACCTTGCAATTTTCGCAGTATTCACTCACCACAGGCCCACTGAAGTGAGATGCAATAACGCCTGGGACTGCGTTTCAACGTCAGAGCATGCAGCTACGAACTCAGCGAAGGTCGGACTTTTGATGTGCTCTTGCGGCACAAGAGACGTGAGGAAGTCATGAGAAGACTGAGATGAAATGCCAAAAATGCGCGTCACGTCGGCGCTAAGGGTCGCCAGAAGTAATGGCTGGTCCAACGCGTAGTCGCCATTTGGAAGGCTGTCAGAGTGGATCGGAATGAACTTCGATTTGCGCTGAGCTTGAAAGCGCTGCACGATCTCTTCGTCATCTTCGTCGAGCAGTCGATGCGTGCGATGGACCCTCGAACCGACGGCACTGTCTACCGTGGAGACGAAGGTGATGAAGTCGTCGTACGTGCTGGCCTGCTCTTTGAGGAAAAAGTTGAGCGATGACAGCACCGGCTCCTTGTCTTTGTCGAACTCGGTCTTTTTGTTTGCCAGCGCGAGAAAGACCTTTGCGATCATCAACAAAAGTTTCGAATGCGAGGGGGAAGGTGACGCTGAGAAATGACCAATTGTTAGCAACGCAGGCAAGAAATGAGCAAAGACTGGCTGCTGCCCACCTTGGAGGAGGCCGAAAAGTTGAGGAGAAGTGATGGCCGGACAGATGAGGCGGAGGAAGACGAAAGCCCCGACGCCTTGAATGCCTGAACCCGTGCCAGTCGCAGTGAAACGCGCGTTGACAAGCGAGCGCAGATGGAATAGGACCTCGCGCAGTTCACTTGAAGCAGATTTTAGTATCAGCCCGTTAAACAACACAGCTTCCCATCCGAAAACACTCACGCTGGACATTGATGGCGCTGCCGATAGATGTTTGCCCAAATTCGCGTCACGACTTCCTGAAAATGTTCGACCGAAGCGGGGAACAAAGTGGGTGATGCACACTGGTCCTCGTTGGTGTGAAGAGCACTGAATGGGTGCGGACGAGGTTTGTTGCTGGACAAAAGCTCATCCAGATCGATGCCCGTGTCGCCTGCACAAATTTGGTGGATATACTCTCCGATGGAAACCTCGAGCCAGGAAGTGCAGCAGAACTGCTGGAACTTGTCGAGCGAGCGCGATAGCGCTGTGTTCCCTCTGACGCAAGCAAGCGGGCAAGCAACATGAGCACATTGGGCAAATGCATTTGATGAAGTCTCTGACTCACCGGAACAGCAGGTCCTTGTCTGGATCGTTGCCTAGCTTTTCGCTCTCCATCTTCGCCAGGTCCGTCAAAAGCGCAACAATTTGGCCTTTGGCGATACCATACTGGATGACGCTGGACAGCAATGTATTCTCGCCTGCGGTGGCAGCGAGGTGCTGGATGATGACTGAACGCTCTGGCCCGTTGAGTGCCTGTAAATTCAAGCGAATGCAAGAGAAGAGGAAACGGCCTTAGCATCCCCGCGGCTTGTAGCGTAGTTCTTGGCATCCGACCTGTGTACACACCTTCTCTATTGCCGCATACCGAGCGGTGGGGAGCACAATAAGCTCAGAAATTTTGAAATTCAGCTTGATCTCTCCGACGACCTCTTGGGCGAATGGGACCAGCTCCCTAGCTCCAAGGTCGAAGCGCGAAGCTGCATCTGCATCTTTCTCCTCCGAAATGGACCAGACTGGGAACCATCCTTCAATGTCCTCGCCGCGCCGAATGGTTTCGACGGGCAGCGTCACAAGGCCAAGCGGGACTTGCTTCATCGCTCCCCCGCGGCCTGTCGTCTGCTGCAGCACTTCGATCTGCAGCCGCCTGAGGGTAGGCAATGTCTCGAAGTGAAAATCTTCCATCCAGACAAGACCGTCTTGAGATGACTTGAACGAAGTGCGCGCGAGAAGCACGCCATTGACATAGATCCTACAGCTGTGCCACGCATTCTCGCTTCCGCCTCCAATGGACGACGAGAAGGCGGAGGATGTATTCGAGTCCCTCCGTGGCGGCAACAAGGCCATCGAGTGTGGCGAGACACTACCGGCTGTGGTCCAGTGCGCCCAGCTTGATCCGCTCCGCATCCCAGCAATCGGCCCGCTGTCTAATTTGTCTGAGTCGCTCTCTTCGCTCGCCAGGTGGTGCCTGCTCATATCCCTCGCGGTAGAGGCGCCCTGTTGCGTCGAATCTGTCTTGAGCTCTAACGGGGCACTGAGCTCCGGCCGCGTTGTAGGCGAAATCGAGAAAGAGTCGCTTGTGCCTGTGCCTGTGCCAGACGCGTGGTATAAGGAGGCATCGCCACTGAAGATAGGCACAAGGTCGCTGGCCGTGCGGCTCTTCTGGATCCGAGTTATCTGATCGAGTGTCGTGGACGGACTACTGGAACTTGGTACAGATCCAGAGCCGCGCAGTCTGCTCGGTGGGGCGCCGCTTCCGTCTGGAGCAGCTGCGGTGCCGCTGGCGCTACTGCTGCTGCAACTGCCGCTATCGCCTTTCGGATTGAGCAGCGATCTACGGCGCGACGCTGAAATTCGCGGAGACTGGCCAGCTCCAGCGGCAGCGATAGCAGCAGGAGGCGGCACGGGTGGAAGCGTCTGCGTGTGGGACTGCTGCCCATCGCTTCCGTGCGTGCCGGTCGACGAGCGACGTTCGTTATCCGATGTGTTGGTCGTGGACGATGACTTGCGCGAGATGATGCGCCCGGCCAGGCTGCCGCTCGGGCTCATGGGCAGATGCACACTGTCGAAACCACCGACGCTGACGCCTTCCAAGCCAGTACGCTTGCGGATAGGACTAGCGTGGTGAGCTTGCGTGGCATGAAGTTGATGCTGATCTTGATGGTGGTGCTGCTGATGCGTGTAGCTGTCGGACGAGACGCCGCGCGCTTCTATGACGGAGATCTTGATGGAGCGGTTGATGCGATGAAGCTTGGGCATAGACTGCGTGGGCGATGCTATCATGGGGCTGGTTGACGCCTGTGCTTGGTCCGACACTGCTGCATCCATGCTGCCCAGCCGGCTCATCGTAATCTTGTCATCGCTAAGGTAGATTTCGGGCACAGCGTACGCCTGGAGCGCCATGAGCCAACGCTGCATCTTGATGCGCGATGGGAACGCAAGCAGGATAGACTCGAGCGCAAAGGAACCAGAGCCGGAGCCGGGGCTTGAGCCACAGCCGAGGTCATCATTGAAGAGGCCGTTCCCTGCTGAGTTGCCGCTGCTTGGCCATACGTGCTCCCCCAAGCCCCCAGGTGACGCTCCTGAGGTGGCGAATGCATTTGATACGGGAGATTGTTTCCCTCTGGCACAACCCACACCGACGCCTAGCCGACAAGCGCTGGCGCCAACACTCCTCGCGAGCGTCGACACGCGAGATGAGACAGCAATGATGTTGGGTCGGAGGAAGATTGAGTCGTCTACCCTCCTGACTTCGGAAGCGGTCAGATCCGAGATCAACGTGGAATGCAGCAGCGCCTTTTCCTCGCTGTAGATGGAAAGGACGCCGTGCTGCCTGAACACGACTGTCACTTTCCGCCAGCTGCCACCGCTGCCAACTGACGATCCGCCATGAGCAGGCGAGCCGATCATGATCAAGTCGCTGCCATTGATACCCAGCGTTTGCGGCCCCGGGATCAGCTGCGGTGCTTCCGTTGCGTCCACGTCGGCAAATCCGATCGAGCCCATCCCGTTGCTACTACTGCTGGCCGTTGTGGCTAAACGGGACCGACTGGGCCGCTCTTTGACCGAAGGACTGGGCGTGCTGCCAAACGGGTCCAGCTTCGAACTCGCAATAATGGTCTCCCGCTTGCATCGCGGAGTGCCGGCGCATGCGGCGGCACTTACAATGCTGCTATGACTCGCCCCGGATCCGTAATAGTGATGGCCACCACCGCCGCTACTGCTGCTACTGCCAGGTAAGCGTTTTTTGAGGTGCAAAACACCCGGCACGACCGTCTTTGCGAGCACAGCACCTGCGCCTGATCCGGAGGACGAGCCGCCAGCGTACGAAGAGGATGAGCCCTTCAATGTGCCCGGATTCCACATTTGTAAGACAGCAACTGCCTCGTCCTGCGTGTCCATGGTGTCTGATGCCTCCATTGCGCCCAGAGTAACCGTATGTTGCACTGAAAGCCGCTTGGTGAGTTCGTCTTAACCGAAACGAGCGCGCTCCCTACCCGTTTCTTCTCAAACGGTAGAGGCGGTGTTCGGTTGGATCCGCACCCGTTTCGCCCTCGTTCTCGCGGCTATTGTAGTATATGTGTATGCGTACTATCAAGGATGTTGGTACCGTTTTATCAGCATTCGCCCAATGAGGACTGAAAGCTGGGATGAATTAATGAAGGGTGTTGACCAGAAATGATTTGCGATCCGCATTGATGTCACACACGAGATGAGCAAGCCGGCTGATGAAGCAGCAGCATGAACGGTTCACCCATGTGAGTAGGTATGAGCGAAGGCTCAATCACGGGCCAGCTGCTGTTTCGCTTTCGATGCTTGCTAAGGTGCCCCAATTATAGTGCAAATCGCCGATGATCTTGCGCAGTTGAGTGGTGGATGTGCAGCTCGTTTACGAGACGGAGCCGTCAAGACCTCTCAGGGTGGGAATGAAAGTGCCCGTGCTCGGCGACGATTGGTTGTATCCTGATTGAGAGCTTTCAGTAATATCCAGGAGTCAAATTGGAAATGCGGCAAAGCAGATGAGGTCATCGGTAACCTTGGCTTTTGGATTGATGCATACGGCGTCCCAGGTTTTTGGTGTCTGCAAATGAAGACGACGGTCAGAACTTGGACACATTCCGTTTGCAAGCTCACTCCAGCTTGGGCCACCCTCTGCTTTGTTTGACTCACCAGCAGCGATGGGTCCATACCGTGGCCCTGTTTCACGGTTTCTATCGTCCGCTTCGCTCGCTGGGGAGGCGTCGAAGCAAACAAGCGAGAGCGGGTCCGTGGTGCCCAGCGGCGCTCAGATTCCTGTTGCTCAACAAGGCGTTAGGATGATGTCGTCGTCGCCTCCACTTGCAGGTCGAAACTCTATTTACTCTACCTCAGCATCAGCCGCCGGCTGTCGTTGACTTGGACTTGATCGTGCGGCGTATGTGTCCGCCGCCCAACTTGGGACGTTCTCCTTAATGATAAACAGCTGGTTCGAGCCAGCCCGATTTCCACCCCATACGCGGGTTCTTTGTGCATGAACGAGAGATTCTCGTCCATGAACGTGTTGTGAAGGATGGAGCGAGTCACGTGATGCCGTATTCAGCCCTGCCGCGGCAATTGGCCCCACCATCGGCACATGGAACTAGGGTCGATTCCCGCTTACCACACATGGTCGAATATGGTGGTATATGCACATGTATGCACCTTGAACTTGTATGAATCTAGCCATTATTCCTGCCTTGTAAGAGCACCTTTGTACCTCGGCGCATTGATCCGCTATGACCGCCGATGCTCGCAGCAAATGAACTGCATCTCCAATTTCCATTGGGCGAGAGCATGCCTATCCCAACGAAATGACGCCCACGTGAGTTGTGACGGTGACATTTAGCTCTCTCTCTCTTCACATCATTCCCGTGGCATCACGCCACTTTTCTCCGTTCTTCACTCGAACAGTCCTCTAATTCATACAACTAGCTGCTGGTGACTTGCCAAAGTGAGACCAAAAACTCTCCGGCCTGCCCTGTGCCCGCCAGCGCTAATTGCAAGGCACAGCAGCGCACACGAGGGGGGAAGGGGGAGAAGCTTTATCTTATTGTATTTCTATTACTGTTTAATATTACTACTATATTGTTATATATTATGAGTAAGGATATATTGTCACAAAGGCAGCGACCATCTTCCAGCAGCCGTTCCGCCCCGGCCCTTTTTGGAGGAACCTTGGGAGGGAAACTCACACAGTGAAGCCTTTCTGATTTTTTTGTTGACTTTTCACACCGCTTGATTGGATGGCAGGGCACCTGAGCCGCCACCCGGCACACCCAATCCGCCCGAGCCCACGCGGGCGCAGCCCGTCCCCATGGTACGAGGCTAACCAGCACACGCCAGCGGACAGTTCGGTCCACGATGTTGAAATGAGTTTGAGACAGCCCAAGCGCTAATGTCCCTTCTTGAGATCGATCGGCACCTCGCGTCTTCGAAGCCACTCACCAAGTGAGGAACAACTCTCGAACAATCCCACCTTGACCAGAGTGGTGACAGTGTGACAGGGCGAGCGGTCCATGCGACTTGGAGGGTGTGGTAAGCCAAGCGTGCGTCGATGACCCGGTCGAGGTTGATCCTGTGGGCGCCGGCGGACTGCGGTGCGTTGGTGCCAGACAGATGCAACGACCCACGCTTCCCAGCTGGCTGCTTTGTTTAATGGTCGTATAACCCAAGTCCCTGCGTGACTTGTAAACCCCGAGGGGAGCCCTAGGTGCATTTTCGATTCTGACTGCTCAGCGAAGGCACCACTCGTATGTACATCCTTCATGCAGGGGCACCATAGCATGTTGGCCTGGGCCAGCAGCTCGTCATAAAGATGAACTCTCGGGTTGCCATTGCTCAAATGCCCTTCCGGTGAAATGGGTGTAATGCGAAGTCCCTAAGGCGTTGGATGGAAGCTGTAAAATTCTGTAACGCAAATGGAATGACCATGCCTGTAGCCTGGACGTTGGGCACTTAGGAGCCCCTGCAAAACGGCGCCACGATGGTGCTTTCTCTGGGAATTACAAATGGACTACACTACGGTTCGAGCATGCCAAGAAGCAGAAGCTCAAACGTATCTCCTGCGGTAGCGAGGGAAGCAGCGGGGACGGTCGAGGTTGCCGCACGGATCGCACCACCTTCGCTGCCTTGCTGCAGTACCTCCTCTGACCCTGATTCTGACGTTGCTCCTCCTGGACCAGCACCTTCCATGACCCTCCAGCCGCCCATCAGCTTGGCATCATCTGACGGCGGCTCGTATCCCAAGCTCTCGCGCTTGCGGCGACAGACAAATATAAACATATCATCTTCTGCTTCCTCCTCTGCTTCCTCCTCTGCTTCTTCCGCCTCATCTTTAGCATCACCTGTAGTGTGCTGCTCGGCATCGCCTTCGCGGTCGCTGTCAGGCGTTTTCGCTCCTGCTCCCAACGCGTTTGCATTTTGCTTGTCACTACCATAGCGCGGTGATTCAGCCTTGGAGGCCTCACCAAGACCCAGATCAGACTTCCAGCGCCCAAATCGATGCCATGGGCCCCATGGGCCTGCCATATGCTCCCACGCCCTTTCTTCCCCAACAATATCGGGTTTCCGCCTCCATCGACGTCGACACTGAACCGGCTCCATGTCAAACCAGGCTCCTAGTGCCTGCCAGAACGGCTGCTCCTTTGCGAGCGAGCGTACCTTGTACGATATGATCAGCTCGCTTGTCGCTGTTTCTGCTGATGTCGTTCGCTGCGGCTCGCTGAGCTGGATGATTGTACGCAATAGCGGTGGTAGAAGTTCGGGAAAGTAGACTAGGTCCGAGCAAACAATGTGCGTCGGTGCCGAGGTAGAGGCTGTGTGAGCGGCGCTTTCAGAAACGGCGCTTTCCGTCCTTGAAGCAATGTCCTCTTTCATGATCCGCTCCGCCGCTTTGGAAGAGCCCCATGGCAATGGTCGCACGAGCAACTTCACGCCCGATGCTTGATCTGGTGCTGTGGTCGATGCTGAAGGAGGACGCAGCGCGCGAGCAGCATTTCGCTCCAGCAACGGGCAGACATGATCAAGATCCGTCAAAATGACAGTGGGGGTCGGTGATGTCGGCATTGGCGCACTCCGGTTAGTCTCAACATTATCTTTGACTCGTTGACAGGAGGATCGACCATGAGCCCTTGAGAGCGCTAGGGCAAGGTGAATACCAACATAGCCGACCCCGGAGCCCAGCTCAACCGCTGACACAGCGCGTGCTAACGTTGGTCCTCTTGCTGCTGTGCCATCTGGAGAAGCATTCGGCGGCAAAGCGAAGAAACTGCATGGAGGGTCAAACTCGAGAGCGGACTCGCATGGTGGCCGGAGGTATTCGCGCAGAGCATATGCCGCTTCCCTGTCAGCGATCAGAGGGCAGAAACGTAGCAGAGAGGAGAGACGAAAAAGCAAATTGATTGGCGGTTATTGAGGAACATGCTCTACCAAAACCGGACTCCCATGCTGCAAAAGCCTCACCAGACCCGCCCTGCTATACCCCATCGATCAATGTCCTCCGCAGTATCTGCATCCCACGCATCAAGCTCGCAACCTGCTTGGCTGCTGCAGCTCTTGCTGCTCGGTTGGATGGCCAAGCCGGTCGGAAAGTTGAAATCGTCAGCCGGATCTCCGGCTGGGCTCCCGGCGGCCATATTCTCCTGCTAATAGGTCAAGCAATTGTGCACATGTGAGGAGCTCATGGTTAGTCCACATGTACCTCATCGTCACTTTGGAAGATGTTGCTTTTTTCGAGAACAGCAGGAGCTGTGTGCGTCTCTGGGGCTGGGTGGCCATCCTACCAAGTGTGGAGAGCAAAAGCACAGGCACAGCGCCGCTGTGTAAACCAGCAGTGGTGGCGGCGGTGGGCGGCGCGTCTCTTTGCGGCTCATGACGAGAGAGGCGTAATAGTGAGGATTACACACGAGACGCACGCGTTTGTGCTTCTCCCAGTCCTCCCTCGCCCGTCGCTCATCATCCATCTCCTCATCAACCCAAGTGCCTTCAAGCGCCCTTTACAATCTCCCAGCCGGGCTTCACTATTTGCGGACGGCCACACAGCACGTATCATTTCTCACGGATCTCTTCGCAGCCACCTAAGATGTTCCGCCAACTCGCCCTCCGCGTCCCCGCCGGCGCCCGCGCGCTGAGCACCACCGCGTCGCGCTCCAACCTGGCCCGCATGCAGATCATGGGCCGCCTCGTCGCGGACCCGGAGATCAAGACCAGCGTCAACGGCAAGGAGTTCACCTCCTATGTCGTTGCGACGACCGACTACCTGGGCAGCCGCGAAGACCGTGCGTGTTTGCTCCTTTGCTTGGTAGTACGTGCCAGATGGAAGGTGGAATGCTGACACCCCTACCTTGTTGCCCCCATTTCGTTTCACCATTTCTCACTTGGACTTATCCAGCCTCAGCGCAGACTTCCACCTACCACCGAATCTACGCTTTTGGTGACAAGACAGACAAGGTCAAGACGTTGACAAAAGGGTGATTCCATGGCGTGCCTGCTTGTTGCTATTCCTCGTCCACGCTCATCTTCGTTCCCTTGCCTTCGCATCGCTTTCCACGTGCGCGCACAGTACCCGGGTTTTCGTCGAGGCTGACTTTCGCATCGAGCGCCAGCCTGGCGAGGACGGCCAGCCGCCAAGGGACAGACTCCTCGTGAGCCAACGTGAGTGTGTAAACTGGTAAAATTGCTTTCCAAAAACTGGACCAGCTCACATGAACGACACTGGACTTCCTTCTGTGGTACGTAGGCAGCGTGAACGTCATCAGCAGACCGAAGCCAGTGGATGCTTAGAGTGTGCCGATGCGGAATGTCAATTCATTGTCACCGCTCCGCATAATGCCCATGATTCAGGACGAACAATGCGATGCTCGAAAGACATCACTGATAGGTACGCTACATTGCTCGAGCCTTTCGGGGTTGCTTGCATCGACTGCAGACTGCACGCTCTTTCACCTTTCTTTGTGAGGCGCTTCTCCGACCCATTGAATTCTGCCTAGGCCAGACGCAGATACGCTCGCGAGGAGGTAGCCCCGATTGATGTGCCTGCTCCATGCGACGTCCGTGATGGCAACTTCCGGCGGCCAGTCGAACGATGTGCCTGGAATCCTGTGTGGATTCTGTTTTGTGTTTGTATTCGCGGTTGAGTGCGACAGAGGCAGTCAATGCGTGGGCTCCAGCGTAGCATAGTCTCTTCTTACCCACCAAGATATCAGGCAAGAAATAGTCGAGCACCCTGAGCTCGCTACTCTCTGTGCCGCATGTGAGGCGAAACAGCTGGACAGAAGCCTTGGCACCCCTCTTGCTGAGATTGCGCCAAATGTTGACCATGCGTACGCTTCCATCCGCCGAGCCGGTCGCAAGTAACGGATGATAGTCCGACGTAGCTATGGCCAGCGTTGGCGCTCGATGCTCGGCTACCCTGGCTTTGCGGCCAAAGTGGGGATTGGTGAAAAAGAATAGATCAACGCCGTACAGGTTGCCCTCGATGATCGCAGCATTGGCATGCGTGCTGAATGCCAAATCGTACGCGGGGACGCCGCCTTTGCGTGAAATAGCAATTCAAATGTCAGACTGTGCCTGCATCGCGCAGCCAATCCCGGGACACAAGGACGGCCGCCTACTCACTGATGCTGCCGCCAGATTGACCAAAACGAATATCGGCCTGGTGGTAAGGGTCAGTCAGGTCCGTCAAAGCGATCGAGCCCATCAACGAGCAGCTCGTGAACAAGTTTGGCATCTCATTCCAAGCCGGACGGCCGCGGGCGTCCGTGTTGGGATGCATGTGCCATCGTACACCAGTGATGGCAGTCTCTTGTGTCCTGAAGTAGTGCAAGGGCGCTGTACAGAAATACTCTGTCGTCAATATGCGAGCATGTCGATCAGCCACAGAGTGAAAACTCACCCTGCTGCTGGCCATTCCCTGACAGGAGCTCTTCGAGGTCCCAAACAGCCGCGTAACCATTGCTACATCCAACGAGAATGCGTTCTGGAAAGGCCCAATCTAAACAGTGCGGAACGGTCTCGAAGAGGTCCAATGAGAGGATAGGCTTGAGTGCAATTTGCAATGGAGCAGCGCTTTTGCTCTTCTTGACGTGTCTGAGCTCATTTGGATGAGGCACCTGAAAGAAGCAAAGTTTGCCATTCATACACGCCGCAGCCAGGACACCGAGGATCTCGTTGCTAGGCGGCGGCTGTTCAAGATCTCGGTAGGCAAGAGGTCGCCATTGCAACTGCCACGCGCTGCCTGTGTCGATGTGCAACACCATTTCAAGCCGCACTTTTGAATGATTATCATTGCCGCCCCTGCCTGGTGCGATGCTCCAGATTTGGATCTGCGCAGGCGCCGGCTCGGTGAGACGTATGCCGTATCTGTTTCGGGGAGCCCGTTCGAATGAAGTCGAGACCGCCAAGAACTCGTTGCCTGCGACATTCAAGCCTCGCGGACATGCTTCGACACAGTAATTGTAGCCTCCAGTGTTGAAAAAATGGACATCGCTGTCGGCTTCCAAGCCGTCCGCCGCGTGCGCAGCGCCAGGTGCGAGTGTATGCCTTTTCAGTACCGTGTCCGACCCGTACGCGATTCGCAGGTCTCCTTCGGCCGTGAACCAGGGCTGGAGAGTTGCTAGCAGTGTGATGTCTTCCTCGCCGTCCTGCAGCGAAGGATCAATCGCCATCGGGTCTATCCCGGAGCTCGCAGCCACATCAGTTGCATTGGGCGTCTGAGCGTTGCCTGCCTCCGCTAGGGCTTCAGTGCGACGCCGCAAGACCTCCCTGAGCGGCACCCTCGTTCGTGCTTCAGTGCATAATCGCAGTCTTCTAGCCGCAAAATACGAGACTCACTCTTCTGATAGAACTTTAATGCTTTGCAGCCAATGGGGTTGGATTCTAGGCTCTAAATCCTCATCCATTGGCTCCACCTTTGCACGTCCTTCAATTCCATCCAGACTATTGTCCTTGCCGGGTAACCATCCATAGTCTCCCATCTTTCCCCGCGGAGGTCTCCACAGCTCCTCATTCCACCTGCCGACCTTGAGTTTTGCGTTGCACTCGATCTCCCATGAAGCGCCTGTCAGCATCGCAGCACCGTCCAATGGCCACGGCGCATGCTCCACCTTGACCGAAGGTAACAAGCATGACGATGTGAACATAGACAGATTTCGGCCCTCTTTGGCTTTGATCCACAAGCTGCCGCGTTGAGCAGCGGCTATATTCGATACGTCATTATCAGCTGCGACGGGTTTGGTTTTGCGAGCCGCTACCGAAGGTGCCATCGTAACGACAGCATTTATTCTTGTGTTCTTTACGTTGATCTTGCCCTTACGAGTCCTCGGTGGCGGCGTGTCAACGCCGTCGTAAACATCCTCTTCAGCCTCATCCAATTCTTCGGACCCAGACTCGGATATTGCGTTCAATTCTTCGTCATCGTCCGATGCGGCGGCCTTGCCTCTACTTGTTCCAGCTTGATCTGCAAGTACAAACTCATCGTCGCTGCCGTTGTCGAGAAAATCTTCATCTCTTGCCTTCGCCTTGCTCTTTGTATTCCCCTTGGGGTTCGAAGGGACTTTTCTATCACCTCCCCCCTCTGAAGACCCATCGGAAAAGCCGTGGTGAACGGTTTGTGTGTACCTTGCCCGGGCAGCTTGGGCAGCTTGTCGTTTCGGCCGCCCAGAAGGCGTGCCGGACGAATCTACCTCGTTCATAATCTGAATGTGAGGTCGCGAGCCCAAAGCGTGGTCACCCTCACGTGCACATGTTAACGAGCACGTTGACAAGGCTGCACGACTCACGAGCCTTCCCCCAAGATGATGGCAGATGTCGATCAGCAGCCAACGACATGGAACGTGGTCGTGATGATTTCGTTCGCACTTGCCACATCAACACGCGAGTCGATAAGTTTGTAATTACGCGACACGTTCCTGGTCGCAACCTCTCACTCCCTTGCGGGAGTGCTATTTGATATCTGCTTCTGTGGACCTCTGGCGCGGCCCTGTTGCTATTCCCTTCAAGTACCATCGATACTTTTGTCCAGGTCTCGAGCAGAAGAACGCAGGTTCAGTTCACGCGTGGTACATATCACGCACTAAATGTGCTTGACCTCGTCGGTATGCAATATCTATGATACAGTGCGGGTGTTGTACAATTTAACTTGTTTTTCGAACTCCTTGCGCTCAAGGCCACCCCGCATGGTGATTTCAAGCTCGGGTTGGCACTGGCCCAGGCTTCTGCAGCCTTTCAAGGATGGTGGCGGGCTTCTCCTCCAACCCAGCTGCCGTTTCCTCATCCATTACGTCGTCGTCCCTTGTCGATCGTCGCCGCAGCCACACGCGCTTAGCCCACTTCCAAGCCTCCACGCCCAAGAAGAATAGGAGGATGGCAATAAAGCAGATGCCCCACTCCCATGAAATGCCTTTGTGCAGGAAGACATCGTCATTGATGATGGGGATGTAAAGCAGAGGGAAGACGCTGAAGAAGCCGATGACAACCGTGCTGAAGAGAAACTTGTTCTTGCCCCAGGTGTCGTGGAACCACTGCGAGTAGAGCGGGTATTTCTTGCCCATGCGGAAGAAGGAGCGACGGGTGTTGACGACCTCCCAGGCGAGGAAGAGCGATGCCCACGTCATCACTGTCCAGGTTGCGCCGCGTGCGCGGAAGACCGTTGCGCATGTTTCGTTGTAGATGCCGTTGCAATTGATGCCGAGATTGCCGTCGCCAAAGCCCCAGAGGCATAGCGTGAATGTAGCCAGGCAAAGCAGTCCGACCCAGACTCCGTAGACAAACAGGTCAAGCAGGACTTCGGGTGCGAAGATGCCGTACTTAAGGTCATGAGGTGGGCGCTTCATGATGTCGAGTTGCGCTTGACTCATACCCAAACCCATGGCCGGGAGACCGCTAGTAACCTGCGCAAAGAGAGAACCAGGGGTGAGCTGCGTGCTGGCGGATGTTATGGCTTCCTGACAGGTTCTACTCACCATGATAATGTAAAGGACCTCGACAGGAGAGAGCGGGAACACAGAGAGGCCGGTTGCATCCTTGAAAGCAAGGCCGATAAGGAGCACCAAAGCCTGAGCAACATTTTGAGCAAGCAGATGAAGCACGAACTTCTTGATATTGTCTGCGTCATACCATAAGAACAAAGATATGGGTTAGATGGCAGGCGCAGAGGCGATCCCAGGCCTTTGTGGACTTACCAAAGGTCCTCCTTCCCTCTTCAATGCCAGATACGATGCTGGCAAAGTTGTCGTCCGTCAAGACAAGATCCGACGCGCCTTTGGCGACATCCGAGCCTCCTCCCATCCCGAGACCAACGTCGGCTGCACAATCAAATCAAGAGAAGGGTCAGCAATTAAAGGAGAGACAATGGAGGCAAGGGGTTAGCACACACTCACCGATCTTCAGACTGGGCGCGTCATTGACTCCATCGCCAGTCATGGCAGCGAAGCACGTGCGGCGATGCAGAGCTTCGATCATCCTGACCTTGGTCTGAGGCGCGCATCTGGCAATTACGAGCGGGAGGATTTCGAGTCGGTCGATCTCATCTTCAGTTAACTTGTCAAACGCGGGGCCAGTCATTACGGATGCCTTAAGCCTCTCTTCGGACCAGGTGGATGTGTTCTGCGGGATGATGCCGACCTCCTTGGCGATAGCGCGGGCGGTTCCTGGATGGTCGCCGGTGAGCATGTGGACACGGATGCCGGCTTGCTGGCACTGGAGGACAGCTGGTAGAGATGAAGCACGCGGAGGGTCGTAGATGCCTGCCAGGCCGACAAAGGTCATACCGCTCTCAGCTTGGGTGCGATCGAGTTCCTCGCCTTCATGAGCTTCCTCTTTGGTGAGATCACGTTGCGCGAACGCAAGCACCCGAAGACCGGTGTCCGCCAGCGCTTCCATGTTGGCCAGAATGTTGCTAGTAATGTTCTCAGTGATGTCGACGATACCCTCGCTTGTCTGTGCGTGAGTGCATGCTTCGAGAACTCGCTCGACGGCTCCCTTCATAAACGCTTTGTGCGTCTCGGACGGGCGATGCTTGTAGAAGACGCACATGCGCTTGACGTCGCTCGAGAATGGGAACTCGGCCGTCTGCTTCCAGATGGCAGGCTTGCCATACGAAGCATACTTGGCGGCATTCTCCTGATCGTCAACCCTCTGGCTCTCCCCCTTGACCTTGTTGGTCAGCTTTGCACGGCCCCAGTCGAAGCGGCAAGCAAAGGTTTGCATGGCGCATTCGGTCGGGTCGCCATGAGCCTGCCATTCGCCCTCAGCTTGGAAGACTTTTGCGTTGTTGCAGAGCGCGGCCCTACAAAGGAGGACAGCATGATCAGCAATGGTGATCTTGGGCTAGATTGCTAGAAAGCGAATCCTCACACGTTGAGAAAGTCGGTGAAGCACTCGTCGTCCTTGATTCTGTCGGAGCCGAGTTCTTTACTGGCAACCTTGTCACCATCCTTGGATGTCTCTTTCGCGTGATTCGGGTCGCTGTCTTTGGGTTGCCTTTCGGTCTTGAAGACTTCTCCTGCGTTGGGGTTGAAGGCTTCCTCGCTGTCGCTGACAGTGAAAGTACCGCTGGCGGGAACCCAGGCACGCTTGACTACCATGCGACCTTGGGTGAGCGTACCAGTCTTGTCTGAGCAAATGTCCGTCACTGCGCCAAGCGACTCGATGGCATCCATCTTGCGGACAATGACATGACGGCGAGTCATAGCACGGGCACCCATAGCCATGGTGATGGAAAGGACAGCGCTGAGCGAGGCTGGGATCATCGAGACACCAACACTGAGGAACGAGGCACAGAAAAGTCAGTGCTGGCCTTGCCAGGGCTCTTTAGGTCTACGCTGCTCACCTGACGGCGTAGATGATGACCTCGCGATCAGTCCAATTGTTGGACAAGAAGCAGATGATTGCGAACAGAATTGCAACAAGGAAAAGCAAGACAGCAAGCAGCGAGAGCTTGCGCTGGAGCGGTGTACCGTGGTTAAGACCCAAGAAAGTGGCGATCTGGTCCCAGACCGTGAGTGCACCGGCTTGGACGTAGTGGTGAGGGAGCTTCTTGCCGTAGCTGTTCTGCTTGACGGCGCGGATCTTTTTGCGCTTGGCGTTTCCTTGTAGTGCTTGCGCAATCTTGCCGATTTCGGTGTTCATACCGGTAGCGACGACGATACCGGTCCCGCGACCCCGAGTGACATTGCTGGACATGTAAGCCATGTTGATCCGATCGCCGACTCCAGTCTCCTCGGGAAAGGCGTTGGCATGCTCTTTGGCGACAGGGAGGGACTCGCCGGTCAGGAGTGCTTCATCAGCCTCGAGGTTCATGGCCTCGATCATGCGGAGATCACCTGGAACAGTGTCGCCGACAGTGATCTCGCATATGTCTCCCGGTACGAGCTCTGTGCTGGGGATGGTGACGCCTTGTCCGTTGCGGATGACGCGTGCAGTCGGCGAGGCGAGAGAACGAAGCGAGGCCATCGTTTTTTCTGCCGAAAGCTCTTGAAAATAGCCGACAATGACGTTGATCGCCACGACGCCAGTGAGGACACCGCCCTCGATCCATGATTTGATCGCAAAGGAGACGACGAGGGCGATGATCAACACCTGCAAAGAAAATAAAAGACTCAGTCAGCAGAGTGTAAATTATGCAAGTGTGGATCTGCTCACCGCTGTCATGGCATTAACAACCTGGTTGAGAAAGATTTTGAAATAGTTGATGCCGGAGTCTCCATCGAGCTCATTTGGCCCGTATTGCTGCTGCCTTTCTCGCACTTCGCGGTCTTTGAGCCCGCCATCAATGTTGCTTTCGAGCGCTGCGACGATGGGCTCAAAGTAGTAGCGGTAAGCTTGTGTGAGGGCATCTTGGCGTGAAATGGGCCCAACAGCATCGGGATCTCTATTGGAGTAGGCCGACGACTGTGTTAAGGTCGCGGCACGTGAGGGCATAGGCATGTTGAAAGAGTGTTTTTGTTGAGCGCAGTTACCTGATTTGGAGTAATGGCCCGCATGGGCGCACGTTACGGTCACGGGTGGTAAGCAGGCTGGATGATGGACGAGGTAACATCAACGAAATAATCAACATACATCGGCTGGCGCCTTATATATACACCACCTTAAGCGAGTCCAGATGGATAAGTTGGACATATCATGGGTACACTGTACCTGACCTGACACGAGCGCCAAGATCTTCGACTGGTGGCGGCCCACGCTCCAATGCTTGTGAAACGCACATTTGTACATACTCAAAAAGGACTTGGATCATGGATAAACGGATGCAGTGCCATCTGCCCAGCCTCCGAGCCTCCCACGTGCGTGATCAATAGCTGGGAGGGTGACTGGAGTGGGAAGGACGTCATCAGTCTGAGACTTCCTCTCCGAGAACGCTTTTTTACTGTTTTATATCGCATGTAATCATTCACAATCACACCGGGCTTGGCTGCTTTATCATCCTTGACGGCTTGGCGTGGAGTGCGCCTCAAGTGAACAAAAGGGGCCGAGCGGGCAGCAAGGAAGTGTAGAAAATGAGCGAACCATGATTGGGCTGCTCTCGCCGTTGACACGCAGCTTCCTGTAGTGGACTCAAGAAATTGAAAACGTCGACCCGTGTCTTGGATGTGGTTTTCTAACGGACATCTTCCTCTTGGCGATATCGCCGGACCGCCGGGATCTCCTGTTTCTGGGCAGGCGGCGGCTCCAGACTGTGGCTGCTTCGTCTACAATGCATACCCATTGACTCGTACCCGACTCGAGGGCCACCTTCAGCATAATTCATTATGTGGTGCATTGCAAATATGTACTCATGAGCTGTATGGCCCAAGTTGAGGACGTATGCCGCATCTCCGAGGTTGTCGACGCTCAGCTGTCGTTTGCAGAGCCATTGGTCATGAGCCGCCCACCTCGGCGAAGTCGTACCGCTGTGCCAATTGGCGTCCTGTCACTCCCTGCTGTCGCCGTCGTTGACATATGAGCTCGCGTCAAGCCACGGAACAGATATCTGAGAACGAGAACGGTTAGTGTTGTGTGAAGCACCTGCAGTCTGCTTGTGGTGTACGGGTAGAGAGCATGTACGACGATACGTCACGTGGAATGAGCCAACAAAGTCTTAGAAAAATGTGCCCATACGGAGGTGGGAAGATTAGCTTGAAAGCTTAACAGCTTAACACATGATGTCCAAGACGTTTCATCACTGTTCGAGCACGCTTCCGATTGAGGTACATGCGTTAGTCGAAACGTCAAAATGCCCCAGTTCCATCACCCTGGGAGCGCGTCAAGGCGTCAAGGCTTCGGTGCGGAGGTATCCCTTCCTTGTACTCACGCTCATCATCGGGTAGTAGATATGCTCATGGGAGTCATCGAGCCGTAGGGCGGCGCATCGCGGCAGATGGCAGTCCTTTGCAGACTATGACTGGTAAGAGGCACGGGGCTGCATGCGCACACACATCTGATGATGCCGCCGGCGAAGTAGAACACTCTAAAACAGCCTCGTTTGTTGTAAAAGGCACGGCACGGCCGTGGAAAGCGGTAACACGTAAGTCACATCTTAGTCTTTCTTACGCAGACACAACGCCCACATGTTTTCAAATGGCGCCGACCATGGGCGAAAAATGACTTGCCGCAAGATGTAACAGAACGCGACCACACAAGCGAATACTGCGTCGTGAATTCAAACATGCGTATAAATGAGCAACACCTTCAGCCGTTACGTGGCGACCCAGGAGCTCGGTGCATCTGCGAAGCGGGTGGAGCACAGGAAATCTTCACATGTACCGTTCCCTCAGGTGCTGCACTTTGACGTGAAGGCGCCTTTTTCGTGGCGACGGGAGGCGAGCACTGGGAACACTAAGCCGTCGTAGATGATAAGGATGCCCCCTTTGCTGCAGTAGCCGTCTTCAGGTCAGATATGCATGTACGAGGAACCAAATTCGATTGTATACGCAAAGACACCAAAGAAGTCTGGGTAGCAGCGAGCAAGGTCGTGAACTACTGCGGCGGAAACATTGAAGCATCTAAAAACAACTCGCCAAACAGATTTCTCCGTTCAAAAATGGCTACCGCCATGTCTCAGAGAGACATGATATCCCTGCTCTTTCCGCTGCTGTAATCCCAGAAGAACTACTCGACTTTTCTCCCCTGCAAGTAGCCGCGTCGATCATACGCCTCGCTGTCGGAACCGTGGTTGGCTCGATGGACGTTGGCGACATAGATTGGCAGGCGCGGGTCGGGAATCCAGTCGGTGAGGCGCCTACCGGATCTGGGCAGCGTGAGATAGCTGAAGGGCCCGTGTATGATGAACGTGGCGAGCAGGGAAAGGAATATGCAGAAGTTAAGCGTGCAGAATGCGCGGTAGGTGTTCAACGGCCAGATGATGCCGTCTGCGTCGCCGTCGAACCAAGCGACGTGTTGCAGACGCAAAAGAGATCGACAACGAGATTCCAGCTGTAAATTCTAGAAAATTCAGCACATTCCGCTGTTTCTGGAAAAGTGCAAACCTTTTGGAGCATCGTCAGGCTTTGCGTCGCTTCTCAGTACTCGGCGTCTGTGCACCGGCCACGGTAGCTGTGCTTGACACTGTACGGCACCTTTCCCTTGGTCTCACCAAGGGTGGTGTTGTTATTGTCAAAAGCTGTGTCCAAATCGAGGTTTCTCCTGAGACCGTGGTGAGCCGCGCAGTCAGCATAGCTCTGGGTATTGGCGATCGTCGACATGATTCCCATGGGAATGAGGACAATGATGGCGATGATCAGAAGCAGCAGCAGCTTTTTGCAAGAGCACTTGCATATGACAAGATGTCTTCTCGAAGAGTTCAGACGAGATGTGGTCGCGCATTTGTCTGATTCGAATCGAAGGCTGCACTGGGAGACGGCAGAGATAAGGAACTGGGAGAAGACGCAAAAGGTTCGGTGAGCATTATAAAGGCTCGCGCCTGGTTTGGAACCACAGAGCACATCACCAGACAAGGGCCAAGCGCTGAATCAATGATAGAGGACCCAGGGAGTTTTGCTCGGTTGCTTTGTGCAGCCAAGACCACTGACAAGAGAGAGGGACACAGGGTGGCCGAGGACCAATCGCAGTTTGTTCGGATGACGCATAATGTAGCATGTTCACCTCAGCATTCGCGAAGCTGACATGCAAACGGACACAGTGACTCTGTATCAGCAGCAAGCAGTCATCCGGAACTTCAAGACTCTTTGGGGTTCGACGTGCAAATGGAATGATGCTGAAACTCGGAAGGGTTTGCAGTTATAATGCTCCATCATCTCAAGCGGCTTTCACCATTGGCCGATTAGCAAGATCTTACCGGTTTGTTTATTTCGCCGTTCGCATCTACGGAAGGGAAAATGATTCACGTGGATAAACCCCTATGTCCATTCCAGTCACGTGAGCGCCATGTCCAACGCTTGTCCCAGTTCCGCAACCAAATCTCTTCCGCTCCAGCTATGAAATTTTCCCTTGCGACATGTGGAGGCGCGCAGGTGAGGCATGGTATATATACGCGAGTTACAATGGATAACTTCTTTCCCTCCTTTCCCTAAGACCTTACTGTGCGTATCTCCTGCATAGCTGCCTTGCAGCGCAGTCACCCCTTGCTTCACTCCAACAGGACAATATCGCTGACTGCATTCACTCCTTGTCTTTTATTCAATTTTGCAACCAACAGCTGCAGAATCTGTGCATACAGTTTTCTACCGAGTCTGGCTTGCTCAACTTTTGAGCCACATTTTTCAAGGCAGACGATGAAACCTTTGGTTCTGTTACATCATACCCTTACGCAGCGAGGACAATGGGCCCTTCTCTCTCGAGAGTCGATGTCGCCCTCCGATGACCTAGCCTCTCTTCATTCTTTTGTTTCACACAAGACCTGCGTATGCTTCTCGGAGCGGCGGGGGGATGTCAGAGGGGAGGTATGATGGCCAAGCTCTGATGCCTTCAATCTTTGTTCAATCTTTTGTAGTTGAAACGATTTTCACTGTATGCAATTTTGTTAATTTTCATACTGGCAATTGTAGCGCTTTTAACGTGTAAACCCTCTGGCTTGCTGTTGTATTCCCTTCGATACTGCGTTTTCGATGATTCGCAGCGATGTAGCTTGTTTGGGACCGCGTGCGTGTGAAATGAGCAAATGCCGCCAAGGACTGGTTCAACCCCTCGCATAGGAACAATAGCATTAACAATACGGCTGCCTGCAGACCGCAAGCCATTTTTCGGCTCAAATGTTGAAACACAAACTCAAGTATACGATTGTTTTGGCGCGTTGCATCTGCCGCAAAGGATGCAATGCTGGAAACATTCAGGTGAAGATGTTCACTTGCTACTGCGTCTGTTTTCTATGACTTGTACCTTGCTCATGCACCTGTAAGCATTGCACTCCGTCTGCTGTTGGCGTCTAGCTTGGGAGTGGAGAATGGGATGGAGTCATGTTCTTCAATACTGAAGTTTGCTCCCCCCTCGGCTTCCTTCGGTACCAAACTCTCACCGCTCACCATTTCTGCGAAAAGGCGGGAGCCGCACTCGCAACGTAGTAGATACATGAATGTAGATCCCACAACAGTCTTTGTACCTAACCCACGCCCCGCCAGCTTAGCTGGGTACCTATAAGCACTTGAACACGTAGCTAGACATGGCTTTGTTAGCTTCTTACCCCACTCTCCGCAGTAGCGTATATGCATTCAATAGCACTCTCCGACCCCGACGGAGGCTCTGGATGCCTGGACACAGGTACACTGCCTGTCTCTCGTTTAATAAATATATATATTATTGATTCTCTATTGTGCCGCGCGTGTCGCCCGAGCCCGATGGGGCCGCTCCGCGGGTGTGTCGAGTGAGACGGCCGCTGTCGAAACAAGACGTGCAAAATGGATACACATGCTCCGCCGCCTCCAGTGTGACCTCCTATGATCCATCGCCATGCTCTTCGAAGACTCGTGGGCTACCAACAAGACTCTCCTCATTGACAAGGTAGCATGTACATGGCTTAGCCGCTAGCATTTGCAGTACAGGCTGTGTTTTTCACAGCTCCAAAGGCAGTGAGGCACACAAGCGCACGCCTGCGCTGAGAGCGGTGAGCAAGCAACGCTAACACGCCCCAGGTGTACAACTACAATCGCAGGCACGTGGGTCGACACGCCGGCTTTGAAAACTCATTAGCCTCGGTTCTGCTTCAAGTGCTCTACAGAAGGCGTCCACAGCGTGGGCCGGCACGAAAGCGCTATATTCAGAGGCTGCCCCTTTCTTTCTCGGCGGAGGTTTGAGGCGGGAAGCTCAGAACAGGGCAAGAGTACAGGCAAGGACCCAGTTTGCAGCCATGTCCGCCCTCAGCAACGCCTCTATTCGCAAGAAGCGCAACTTCAAGGGCCTTCAATTGTCCGAATCGCCGCTGGCCATCCCTACGCCATCACTGACCTCCTCCGCGGGGGACTCATCGGCCGGCCCATCGTCTTCACTGGCTAGCAGCCTCTCGTCCGCTGCGCCGTCGGACGCTTCGAGCTCGCGCCTGTCCGAGTCGACGAACGCGACTGTACGAGGACAGACAAATGGCCTCACGGCGGGAAGCGCCACAGCAGGAAGTAGAGTTGGTGGCGGCGGGGTCACCGCGTCGTCCATCGGCTCGCTGACGGGCCTCTCCACCGCCTACAGCGCAGCCGGCTCGACTGCAACCAGCACCGCCTTCACTCTTCCGGGAAGTGGAGCAAATTACCACAACAAGCTCAGCGAACAGCTCGCCAGTCTGGAGTTGAGTGGAAAGAATGGAGAAGTGAAGTTGGACCTACGGAACGAGGACCTCAAGTTCTTGTCGGAATTAGGAGCAGGGAATGGTGGGACTGTGACTAAGGTGAGCCGCCTGGCCGTCCTCTCTTTCATGGTCACGTCTTATCGCGACTCGCCTCCCCCAACCTCGATAGGTTCTGCACGAAAAAAGCGGCAAGGTGATGGCAAAGAAGGTGGTGTTCATCGATGCGAAACCGACAGTTCGCAAGCAGATTCTGCGGGAATTGCAGATCTTGCATGAATGCAACTCCAAATTCATTGTCAGCTTTTACGGCGCCTACCTCAGCGAACCGCATATCTGCATGTGCATGGAGTTCATGGACAAAAAGTAAGTATTGGCAACCCACCAGCATGTCTCTCCCGAACTCGGAAGGGATCAAGGAGAGGGCTGGCCCAAACTAACCCTGCTTTGTTTCCGTCGTGTTTTACTTTTTCCCAGGTCGCTAGATACAGTCTACAAGCGATGGGGACCAATACCACCAGAAGTCTGCGGACAGGTCGCAGTCACAGTCGTACATGGCCTCACGTACCTGTATGACGTACATAGGATCATTCACCGAGGTCAGCTTTGACCACGTCACGAGTCATGTCGTCCTCCGCCATTGTACCCACTCTTACCTCTTCTTGTGCCTCCACAGATGTCAAACCGAGCAACATATTGGTCAACAGCCAAGGCCAGATCAAAATATGCGATTTCGGCGTCTCTGGTGAACTCATCAACAGCATCGCGGATACTTTCGTCGGGACAAGCACCTACATGAGTGTGAGTAGTAATAGAATGCAAGGCCGTGCGCTCATCTGCAGCAAGAGTTGATGTCTCTTATTCGATCGCACCATAGCCTGAGCGGATCCAAGGGGACCAGTACAGCGTCAAATCCGACGTGTGGTCGCTAGGGGTGACATTCATCGAGCTAGCGCTGGGTCGCTTCCCCTTCTCAGCAGAAGACGAGGATGTGGACGAGGTTCCAGATGAACTAAAGGGCACGCTGTCGCCTACGCGCCCGACGCCGCATGCGGAGATCGAGTCGGCCAAGGAGCGCGCGCGCAGGCGACGAAGCAAAGGAGGTGTCACACTTGAAGGCAGCAACGCGCAGATGAGTATTCTCGATCTACTGCAGCATATTGTCAACGAGCCGTCGCCCAAGCTACCTGATTGGCCCGACTTCTCGAAACTCATGCACGACTTTTCGGCGAAATGCCTGCTTAAGGACCCCGAGGCGAGACCGTCCCCGAAAGATCTGCTATCGCACGCGTACATCAAGCAGAGCGAACAGTCCACGTACGATGTCGTCGCATGGGTCCAGCAACTGGACTGAAAGGCTTTTCTACATAGTTAAGGGTCCGCGGGTCCAGGACGCCCCCTTCCCCTTCCCCTTCCCTCTGAAACGAAACCAACCCAATTCTGTATTCTTAATCATTGACGACATACATCAACCTGAGCAATGTCCTTTGGGCATACGCAGCCAACTCGGCCTCATATATATCCAACACACCCAGGGGAACAGAATGAAACGGTATGTCAAATTGCATGCAAAGACCCTGGTATGGTACAGAGACCGGATGTATATACGGATACATGCCACACAACGGCGCGGGACTGGAGGCAGGAGAACAAATGCAGTAACTTGGAGGGAGTGGAAAGAGTAGACAAATAATGTCTTTTTTCTTGGAGGACAAGGACGGAATAAATGCAGCGCGGTAGGGCGGGCGAAAGTGTTGAGCAGATATTTGCAGTTGAAGGATAGTCGGTAGCCTTGTGAGGCTGTGGGTTGCCATCGTGGCAGTGAACGGATGGATGCAAGACGGGGAGCGCAAAGCTGGCGAGGCGATCGCCGAATAAAGGTCCGTTGCTGTGTCAACGTTCGATCCGCGGTCAAGTCGAAGCAGAAGGTAAAAAAGGGGGGATGACTAGAACTACTAAAGAGGCGCTTAGGTCGCGCTCAACCTTTTCTCAAACTGCGTGCGGATCCAAGTCGTCCGTCGAACGCTGCGGCGTCGCCGTGGGGCTGGCGCCATGGTGGAAAGTAGGCTGCATGCGGACCTCCGCTGCAGGCGCCAGGAAGCCGAAGTTAGCGTGCTGGTGCGGGTAGCTTTGCATCGGCTCGCTGTTTCCGGCCCATAGAGGCTGTTGCGGCGGGTAGGCGCGATGCGCGGGAGCGAGGAAGGCAGTCGTCTCGTGTGGATACTGGTTGTTTTGCTCGCGAGTCTCGTGCTGCGACTGGAAGTGGAAGTTGGATGGCGCCCGTGGAGGCCGCTGTTGCGCGTATGGGTAGTCGCGATACGGCGTCGCTTCAGGCTCCGACCGGTAGTCTTGACGTTCCGCCGCTGCGACGGCAGGAACAAGTGCAGGGGCAGGGGCTTCTTGTTGCTGTTGATGCTGCTCTGGCTGGAAGGCCTCGCTGGACCCCTGCTGTGGCTCATGTTGTCGATGAGCAGGCACAGGCTCCGCCTCGAACTGCGGCGTGCCGAGCAGGTAAGCTGACGAGCCGCCTGAGGGGTTAGTCATGTGTGACGAATGCGCGTAGTTGGAGCTCGCCTCTGCCAATGGCGGTTGCGGCTGCGGCATCTCCTTCTCTGCCACTTGCGGAAGAGCAGTTGACATCGCTACTCCACCACCACCAGCAGCAAGAGCGCCTGCTGCAACAGCGACAGCGTTGTCCTCTTCCTCCGTCATCGACTCGAATTCATGCGCCGATTGTCCATCCTGCTGTGACAGCGCGGAGAGGATCTGCGCCTGCTCGTCCCGCGACTTGAGCTCGAAAGATGGATGACGGTTGAGGTACGCCTGCTTGATGCGTCGAGCGTCCTGGTACGGCGTCGACGCAGAGAGGACGCCGAGGCTGCTGCTGCCGCCAACGCCATGCCCGGTACTGTTGGCGCCAAAGTCGGCGCGCTGCGCAGCTGCGAGGCCACCCTGGTTGTGCGCATGCATCACGTCGTCCTCATCAAAGACGCCGTGCATGCGGTGCACTTCGCGCGCCTTGGCAAGCTGCGCATCGGACCAGATGGCCGCCTCGTCGAGGCTCGGCGAGCGGCTCGTGCCTTCCTTCTCGGCACCCGAGGCTATAGCGAGCGCGTGGCGCTTCTTGCGCTGCCGCTTCAGGTACAGGACAACGAGGACCATGATCCCGGCGATGCCCGCGATGCCACTCAGCACGCCAATCAGTGCCTGCAGCCCCGAAGTGAGTCCGCTGGGGTTGGCTGTTGTGGAGACAGGGTCTGCGCCAAGAGACTGCTTGAGCACGCGGACTTGGTACTGTGTCACGTCGTGAAAAGGAAATATCGTCAGCGTGTGGGGCGGAGATGGCAAAGAGCAAAAAAGTCAGCTCACGAATTGGTCCCGAGCAAATTTGGGGTCAGTGATAAGCGGCCGGATGCCGATTTGTGGATCGCAGATGTCGCTGGTCTCGTTTGTCGGCTTATGGACAAGATCGTCGCAGCTGAACACGCTGAACACGCTCCGCATGCTGTGTCGCAAGATCAACAAACAAAAGATCGAAAAGGGGAGCACAACGCGCGGTCAGCAAGGTGCAAACAAACAAATAAACAAAGAAGTCAAGATTTCTTCTTTGTTCACTCTTCCTTTGAACCTTTTCGCAGCAGCACAGGCCGCCGGAAGGGAGCGGCAACTCACAAAGGTGCGCCGATGACAAAATCTGCGCCGAGCTTCTGCACGCCGCCGACGACTCCCTGGTCGATGGCCTGGAAGCCGCCAAAGCAGTAGTTCGGGTCGCCGCTGGTCTGGTGGATATTGGCGTCGAGCGGGTGGATGGGGACCTGAACACTGCTTGTGCCTAGATAGAGTGTAAAGTTCATCATCAGGTCGCACGGGACGTAGTACCCCCCGTCAGAGCCGGGCTGGTAGCCGTACGCCCCATACACCTGATTCAGTACGCTGGTCGGCGCAAGTGAGAAGGGCGTGCCGGTCGAGAAGGTGGCGAGCGGGTACTGCGTGCCCATCGACCCTCCGAGTGAGAGCGGGACTGTGTTGCCGCCGACGTCGATGGTCATCTGCGTGAGGTAGGTGCGCCAGTGCGCCGCCGACGATATGGATCTGGACGAGGAGCCGTCTCCCGAGTCGCTGCCGCTCGCGGGGGTCGAGGGCACCTTGTCGAATGTTAGCTGGCTCATGTTGGTCGCGTACGTCGGGTCGAGCGAGCTGATCGTCAGCGTGCTGTCACCTACTCCGCCCTCGGAGGGCAGGCGCTGCAGGCCAACGCCAATGTAGCGCGCGCCGAGTGGGCGGCCGGACCAGATGCCCGTGAGAATGCTGCCGGTGGACGAGGCGTCCGAGACGTCGTTTCCCGGGTTTGAGTTGCCGGTGTTGTCATACAGCAGGCGCTGCAGCTCGCTTGCGAGCGGCAGGCCGAGGCCGACGATGCCGGTAAAGTTGCCCGCGCCGAGCGGCTCGTTGGTGACCGTGCTCGCCGAGCCGAGCGCCTGCCGTACCAGCGTAAGGTCCGTGCCCGGTACGAGCACGTTAGATGTGACGATCGAGCCGGACACGCCGCCCTGGACGTACTGAATGTCGAAGCGAATGTTAAGGTTGGGTGCGTCGCGCGAGTCGAAAAGCTGGACTTTCGACGACGATGTGCTCGAGCAGGAGTCGGACCGGCAGCCAGTGCTCGCCACCCAGAGGTCCGAAGAGCCGGTGTCTACCTGCAGGTTCAGCGTCTGGTGGTTGATGCTGATAGGCATTGTGTAGATAAGCTGGCCGCCACCTCCGAGATGAGATAGGACGATGCGGGACGTGTTGCGGTAGCTCGACGGGTCTGTCAGGATGCCGTTCGCCGAGCCTCCCGCAGCACTATCGTCACCAGATCCTGGGTTAGGACTCCCTGCTACGCCATGCGCTGTCGCTGTAGACGACGAGGAGGCGGTGGCGGCAGCAGGGCTGGTCGACGCCCCGGTCCTTGGACCGGTGGTTGTCGCAGTCCCTTTCGTCGAGGCGCCACCACCTACTGCATCGGTCTGTATTGAGCTACGCGTGTCAGTACTCGCGCCGGTAGCTGGCGAGCGGGTCGTAGACCCCTGGCCACCTGGATTTGCCGAGCTACCACCACCGCCCTGGTTGGCTTGGCGAGCCTGCCAAGCGGGGTGGTCAAGAGGACGCCGACGGGGCCGCCGATGTTCTGTTAGTCTCTTGTCGGAAACCATGGCAGCTGCTGTCCAGTACTGGCACCGTTCCGAATGAGGAGAGGGGTGGTGGTGATCAGAGACGCAGTCGAAAAATGGTGGGCGTGAATTCAAGCTAGGGGGCCTGCTGATTGAAGCGGGAGCAGGGGCGAATATCGAGATCCAGCGATGCAGCAGACGGGGAGTGTGCGTGGGGAGCGTGCTGCAGGCGGGGGCCCACCAGACTGCTGTTCCCGGCCCCGACCGCGATGGTGCGCTACCCTGCTGTGAGCACCCGAGACAAGCCGACGAGATGAGAGGAGTCAATGTATGCTGCGTACTCGTTTCACTCTTTTCTTTGCATAGCTAAAAAGGGGTGGAGCGATGGGGATGAGCTGTAATGGAGAACACCATGAACTCTACGTTAGAGGGACTGAGTCGAAAACGGGAGGGGGCAAGTGACCAACGAAGAGTGGCACAGCATCAGTTCCTATTCTTTTTTTATTAATAAAGGAGCACAGCATATACACTCCTCCTGCGCCTCGTCACGGTTGCTCCCTCTTGTATTCTCCTTCTCCACCGTCAGTCACCACTCCAAAAAAATGCTCCCGCTCACTTTTGGGTAAAAAGAAAGCCCATTAGCCAAGCGTTGAACAATATATGTACACTGGCCAGATGCTGCCTAATTTTTTGGGTGCTTGTGACACCCGCTCCATCCAACTGTTATCTAGGACGTGTGGTGTTCGGTGACTCGCGGAATGCTTCCAGCAAATCACCAAATGGAAGTGTGTGGAGAATGTGTATGAGCAAACTTGGTCCCCTCTCCATTCGGTGGAGCAAGTACATGCAAAACTCTTTTATTCCAATTCCATTCCCTTGCTTGGATCGGGCGGCACCGTTTGCACCACTGCGTTGTAACAAGCTCAAGTGGCCTGCCGCAGTACGCCCCCCCATTGGCATATCCACCAGTGGTGTCTCCCTCGTACCTCTTGTGGTGGACTATGCGGTATGCATGTGCATTCTCCTTGGACATGTATGAATCTAGCCATTATCCCTGCCTTCATAGAGTGCCCCTGAACTTCTGGGATTGGTCTGCTGTGACCACCGACGCTTGCTACACAACTCTTCTTTTGGCTCTCCCATGTCATTGAGCATCCCATCTGTTGCATTGACCAGTCGGAGTGCAGGAAAATGGTTGAACTCCTCTTCAATCTTCACCCATCGTCGAACGCGCACCCTGCACCTTGTCTCCTCCTGCATTCCCTACAAGGCTTGTACTAATTCGGCTCCCCAATCGCGCTCGGACGCGGGTCTGTCGCGCAGACCAACAAGGGCCGCTGTGATCAAACGAGTTTGGCAGTCATGGTTACAGCTCACCGTGTCGTGCATACGTAGCAAGTGAGAAGAAGATTCGCCATACATGCATCTTGATTTGCTGTAGGTGCATGAACGCGGCTGACCGTCATTGTGTCATATTTGGCAGCAGCCTGCAGCAGTGGCTGCTACTAATAAGAATTGACGTTCTGAGACCCTAGTAGCTGACAAGCAGTCGCCCTCCCTCGCTCCTCGCAGTGGAAGCGAACAACAGGCAACGGTCAACAAACACGCAAAAATCACCAGCGCCGATGGGCTTCGCAGCACATGTTGCCATTGGACTAACCGCAGTTGCCGCTGATCGTATCGCATTCACTCCCGACGGCTTGCCTGTGTATCATCTTTGCAACGAGCACCAATGTGTTCAACGGGACTAGCCCGGAACGCGGAGTCTCTGCTTGGTCGTAGCGACCTGGGTAGCTATGACTTGTCTATCGATAGAATACCATTCGACAGTGCCATGTTATGACTTGTACGCTGTTGCTCCCGCATTGGCTACTGAGCGGACCCGTCACCATGATCAATCATATCGGCCTGTATTGGATGGGTGGATGGGGAACTGATTATGAGAGCGACGTAGTATATACCAACTGACATAGATGATGAGTACACGTCTCCTGCTCGAGTCTATATCAGAGCCTGCTTGCTTGCAATGAGCGACGACGACGGCTGTGCAAAATACAACAGGCCAAAGTTGACGGCGGAACTGCGACGCTCGTCGTCTCTCTCCAGAGAAATGGGCTGAAGCTCGCGCGACTCTCCCCTTGCGCTCGCGCAGGGATAATGTGTTCGGAGAGAGCAGAGAGGGGCAGCGCCGGCCGTGCTGTCTGGGCACTGCCCCAGCCAAATGAGCACAATACGGGCATTCCACCAGTCTCCCTGCCACCTCTTGGCTTGTGGCCGTCATCAAGTCGTCATCACACCTGCCGGTCCAGCAGGCCGCAGGTGCTGGCCTCAAGCGACCTCCCTCCCCGCGAACCACGCACGAAGAGACAGAGAGGGAGAAGAACACCGCCTGTGCGCAACAACCCCCCTTCCCCAAAAGCGCGCACAGAGAGAGACTCTCTGCACAGAGTACACACACCTCTCCATCATCGCCACTCAAGGGTTATGTTTGCTTCGCGTCTCCAATCCATCTCCAGCTTGCAACCACACAGAGAGTCCAAGCAACTGTGATAGCCATCAGCCAGTCCAATCCTACAGCTATCTCTTCCTCCTTCTTCCTCGTCCACTTTCGACACATACGTTCACTCTTCGCTGCACAAGTCCCCTTTTTCAGTCTTGAAAAAAGCAGTACCAGCAGCAGGGGAAGGATCCAGGTCTCTGATAAAGGTGAGTGTCCTCGACCCAGCGCTCAGGCCACGTCCTCCTTTCGTTCTTTGCTGCAAGAGGGAAACAGGCGCACAGGAGGGATATCAATGCTGTGCCGCCGCTCGTTCACCCCTTACGCCCAAGCCAAGGCTAGGCCGCGTAGACACGCCTTGGAACGCGGAAAAGGGGAGGGAACGGAAGGAAAGGGAAGCCCACAGCAACCCCCTTAGGGCCGGGTGTGCCAGCTTTCCCTTCCACGTCCTCCCTCGTTGCTCATGCCTAGCGCTGGACTGCTCGGGATTCAGCCACGAACCTGCGCAACAGCTCCAGAAGGCAAGAACGCAGGCGAAGAGGAAACCCATCGGTTGCCTTTACCCGTAGCGACAGGGGTAGCGACAGATAAAGAGGTGCCTTTCGTGTGAGGAGGGTTCAGGGGTTCGACGAAAGAAGCGGCCTGCATCTTCGTGCGCATACAGCCCATGGAAAGGGAGACGCTAGGTGTGCCCCATCGCTCGCTTTACTCGACCGACCGTGCTGGGCCATCGGCTGATGTGGTAGATAGTGGCGATGCGAGCGCGAGATGGTCCATGCGGAGCAGCGCGCTTGCATCAAACCATTGTCAGACAAGATCGCACCTTGTACCTGCCTGGCTCAATGTGCTCGGGGCTTCCTTACGGCACTGCCGAGTATTAGGCTCACGCCGACTGCCCTTGTCTTCCTTCTTCCCTTGCACCACCCCCTCTGCGCAACGACTGCATCGGCCCGTCACCTTTGCGCAACCCAAATTCTACCGCCGCCGCCGTGACACAAGTGTGCCTTCGTATTTCACTACACGCATAAAAAGCAACAGACACAATGGCGGAAATCAGACGCAAACTCGTCATCGTCGGCGACGGTGCTTGCGGTAAGACGTGCTTGCTCATTGTCTTCAGCAAGGTCAGTTTGGCATACTGTATGCTCGCTCAGTGGCGCATTTGTGTTCGTTGCCTCGCTTGAGAATACTTCTGCTGACATTGAGCGCTTGAACGTGGATCATCGCCAACAGGGAACCTTCCCGGAGGTACGCAGAAACTCGATCCCGCCTCGCGCTGCGAGTGGCATGCTGACTTTAGCCCTCCCTGCGTCTGATCGTCGCCCGCTATTCTCTGCTTGATGACATCGCTCGCAAATGACAGATCTACGTCCCGACCGTCTTCGAGAACTACGTCGCAGGTGAGCAGCAGCATTGCTGCAACTTCACCCCGTTTCATCGGATCGTGCGCTGACTGCCTGTTCATCGTTGATGACGATGATGGTGCAGACGTCGAGGTCGACGGCAAACACGTTGAGCTCGCGCTTTGGGATACCGCCGGACAAGAAGACTACGACAGACTACGACCGTTGTCGTACCCAGACTCGCACGTCATCCTGATCTGCTTTGCTGTTGACTCACCCGACTCGCTGGATAACGTGCAGGAGAAGGTCCGTCGGCTAGCTCGAAGAGTGTGGGAGCGCTTCCACGTGGGCTGACGCAAGGCACACATGCTGCTGCGCTTTTCCATCTCGTTTTGTTTGCATACAGTGGATCTCGGAAGTGCTGCACTTCTGCCAAAATCTGCCCATCATCCTCGTCGGCTGCAAGAAGGACCTGCGCCGTGACCCGAAGATCATCGAGGAGCTGCGAAAGACTTCGCAAAGGCCCGTCTCGCCGGAGGAGGGCATGGCCGTCGCGCAAAAGATTGGCGCCGCACGGTACCTCGAGTGCAGCGCCAAGACGGGCGAGGGCGTAAGGGAGGTCTTCGAGCATGCCACACGGGCGGCGCTGCTCAGCAAAGGCAAGCAGAAGAGGAGCGGCGGAAAGTGCCTCGTTCTCTGATCAGCAAGGCACGATAGCGCAGCAATGGCAGGAAAGGGGGTCACGAGCGGGCGAGCAGGTGCAGCTTTTGTCTCCTGCCCCGCCCATGCCATTGTCCTGCTTTTCTCTGCGATGACAAGAACGACCCCACAGCACACTCTTCCTTCCTCAGTTTCATGTCCACCACCACATCTGTTTTTCTTCTTTTGGCTATGCTGTTGGAACGTCGCTCAACGATCGGAGGCGGAACCGACCGGCTGTGCGCTTGGCCGCGCGTATTCTCTTTTTTCGCTTGAGAGCTTCCACGATCCGATCTTGTTCGCAGCTCCCTGAATACATACACACACCGCTTTCACCCGTCGTACGCCGTCCGCTGTCCGCCAAGGATCACGTACCTCATCATCATCATGACTATCGATTACTGCCGTCATCACCGCCGCCAAGCACAGTGCTGCGCCCCCTGTCATCACCGCCACATCGCAGTGCATCGCCAACAGCTCCGCACATCGGACGCCTCTGCAAGGCTCGCCCTCGGCCAACGCTCTGTCGCGCCTGAGACTGGCTGGGTTGATGATGGACGGATAGAGAATGGACGCACGCACGCACACATGCGTGAACGTGTACTCGTCCTCCCTCTCTCTCTCACTTCCCACCTGTCCCTCTCTCCTCACGATGATGTAGTCTTGGAACAAACACTCGACCACTAGCGACTGATTTGACTGACGCAGCCCAGGTTCCGGTTTCGCGCTCCAAAATGGCGCTCCAGGGCGGGCCCTGCGGGCGTACATGACGTTTGATCGCGCTTTACAACGTACGTACATCCTCGTCGATGTACAAGCGCTTTGTATGTACGAGTGAGCTACCCGAATGCCGCTTGATGAAATGGAGCGATTCTTGTTCTTCTTTCCCAGCAGGTATGGGTTGTCCTATGATTAGGGTTGCCCATGTGCGTGTTCTGCTTGAGCGCCGGAGAGAGGGGGGAAGGGATATTGGGAAAGGTCCAACCCGCAAATAGGGGCGTCTCGAATCAAAGGCAGGAGTGAAGTGGATCGAACGAGCGGCCAGAGATCCGTGTACTGCTGCACGAATTGAATGAATCCCTCCATCTCCCCGGCCCGTCGCCGAGCGCGATGACGCCGATGAGCGATGGGTGGGGCAGTTGCGGCCAAGAGGTTTCTGTGTACGACAGCTGAACGCGATGAACCAACAAAGGGATATGTCTGTGTATGTATGTGAGTGGGTGCCTCCTTCTCGGCATCTATGGGGCATGCTCCAGGGGACCAGGACCCATCTTCTGGTTACGAACCGATTTCGATGTCAGCGAAGTTCGGTGGGAGCCCGCCTCACTGTTGCCAACCAGGCACTTGACCTGTATAGTTCGTTCTGTCACATGTGTTTGGATGATCACCACAGACTCGTGCGGTGACGCCTGCAGCAGCATTAACTGCACACTCGTCTCATGCCCGGGTTTCGCGCTCCTCTTCTATCCAACATAGCCCCAGCTGGAGATGCGTCCAGATTCCCTTTTTCTTTCTTTTTCTTTTTTTCTTTTCCCCCTGTTGGCTGGCACACCTGCTGCGCCAGCTTCACATCGCAATCGCTTGCTGTGACTGGGCCAGTCCATCGCTCATCGCCCTCTCATCAGCCAAGGATCATTAACCATGACGGGATGATGGATCATACAGCGGCAAGGCTCTTCGTCACCGCATCGACCAACCTCCCGGCCAGCATACAGCCCCGCCCTGATGTGCACCACGGACCTCACAGCTCCTGCGCTCGAGTAGTAGGAAGGACGAACTCGGCATCGCTGCCAGACACTCTACCACGAAAGGCATCCATACCGCACCTGTCTCCTACCTCCTGCCTTCTGCCGTCGGCTCCACCCCCTTGGGTCCCAAGCCACACAACCCGCAATTGGCCTTTCTCTGCCTCCTCGGCTTTCAGAAGTGCGGTCTGCGTGTACAGTACCCTTGCACGTAGGCCAGGCTTCCGTGTCGAGCATTGCGGGTGGAGCTAGATTGGGTGCAGGCGCGACATCCGAGCCCTAAGGACGCGAACAGATTGTAGAGCGCGACAGGGTCACGCCGGGAGGTCTACGGGAGAAGCATTCGGGCACCCTGGGCCCTCCTTTCGCATCCAGCGTGCTAGACGTGCAGGGAGAGTGTGCCGGAGAGCTTTAGATGGAAAAGAGAAAGGGGACGGAAAGGAACGTGCTGGCCATGCCAGCAGAAGTACAGTTGTACCTCGAGGACCGCGACAATTTGTCGTCACCACCATCCTCGAACCGATTACAGAAGCAGCACACCGCCGCTTCCATTCGTGCAGTAAAGCAACAGGCTGCCCAAAAGCCAGTCGTCGACATGCCATCCCCACCACCAGCACCACCAGCACCACCAGCGCCGGCGCCGACACGAGCAGCTACGTCCGCCGCCGTCCTCCACGACGACTCGGACGGGAGCCGCATCGAGCACCTCGTCCTGCAGCAGGACGAGCTCGAGGTGGCCATCCGACGGCGGAACACAGCCTCCTCGTCCAAGGATACGATTGCTGGGCCCTTCTTTGCGCGCAGCGAGAACGACGTTCTCGCCCTCAAGCGCACCCTGTTGGAGAGCGAGCGAGAACGGCGGAGAAGCAAAGGTCGCAGCAGCAGCAGCAATAGCAATGGAATCAGCAGCAATAAAAAACGGGATAAGGGCTTCCTGCAGAAGCGAGGGCAGCATGCAATCGAAGAGGTATTAAAAGCACAGCAACGCGAGCAGTTACTCGGCCCGTACTTCCGCGATAGCGGCCACGAGGGCATGATGCTCGAACGCCAGACGGCGCAAGAGAACGAATGCTTCGTAGGTAATGACGTCCTCAGCTGTTACCCAACGTCAGATACCACGGTCGTACAGGGATCCTGGAGCAAGGTGAGTGTATGCGCATCGCATGATGTGCTGCTGCGCTCATCGCGACAGATGGGTGCCTGGTTGTTTGTGCTTTTGTTTGTCTGACTGTATGCTGACAGCTTTGCACACGCTCCCTCTGCCTGTGATTACTTCATCACCGCCACTCTTGGTGCTGCTGCTGCCGATCCAGTTCATCTGGAACAACAACTACCCTCGCTTCCGACAGATTGGCGCAGTCGACGTCTACCTGTACCGGCAAGACACAGATAAAATGCAGACGTCCTGGCTCTCGCTGGACAACAACCTCGGCCGCCTGTCCTTCTCGCCGAACGACCCATGGTGGGCGGACCGGCCGCGCGCGCAGGAGTTGTCGATGGGCCAGAATATGAGCTGGCCCTTCTACTTTGTTATCACCGCCGCTGGGCTTGGCCTCGACTCGGACACGATCAGCCGCTTGTCGACGTTCAGCGCGATTCAGACGGCGCCCCCGGCATCCGTCGTCGCTGCACAGGCCGCGTCCTCTTCGCTTTCCGCTGCGGCGTCGCTCTCGTCCGCGTCCGCCGCCCTTTCCGACAGCCGCGCCGTCGCGTCCGCGTCCGCGTCGATCGTCTCTCAGCTTAGCCTATCGATTGAGTCGAGCCTCCGCTCAGAAGGCCTCAGCGGCACGCAGACCGCTGCCGCCGTGCTCACCACGACGCTCCCCAACGGTGCTGTCGTCACAGCCTCCGCGACCGCCGCCGCGAACGGCTTGAGCCTTAGCGGCAACTCCAGAGGCAGCAGCGACAATCTAGCGCTGCCCAGCTACGCCATCGCGCTCATCGTCGTCTTTGGCTTTATCGCTCTCGTCGGCGCGCTTGTCGGCGCCTACTTCCTCTCCAAGGCCGCGCGCAAGCGCAGGGAGCGTGTGCATAGCGGTAGCTACGGCAGCAGCAGCCCGATGATGCACGCCGTCGACGGCTCCCTCACACGTGGGTCGGATGACGCTGCTCTCGCTGCCACTGCCGCGGGCGACGCCGCAGTCGCCGGTGCTGGAGTAGCAGGACTCGGAGCAGCGGGCGGCGCGGCAGGCTGGTCGCGGTCCTCCCGCTCCAGCCACGACTCGCACCCGTTCTCCTCGGACGAAGCGACACGCATGGCCGATGCCTTCCGCAACGCTCTCCGCAAGCCTGAGTTTACTGGCGCTGTGTTTGGCAGCGGCCAGAACAGCCCGAACGAGACGGATTTCGACGCTGACGGTGGGATCGGCGCTGGTGCCAGTGATGCGGGCACAGGCCTCGGCGCGGATGCCTCCGGCGCTGAGGAGGCGGTCGCAACGGGCCTGCTGCGCGACGAACTCGCCAGCGAAGGCAAGGATCTCAAGGCTGTCGAGCGAGGGCGGCCTAAGGTCCACACTGACGCCGGGCTGTAAGGAGGAGACAGTCAATTTCTCCACCGATCCGACCGACTCTCAGCATCTGCGCCTCCAGGATCGCCTTCATCTTGGTCTTGGTATTCACCTTCCGTTCTCATTCTTGCATCACTTGGACAATGTGGGTATCACCGCCTCTTCATCAAATCGGTCCATTCATTCAACCATACTCGGCAGGTGGTGTCTTCTCTCCTCCATTTAACATAATAGATTATTCATGGCGACAAGAACGTACACGTCTCACCTCGCGTGCGATTGTGCCTGCATGGAGGCAAATAAAGACGCATGTCGCCAAACAGACCCCGCCATCTGCCTTCCTTTAGCTACACTTGCTTCTACGCATTCTTTCGGTGCGCCTCTAACTGCTCTGCTGCTGCAGCACAGACGCACAACCTAGCCGCTCCAACATCATTGCCTCCTTTCCGCATCTTTGCCGCCCATTCCCTGACGGTCTTCCGGTTGCACACCGGCACGCACGCGCACCATTTCTCTTGTCGCTTCGTCCAATACGTGATCCGTCATGGCTTCTTCGTTGCCAAGGGACATGATCAATCATTGCCCTCTTGGCCTATTCAACGCCACTGTGCATAGTACACGGTCTCTAAAACCTTGATTATGATACAGTACCCTTTGCCATGGCTTGTGCAATTGTGAACGTATGCGAAATGTCCGTGCATGGTCGGGGGAAGGTACATGCTTCATGCTTGATCTGAGACTGCTTCGTATTCTCCGCGAGCACGGCTGCCACGCCCTCCCAGCCCCTGCTTCAGACCGCTCCACATGCTCCAGCGACGGCCCGTGCCGCCTGGTCCATCGTCCGGGAGGCGAACTGCTGAAGCTGAGGCGTAGGAAGAGCTTTGGAACCCGCCGACTGGAATGTCATACAGCTCTTCGTACCGCACCCCAAGCTCGCGACCGCGCGTCCAGAAGTCTTTGCAATTCGCGAGCACACCCTTGTCGAATGGATTTCCGGCGGCGGATGCGCGCTTCAGACCTTCACCGGCTTTCCCGCGTGTGTAGAGGTCCAGTCCGACGACGCTAAGCAGGCAGTTGCTGGCGCCGCAGAGAACGTCAAGGAAGCAACGCTTGCCGCCGCGGTGACCGCCATGAGCACCGTGGCTCCCCCGGCCGGCCACTCCGTCTCCATCGCTATCTTCATGCCCGCCGGCTGCAGCAGCGAGACTGCCAGCAGCGCCAAGTGCGGCTGCGCGCTGCGCCATGAAATTGGACTGCGTGACCATCGAGCTGCCGCCTTTCCCACCCATGTAACCGTAGCGACCTAGATTGCTGACTTCTAATGTGGTCATTTGCCGCGAAATCTGCAATAATTGCGCGCCAAGCAGGATGATTGTCCAGATGAGCTGTAGCGCTGCCCATGCACTTGTCGCAAAAAGGAACGTGTCCCATGATGTGGCTGCGCATATTGAAGCGGGTAAGATGCAGCTGGAGACGGGTAACGTGTCGGCTGGTAAGTTGGCGGCGTAATAGGCATAACTCAGGTAGAGGAAGATTATGATGCCGACGACGAGCGAAGCAATGAAGACGAGGAACTGTCGGTGGTTCTCTGCGCCGATGCAATTCGACACCCAGGGGCAATGGTGGTCGTGTCGGGCGACGCATCGCTTGCAGAGCTTGCAATGCTTCGATCTTAACGGACGTCTGCACATGCAGATGACGCAGAAGTTTTGCCCGTTGAGCTTGTACTCTTCCAAAAGCTGTTCGACAAGCAGCCGCCTTTCCGTCTCGGTCTGCGGTTGCAGCGCATAGCCAGGCTCCATGCTTGCCGCGAGGAGAAGGTTCCAACTGCAGAGAAGGAAGACGATAAAGAAGAAGAGGTTCCAGATCGCCAATCCGGGCGTGCCTGAGCGTGTATGCGAGATGGTAACATCAGAGAAAGATTCAGAACGCAAGCTTTCAGCACTTACCTCTGACGAGCTTGACACCCCATTCTATCCCGACCCAAGCGATACTGTCGCTGACAATCGCCAGAAAGTAAGGCGACTTCTGCATAAATTCTGCCTCTTGGGGGTCTAGCAGCACCCGAGTAATAATATGATGCATGCAAAAGAATTCTGCCATCGCAAGCAGAAGACCGGTGTACCACGGCAAGATGGAAAACGTCCAAAAGATCAACCCGAGGAAGAAGAAGGGTAGGAGCAAGATGGCGACCTTGGTGTTGCGTGGATTCAGTGGCCCCCGCCGCTTGCTGCCATCTGCGCAATATCCTGCATCGGCAAGTGCCTTCTCGAGCGAAGGTAAGGACTTCAATTCGATTGCCATTTCTCTTGGGGTCTTGCCTTCATTCTGCTTCATGCTCATATCAGCTCCAGCTACCGCGAGCTGCCGAATGCAAAGCCTATTGCCCTTGACAACGGCCCAGTGCATCGGGCTGAGCCCGAGATGGTCTTGTGTGTAGAGAGAGGCCCCGTGCAAAATGAGTAATTCGACGGAAATAGCATCACCTTGGTATGCGGCCCACATAAGCGCCGTGTGCCCTTGGGCATCCTCCGCATCAATGCCCTCGTCTTTGTTAGGGAGGGCATCGCGATCATTGCTCTCTGCATGCGAGCCGAAAGCTGGTTGTTGCAGCAAGTAGACAAGCGGCATGACGGCGGAAGAATGCGTGACGAGGTGTAAGCTGTTGAATCCTTGCGCATCTTTGAGCAGCGGGTCTGCGCCTCTGCTTAAGAGCAGATGAATGATATAGATGTGACCGGATCGGGCAGCCCACTGCAGTGGACTGGCAACAAGCTCGCCTCCGAGAGCGTCGACATCGGCACCCTGATCAAGCAGGTAGACGCAAACGGGCAGCTGCGCATTGATCGATGCCCAGTGCAACGGCGTGATCCCTTCCTCATCTCTATCCTGCGCGGTCGCCCTACCGCTCTCGATGAGGGACTTGATGGTCGCCAAGTCTCCCCTTTGGGCAGCAGAATGTATTGTCGTCGGCGTTTCAGGTCGTGACGGTGGGACAATGCCTGGTGACGGCGGCTGCTGCCCAAATGACGCGTCTGTCCAAGATGCACCGTGACCAGCTTCGCCGTCCGCCGCTAATGGGTCAACGAGCGTAATGACCGGCTGCGATGCTTTGGCGCCGAGGGACGAGCTAAAGGTGCCCGGCGCAGCGCCAGGGCTCGCCATGCTTGCACGTTGCGGCGCCCCACTAGCTCTGTGTTCTTACTATCGAGCAGCCTAGAGCGTGTGAGGGTAGGCTTGACAAAATGGCAACCCGCGCAAAGCGTTGCACTTCACTGAAGTGCTAGTCTCTCGTAGGCGCCCCGATATTTATCTGAAGCTCTGCTCTGCAAGCTCTTCCTGCGGCGGTTTAGCCGTCACCTGTTGATAATTGAGGAATAACAAAGGCTACACAGTCCACTGGTCAATCTTTGGGGAGGTCGAGAGTATAGACAGGGTTGCCGGAGATGCTGTTGCCTCACTGCATCGTTGACGCGAGATCCGCTTCGGCCATAATAACCGGGCGAAGAAATCTCATTCGACCAAAGTCCAGGGAGACGCTGTGAGCTCATCTTCTTAGGAGAGCTCGACTTCAGCCAGCATCATTTCTTCACGGTCACAACTTCTCTCCTTTGACCACAATTTTGTTTATCACAGTCCATCTGCTCAAGCCAGTGCGCAATGCGTGGCTTTGTATCCTGCTTTAGATGCCTCGCGCCGTTGCGGGAGCTGGCCTCCTCTCCGGCGAGATGGCTTCAGGCGAATCATCCCCGTCGCCCTGAGGGCACAGGCACTCTCTCGGGTACACCATGGACAAGAACGGCCCCTGCACGCGCTACCTCCCGCTTGGGTATTTCAAATGGAGGCCAACTATGGAGTCATACTTATTCAACAAACGCAGCGCCACATGCAAGCGGTGCCACAGAGTCAAGGGGGCTTGGCGCCTTCTCTCTGCTCGCTCTCATCTTCGCTGTTGCCGCCGGAAGTTACGCAGCTGGCTCCATCTACCCTCCTGCGCTGGTCAAACTTGCATTTCCGGATCCAGCTCCGCCACGTCCTGACCGAGCTTCTCCCGAAGGACAAGCGCAAATGGATAAGATCGAAGAGCATTTGCTTCGCTTGCCGCTAACGCGAGAAATCGGGTTGCGCGCAAGTCCAGCGCCACCAACGCAACCGACATCTCCAGCTCAGCCCGTCTCGGTGGTGCAGGAAGGCTTGATGGAAGCGCATTACAAAGCCAGCAGGCCTTACGCTCGTTATCCAGAAGAGCGGAGGCGCCATTCCCTGACTGCCGGCACTCTGCGGGGACCCGGGATGGTTGCAACGCCGCCTCTTGTCTTCACAAAAACTGAACACGGGGCCCGAGTGGAGGGCGGAGCAATAGGAGACGCCATTGCCATCATGCACCTTGGGCGCTCCGTTTGTGGTCATGACGGGGTCATCCACGGCGGCTTGATCGCGACCATCTTTGACGAAGCGCTCGCACGCACTGCTTTTCATGCGCTTCCCTCTAACGTAGGCGTCACGGCCCGCCTCGAGATCGACTATTGCAAACCCACCATGGCGGACCAATTTGTTCGTGTCGAATCGTTCCTTGTAGAAGCCAAGGGACGCAAGGCTGTCGTGCGCGGACAATTGAAGGACATGAGTGGCCAAGTTCTGGCCGAGGCTCATGCCATTTTTGTGGAGCCACGGTTTGCCAAGTTCATCAACAGGCAGATTATTCAAGAGTTCCTCAATTAGACATACAGTCAGAGTCGCTGCTTGGAACATTTACAACCCGTCACATATGCTCCTTATCCAAATACCGTCGTTCCGACTACGGTGCTTTGCTTGCTTCATTTGCGTTTAGAGTTTGCATCATTGCTTTGATCGTATTCATGTCACAATGCTAACGATGCCGCTTGATGCAGTCTTGCTCCATGGTACCAATGTCGTCACGCGCCACTAATGTTTCCTAAGTATTAGCAGTGCTTTTACATACATGTGTGCGACTTTAACTAATGCGATGATGTAAGCTTTGAGCGTTGTGCGATTGAACCTGGCTGGTAGCTGGAGTGCGGTATTGCTGTCGGCCCACGCCGAATGATGCTGTACAAATATTATATCCAAGTTGCTTTTGGAAGGTGTCTAAGCGCGGGAATACTGATGCTAAAGAGCTTGCAGAAGGGGTGATTGAAAAAGCAGGCGTGTCCATCGCGCAGGTCTCAACCAGAAGTGGATCAGTGGCAAGTACTTTGAGAGACGGCGCTGAGTGATCTTATCGGGGCAGATAGCCTCCATAGATGATGCAGGCGAAAATCAGAATGCGATTCCTGGCGATTGAGGTCGAATCAATGGACGGTTGGTGGTCGCGATCGTGTTGCTTCCCTGTCTGCCTTCGAGACGTGGCGAGCCCCCAGAACAGGCGAACCATAGATCGATGGCAAGCGAGGTCGCTTCAGTCGCGGTGATAAGGGTGTCAGAGGCCGCTGATCGGCATCTTCATCTGCGGCATTGAAGCTGGATGTCTGAATAAATGGAGAGGCAAGTGAATAATCGTGCAAGATGTTCCAGCCCTTGAATTGTGGCGAGAGCGCCTGTGAGACCGGTCGCAACCATTGATCCGACGCGCGTCGCAGGGAAGCTCGTGGTATCTCCAGACTGCTCGAAGCAGTCGTGGTGGCACCAAGAACGTGTTCACCAATGTCAGCAGAGAGGTGTGGCTGGCTGCGCATCTTGGCAAATGCCATTCGACGCGGAGCAATCCCTTCCAGCAAAGAGCTTGCGCAAGGGTTCCCTTCCGCTGCTGACACTAAAGATGAAGTGCCGGCGCGACTCGATCGCCTAGGCAAAGGCTCCAGACCCATCGTGGCGCGCGCCCTATCCATGTCGGCCAGTTCTCGTAAGACCCATGTCGAAGTCTTGCTCCGACGTGGTGTGGTGCCGTCTCTCAACAAGTTGTTGATGCTCTCCGGACTACTTGGCTCTGCGCTAGAAAGACTTGTCAAAGAAGCTGCACGGAACGGTTGAAGATGCTTCGTTACGCTAGTCGAAGCCGTGATAGATGGTAGGAAACTGGATGTGGACGATTCAAAGTTATCCTCGCCTGCGTAGACGACGCCGCTGTGCAGGTCTCCCAAGCTCTGACGAGGCTCAGCCATGGACGGAATGTAAGGAGGGACGGGTGGAGGCGAGCGCTCTAGTACCCATAGCCGCACATCCAGTCGAGCAGGCGCTCGTATGGGACCAAACGGTATCGGAGAGTAGACGGTCTTGCGGCGGACCGTCGAAGTCGACCCTCTGTGCTCGGCCATTTCAGGCATAGCAGAGCTGCACACTATCATGCCAGCGGTGTTGTCCACCCTAGTCAACGTCTCCTTCCGCAAACGAATCTGTCTGCTGGAACCGACTGATTGGGCCTCCCGGCTGCGCCTTGGACTCAAGCTCAAGACCTGCGAGCCGTCCCATCGCATGCCTTGCTCGTCCGAGGAGCGTGGGATAATCGGTGTAAGGGGTGGCGGCGGCGACGTGCAAGAGTCGGACGTTGGCGCCCCAGTCCGGCTCGTCACCGTGTCTCGTTGCGAGCACAATTTCCGAATGTTTGACGATCCATTCCGATGTATGTCTGAGCCCATGGACGTGCTGTTATACTTGGCGAAGCCAGCTATGAAGATGTTGCTCCGTCTGTGTTGTCCAGCTCGCTCACTGTCGTTTTGCGCCGGCTCATGTGCGTTTCCTTGCTTGCGTCGATCGCACGACAGCCGTGGCGCCGACGCTGGGTCGAGGTCGCGAACAAAGATACTGCCGATCGTCAAGAGGCCAAAGACACAGGCGCCCCAAGCTGCTGGTAGATAGCTGCTGTAAATGAGTCGCGTGGTGGCTGTGGGACCCTGGAGTGCAGCGCTGAACATCTGGCTGCCGAGCCGGCTGGTGATAACCAAGTAGAGGGTAGCGCCGCAAAGGACGCCAAAATACAGGATTGCCAGGCTGAGGAAGCATCGTCGCATATGGTGGAAGCGAGCAAACGGCGTGTCGGTGGAGGTGATGCGTCGCGTAGCTCGCTTTCTCGCTTCCTTCTGAAGTCGAGGGAAAAAGACTTCCTTGGGCGACCACGGCCGGCTCGGAGCCTGATCCATGGGATTTTCGAGATCAGTTGGGTCTGCGGCCTTTGTGCCTTCGCTCAGCAGAGCGAAGAGCAGCGAGTCCGTGCCTTGACCTGGGGCCGGGAGCGGTCGCCAGTCAGGGTTGACAAGCGTGGGCGATGCGGGTGTGATCACAGACGAGGTGCGCCACTTCTCTCGCAGCGCTTCCTGCTTCTGACGCTTTTCGTCCTGCTGATGCTTCTTTTGCATAGCATTAAGGAGCCTGTGCTGCGTCCTGAGCTCCCGAAAGAGCACAAGGACGAGCCAGCCGGCGCCGAGCGCGTAGAACAATGTGAAGATGCCTGTCCATACTGACCAGATGAGGTAGGTGACACCCAGCAAACCGAATGCGTTGGCTTGCACGTCCCAGATGCCGCTGGCACGGGACAAGAGGTTGTCGAGGTCTTGCTGTGGCAGGGCGGCAGAGGCGTTTGCCAATGTGAGCGTTTGCGCGGACCAAGACTGATAGTCGTCGAATGCGTGGCTGAGCTTGCGCTGTGCCACGGAGGCGGGGGCCAGAGTGCTGGCAATGAGGAGTACTGGCGAGCCGAACGCGATGGTGTTGATCAGGTATGGCTTCAGGTTCCTCCATAAAGAATTGCGCTGCGTGACAAAGTCGCCCTCAAGAGCGCCGGGGGCTGCGTAAAAGGTGCCCCAGCCGCAAAAGGTGGCCCCGAAGATGAGAGGGATCCACGTGCCCGCGCTCAAAATGACGATGTTGTGCTGCAGGTGGCCGAAGCGACGGTCGTAGCAGAGATAGATGGCAATGGTGAGCAAGATCCAGATGATTGTAAAGATGCCTTTGAATATCAAGAAGTTGTTGAAGGCATTCGGCTGTGCGCAGAGGGAAGGAAGGCGTCAGATTGGACGGATCAAGAGGCCGAGCCGTGGGTCATGTGAAAAACTGACCACGACGTACGTCCCATCCGATTTGCGCATGAGTTTGAAAAGCCAAAACTTTCCTTGAATCAGCCGATGTATGACCACCGAAGCTGCGAAGAAGGCAAGTTGCACCGTCAACTCCTTTCAAGGAGAGAAGGTCCTGGCCTGTGCATCCACTCACCTCCCAGCATGAAAGAGATCAGGAGGAAAATACCGATCACTCCCATCTGGATGAAGAAGTTTCTAGGGATCTCAAAGACGAAGAGACGATGCACAAACTCCTCGAGCGCTCGCAGCGCCGCCGCCTGATCGCTCGGATCGCTGGTTGCGGTCAGGCGGCTGGTGATTGTCATCGGAAAGGGAGCATGTAGCCCCGCAGGCTCGTCGAAGCGCCAAAAACGAGCAAACACCACCTTGGTCGCCATTGCGCTTCACCGTTGGTCTCCACTTTGCAACGAGCTGCCTGAGGAAGGTGATGATGGGCGCGGACGTCGGTAGTTTGAAGGGAATAGATGAGTGGCTTACATTTGATGAACCTCTTGAGATGTTTGGTCTGCCTGTACAGTTTGCGTCGTCAATCTACCGGCTTGATTCAAAAGAGTGCAGCTTGACGCCTATCCAGACAGGCGATTCCCTCCGTGGAAAGTACTGAATCGGATAGGTGTGGTCTTGCCAATGGTCGTCACTAGCCACGCCTCCTGGAGGTTCTAACCAAAGTGTTTCCTGAGCGCGTTTGCTTTCTTCAAAGCTTGTAATTCAGGGTGCATGCGCAGCTCTGTCTGTGCGAAAAGAGGATGGGGTCTTGAGAGGTCACTGCTTTTGTTGAAAGAGCATGAATGCAGCTAAGTGCAAAAGTGCCACAACCTGCGGCTCCGCCGTTGCATTTAAGCTTGCACGATGCCGGAAGCTAATCACTTTGTCTCACACCTATTATCGGGTTGAACGGGGTCGTCACGATTGTCACATGCGCTGGGACAAAGGAGATGTTATCCTCTGGGCAGCATCAATGGCGTGCACACGTGTAGAACCTCCGGTGTACACGTGATGCCGTTGACAGGTGACCAACTCGTGGTGAAGCGGTGAGCATGGTGGGGGATGATGATTGGGAGTTCTGAATGCAGACAGCTTCCATCTTGCTGGCGACAGGGAAACAGGTCCAGACCACATGGCCTATATAGGAAACAGATGCGAGCATACGGGGTCCGAGACTCAAACATTCGGGCGACTCCTGGCGCCTTCAGCAGCCCGATGCTACATTACAAGGAGAGGTTTGACAGGCACTCTTATCGCACGACGATCAAGGCGCTAGAAAATTAGAAATGCGTCGCACTAGTCGCTGGCTGCTGCTGCTGCTGCTTCTGATGGCTGCCGCTCTCCACAGGGGCCCTCAGGTTTGATAACCACACTTTGTCGTGTTCCAGGTCGTGCGAATGCTTTCCAGAAGCAATTCGCCAAATGAACGTGCGTGCAGAGAAAGTGTACCTGAGCAAACTTCGTACCCCGCCATTCTATGGAGTAATTACATGCAATGCTCTCCCTTCTGTTTCAATTCTATATCCTTGATTGGATCAGGGAGGCACCGCAGTGGCCCACTGTACCTGACAACTGCAGATCTGGGCCAAGAGGCCAAAGCCGCCCTTCTGTCGATATGGAGGAGCCTCCGTGAAAAGATGCTCTCGAAGGAAAGTTGGATGTTGTATGCAAGACGTTACCGGTCAAAGCTGCAAGAGGAGAAGGAGAGACAAGAAGCAAGAGTGAAAGTGATGACTGTTGGATGTGTTGGTTCAAAGATACTCAGCTACAAGCGTGACGCGGCGGAAATATGCATCTTTCCAGTCACCCAACGACAAGTTTCTGTTCAGTGCTCGCAAGCTGGCTTCGAGTCGACCTGCTCGTAGTGCGCTTCGAATAAGATGGTAACAAGTAGGCGCAGCATTCAGCTCCCACATGAAGCGATAACAATATAGCTGGAGCGCTAATCATTCTGCATGCAGATATTCCCATGCTTAAGTCTCCGACATTTCCCCTAGTCTCTTCCAGGGGCGTGGGACGGTGGGTGCCTGGTGCTCTTCCTTTCGCCCATGCCGACCAAGGGATAATTCCGTTGTTGCATGAAGCCTGCTGCAATGCTTGCAATGCAGAGGTGGGCTCCCTTGGCGTTTCCAGATCCATGGATCTGGGCCCTGTGCGGTCGACTATGTATTACGGAAGCATTGAGTGGCATGTGACCGAGATTCTGGGCCTGCGCTCCAGTGCTGCATTGGCCCAGAGGCTTCGCGATCCATTCGATTAAATCATCTTCCAGAATCCAGCAGTTGATTCCAGCACCACTTCCACATATGTACGGGTACACTATACAAAATATCACTAGGTGTTGGTTCTATCTGGTCGAAAAGGGGTTTCTGAGAACTTAGGTTTGGGGGCCCTTCATGTCTGCCAGAACATGCCCAGCCGATGCGCTATTGACACCCACGGCTCTTCTAGTTCCATCAGGTCTGGAGGTCTCCTTTTCGATGAATCGATTTGGATCTAATGCTCTCTGTGTAGTGTAGACGGCAAATCGGACGCAAATCTCCATACAATTTTTGACACTCGAGTAGCATCAAGTGCTTCCGATGGGTCTGCTTTCTCCTCGCCACCTTCATGTATTAGCAATTCGCAGAATCTTGCAAGGTGGGCAAATATGCAGTGCGTGGGAACAACTACTACACAGGTGACCGCTCAGAAGATTCACACATGAACCCTGCTATGTAGTTGATAGCGCCTGCCAACTTGGAGCGCTTCTAGGGCACTCTGAACTCCACGCGACTTCATGGCTCGACCATTGGGCCTGGATGGCAGGAGATACCCTCGGGAGCTATACCGAGTGCATCGAGTCTCGAGAAGCATAAAGGCATAATCAACCCTATAAAATGGAAGAATTAAAATATTCGCCTGGTAATTAGGTAAGCTGTTAAATATCCCGTACGTAAGACCATTCTCGAAGCTGGCTGTGCGATAGAAAGACTGCACCTTCTACCTCTACCTGCATCGTGTCATCCCTATTCCGTTGCGGCTGAAGCACACTGCACATTTAGCTTGCTCAGCGCTGGCGCTCTTCAACGGCAAACTTTTGCGCCCCATATCCTTTGCAGTGAAGTCTCCCTTGGAGCTCTACGCGTGAGCTTTCATTGTCTCCAACGTCGGCAAGGACGCGCCATTCAGGATGGTCAGCTCCGTGAGTTATATATTCGGTACCCATTATTCCCGTCGCTGCCTCTATAGACCCGGTATGTCACACGACTCAGCATTCAAAGCTGATGCTTGCGCAACTTATATTTGATCCTCGACCGCACTCCAGTGTCAACCGATACGGGATGATCTGGCAGCGTGCCTCTTGGCTTCAGATTGCGTCGTCAAAGAAGGCAACTCGCCCAAAGACTGCTTGCAGAGCCATCTTCGCGACTTGCCAATGGACTGCCAGCACTTGTATAAAAGCTATGTTGAGTGCCGCAGAGGGCTAGTGAGTAGTTGTGTTACGAAATGGAGATGCCTGCGGCCGACATCGGGCAGGTATTGTTATCTCCTGTCACTTGAGGCGCGGGGGATGATGCTAATCGATCCGGCCGCTGTTCCATGATAAACTCCCGGTAGCTCGACATGAGGAAGCGATTTCGTGGAATGGCTCCTACTCCAGGGCGATCCAATCTTGCGCCAGGAAGCACTACAAACGTCGAGACCGCCGCATCGTCTGGTACCGATGCATCACAGCAAGTGCCGCCGTAGACTGTTGAAGCCACACGCTTTCCGCTACCACCAAACCGTATTGCCGTCGCCTCGATCCCGCACCACAAGGCGGCCGCCTGTGCTAGACCTCAGCATTGACATGTCGCAGGCATCCTGGCGAAGATGCAATGACTACGTCGTCACGTCACGAAGAACACGTCCTCAGAGGATGCTGACCAGCATGAGTGCGACCTGTGTCTCGTTCTTCGCATGCGTCGATACAGGCCCATGGCGCACTGTCCTCTCTCTAGCGCCTTGTCGCCAGATTCAAAGCAAATTTGTTGGCAGGGGGCACACCGCAGGCACATTGGGGCAGTTGGAAGCTCTATGAAGCCGATGCTGTCTTGAAAGACTATGAAATGCACTACACGCGACTTGGTTAATTGCAAGCAATGCATGTCATGTCAAACGCACGAGTTGCTATGAGTGAGTCTGCTGCTGACGAAGCACAAGCATGCTAGACTCGAGAACATCGACGGCCTTGTCGATCTGCTCCTTGCTGACGTTCAAGCTAGGCGCAATGCGGATCGTGTCACTCCCGGCCGAAAGGACGATGAGGCCGCGTTCCCTGGCGAGCTTCAGAGTTTTCCCCGCATTGGAGGGATCCTTCATACTGATGCCGACAAGGAACCCTTTCCCTCGTGGTGAAGGGTGCGGGTCCGTCGAAATGAGATCGGGGAACATCTCCACGAGATGCGAGAGTCTGCGGAAGAGATATTCCGAGTTCTCCTTCAACTGTTTGCCGAACTCTTCGTTGCTGAGGCGCTCCAAAACGTGGTGCGCGATGCGGCTTGCCAAGGGTCCTCCGCCGAACGTGGTGCCGTGGTCGCCGACGACGATAGCGTCGGCTACCTTGTTGCGCATGAGCACTGCGCCGATAGGAAAGCCGTTCGCAAGCGGCTTGGCCATCGTGACGAGGTCCGGGTGTGCGTCGGGCGGGAACTCGCTGTGACACCACAGTGTGCCGGAGCGGAAGAGGCCGCATTGGATCTCGTCGTAGATGAGAAGCGCGCCCACCTCGTCGCACCGCTTGCGCAGAGCCTGCAAGAATGATAGCGAGGCTGGGTAAATCCCGCCTTCGCCTTGTACCGGCTCAACAATCACGCCGGCCGTGTCGTGATCGATTAGTGTTTCAAGCCCGTCGACAGAGTTGTACTGGCCCGTCTTCACGTTTGGAATCAGGGGCGCGAACGGATCCTTGTACTTGGGATTCGGCGTCATGGAAAGTGCGCCCATTGTTCGGCCATGGAAGGCATTGGTGAATGACACGAGTGCATTCTTACGCTCCTTAAGCCCATCCTTGGCAGTAACTCGAGCGTATTTGCGCGCAAATTTGAGAGCAGCTTCATTGGCCTCAGTGCCGCTGTTCGCCAAGAAGACTTTGAGCTCGGTTGTGCATCCTTTTCCCTTTGGAATCCCAAGCCCTCCGTGCTGGCCCGTAAGTTCGACCATCTTGCAGCTCAACTCTCCACTCCACTCGTTATGAAAGAGGTTGCTCGAGTGCACGAGCCGCTGAGCTTGCTCCGCTGCCACCTCGGCCACTTGCGGATCCGCATGTCCGAGAGAATTGACAGCAATACCGGATGAGAAGTCAAGGTACTCGCGATGTGAGTCGCCTGAATCTGTCGCTGCGAATAGCTGCAACCCACGGCCGTGTGTGAAAATGATGTCTGGACGCGAATATGTTGCAAGGACGGTGCTGTTGAAGCGCGCCACCCGAGACGCAATCACCTTGCCATCGATATCGCTTGGCTCGTTTCCCTGGCCAGCTTTCGGTTCCGGATGAGTGACGGCCAGATATTTGCTGCATGGCTCTGGCGCCTATTTGCGCGATCGGATCACGGGGAGGGGCGTGTGCTGCTTATCAGCGCCCGTCCCAGCGAGCCTTGGTGCCAATCCTATGAGAGCGGCCGACTCACTCTGCATGACGAGCTGCTAGCGAACGACCTGCTTACACGCGCTGGCGCCAGTGATAGATGCTGCGGCCGGAAAGATCGGGCTGCGATGCGCCTTAACGGCGTAGCCACCGATGGACATCCGGCAGCTAGCGAAAGAGCTGTAGACGCTTGGCAAGGGTTGACCTTCATTTCGAATCTAGCGACAGACCAACCTAGAAGCGTATGTGTTCCCCGAGGCCTCCGTATATCTGTCTCTGGTGTACGCGTCGATATTGCCCAGGTCTTGTCTACACCAGTTCTCGCTCTTCTCTCCGTGAAGCTCGTGTATTGTCATTTGCATTGGGTTTGTCGGAGGACTCGAGTCACAGACTGGATATAGAACTTTCTTGGGAACCCTCAACTTCGCTCAACTCCCGTCATCATCTTTTCCACTCGCTTTCCAGCTATTTTGACTTGAAAACCTAATAGACTGCCTCTTTTTCCTGTTAGTCGATGAGGAGACGACAAAGTATGGCTTACGTAAGTGCGGCGATGGGTATATATAGTACTCGCCTGTGACACCGATTGAGCAACCCCTTTGGTCGCTTCGTTGGCACGACGGGCGCGACTGGCGCTGAGCGAGCGCGAAGACACGTGTTGGGGTCTCTGCCATACAGATCTTCTGCCACTTCAAGCTCCCAAGTGTCGCCGCATCTGATGGCTGCCAAATCTGAACCCAAGTAGCACTGTGCTTGACGTTTCCGTTCATCCTGCCTGTCGAGGGTTGAGATCGTCGTCAATGGACACCCCACTCGCATGGCCTTCTCGTTCTCTGTCACACGGGGTTTCGAGCATGTACCCTCGCATATCTTGCGTCTGCATCTTGCCATATTTTTTTCGTTACGATTTGCAACTTGCCCTATCTCAGTTTTTCAACTTTCTGGCTGTGGACGCACCATCTCGTCTAATTTTAGACAGCAAATCTCTCGCTGCCGCGTGTGGTGCGGCGCCGGCTATCCTGCGCGGTGAGAGGAGGCCCTGTTTCAGTAACTCCGTTTAAATGTATTGTGTGTCTCTCGTACGAAAGACTCGTCGATCGTGCTAGTGACTGGTCCCTGTAATATGAATGCCTCTCTATCCCGGCCAACTTGCGCTCAGCGCTAGGCACAACCAGGGCCATCTGCGTACAACGGATAGCCGCAACTGCCTGCGCCCGGCGCCTCTGCAAGATTGCAGCGTGCAAGCGAAACACACCTTCCCCGTGAGACCGTCGCCTAGAGCGCCTGCGGGGGCCTTGACTCCTCCCTCCCCTCGGCCCGCTCGCCGTCGTGATGCGCATCTTGCTCTGCCTTGCGTTCACCGTGCTCGCCACAGGCCTCGCCTGTGCGCGCGATGATGGGCATCAACAGCAGCACCAGGGAATTCGCGTGCTGGACGGGCCTGTGCCCGAATTTGCGGCACGTTTCATCGAGCACCTCGACGTTGATGCACGCCCTTTTACCCGTGGCGACAACGCAGAGAGCGCAACTAATCAACTGCCGTGGTCGGCAGATGCAACACCTCTCTATCTCGAGCAGTCTGCCGACGAGCGTTTGGGAGGCGACGGAACTGAAAGTGACAATGCGGCTGCTCGCCTTGCGTCCCTTTGCCCGCCTTCTGGGAAGCGCACACGCAAGATCGCTGTCGTCGGTGCAGGTCCAAGCGGGTCATCAGCCGCTTTCTTCCTTGGCCAAGCGCAGGAGAAATTACGCAAGGACAAAAAATGGCGGAAACGGCAGGAGAAAGAAGAGTGCGAAGAAGAGCTAGAAATTGTCGTCTTTGAAAAAGAGGAGCGAGTTGGCGGTAGGGCCACTGTTGTGCACCCTTACGACGACCCGGAGAATTACCCTGCCGTCGAGCTTGGCGCCAGCATCTTTGCCAATGTCAACCGCAATATGGTAAGAGCTGCAAAGGTGAGTCACGATGGAACTTTTCTTGCATTGCATACCTCGGCCGGCGCCAACTCATATTCTATGCTTGGCTCCAGCGCTTCAATCTGCCGACCAGTGCCCACCTAGGGGAAGAACACGGCGCGACGAGTGTCTGGGATGGCCAGCAATTCGTCTTCGAGGTAGGTTTGAGCTACTACTTTCCGCACGCAGCATGTCATTTCATTGACGACCTTGCGTAAGCAGAATCTTGATGATGGCTGGTGGAACAGTGCCAAAATGCTTTGGCGCTACGGCTATTCACCCATGACGACGAAAAATCTGGTCAAGGACCTCACAGAACGCTTCTTGAACCTCTACAATGCTGCTTGGATGCATTCGACCGGTGTATCGAAGCCAAAATTTTCCTTCCCGTGGCGGTCGATCGAAGAATTTGCCGCTTCGCTCAACTTTTCTGAACTAGCTGCGGTATCGACGCTGGACCACTTTTACCACGAAACGCGCATCTCAAAGCTGTTTGTGGAGGAGATCGTTGAAGCGGCCACGCGTGTCAACTATGGCCAGAACACTGACGAACTGCATGCGCTGGGTGGCGGCGTCAGCCTCGCCGCGAGTGGAGCGGCTGGTGTCAATGGCGGTAACTATCAGATCTTTGAGCGCATGCTTGACGAGAGCGGCTCCAAGCTCCGCCTAGGCAGTCATGGACGAGTGACTGGGATCATCAAGTACAAGAATGTAGAGGATGCAGTCGCTTCGGGCAAAGTCTCCGCCGCTGCCGCCATGGAACAGCATTGGCTCGAGGGCTCGACCAAGTACTACGTCGGCACCGTGTCCAACTTCGGCGAGCTATACGATGCCGTCTTCATCGCCGCACCGTGGCAAAACGCCGGTATCACGCTACTGGGCGCCGATGCACACTTCCCACCGATCGAGTATGTCCATCTGCACGTCACGCTCGCAGTCACGAACACTTCGAGCCCGCGCCCGGAATACTTTGGACGTGGCCAAGACGAAGTGATGCCGAAAACGGTTCTGACGAGCAAAGTCAGCGTGCGGAAGGATGAACGTAAGCAAGGCGCTAAACAGGATTCGCTGGAGACCATCCTTATGAACAAGAGCAGCGTGCGGAAGAATGATGGGAAGCATTACATTGAAGCGAACTCGCATCCGAGGTTGGAGGTGAGCGCTTGTGGATTCTGGAGACGGAGACCGAATTTGTGAAGCTTACCCCTCATGCATACTTCTACAGTTCAACAGCCTGAACTATATTCGCAAGCTCCCACCGAGAAAGGCACGCGATGGGTCCTTCGGAGCAGAGGAACACCTCGTCAAGATCTTCTCCGCAGACGAGATTTCAGATGAAAAACTAGATGAGCTTCTGGGTGCAGGTACAGTCAGCTGGGTCCTGCGCAAGACCTGGGACGCATATCCTCGTGAGTGTCATTTTTAACGGCGTTTGCACGGAGGGGCCGACTCTCTCGCTATCCCTTTCTCCAGGACTGAAGCCAACACGCGAATTCCCTCCGCTTGTTGCGGACGAGCGGCTTTACTACATCAACGCGCTCGAGCCTTTGATCAGCACGATGGAGACGAGCACGATCAGCGCACGCAATAGCGCTGCGCTGCTCTTACAAGAGTGGTACGGCGACGAATTCATCCATGGTGGCACGAATTGCCCCAATTTGACAGAAGCGGACGAAGGAGAAATCGACCAGGGTGATGATGATTGGGCTGGATGGGGATGTCGCAGTGCGTAGGATTATCTTTGTTGTGTGCTCTTATCTCCTCCGTTTGACTTTGTATCATACATCCATTCATGCTGCAGTCGTCGATGAAATTGTTTACAAGAAATGCTTGAAGAGTTACGCACGGGCATGCTTCGATCATATCGTACATGAGAATTGGGAAGCGAAGAATCTGCCGGCCATATGTGGATCAGACCAGTCTTTCATTTCGGCCACAGAAGCTTGTCTTGCAGCTGTCAGACTCATAACTAGACACCTGTGTATCCTGCATCACACCTGGAAGCTTCTGGCTATCACCTGCCAGCTCCAGCTGTCGTCTTCTCCTTGTCTTGGCGGCCAATGCGGTGGGAGATGCGGCTTGTTTTTGCCTCCGTGCCGATGGCGATGCCGCCCTTCGTGCGTGGCCTGGTCCACTACGATGCCGGTGAGGAGGCCCATGATGATGTAGATGAGCATCGCGTAGGCGAACGCCTCAACGAAGCGTAGACGCGCGCGGACCGTCGCTTGGCGGTCCATCTCTCTGGAGGATTCAGGTGTTAGCTGCACCGCGCCAGGTTCGGCGGCACTAGGAAGTCCCGAGCTGACAAAGATGAGCGGCACATTCGGCGCAGCACCAGTGACGCCTCCTTGCAGCAGTGCTGGCTCTGGCGGCGTCGCGTTTCTTGACGATAACAATGGGCTGCTGATGCCGCTTGCGCCGAGCGGCGTTGCGATTGTATACGATTGCGCAGCAGTACCTGTAGCAGCTCCTTCTGTTGGTGACGACGATGATGATGTGGCAATCGCATCGGTGTAAGATGGGACTGGGTCGTCTTTCCCGGCATTCTGTTCGGACTTGTTCCGAGCCTCTTCGTGCTTCGAGATGGGCTTGATCGTCATGGTGGAGATGGCCTGGCATGCATTGACTTGGAGCGTTGAGAGATATCGTAATTGCTAAAGAGTCATTCTCAGAGAATGTGATTATTAAGTCAATGAGCCATGAATGCAGCACATTGCTGAGTTGAATACTGATAGCTACAGTCCGAGAAAAAGTTGACTATGCAGTACGCACAGTTAACGCGGGTGCGCAGGGAGAGGACAGGCGCGGTGCCAACAGCATGCATGCCTTCGAATCACCTGCACCCCGCACACATTCAATCATTCTGTCCAATTTGCCTGTCGAGCATGAATCTCATCTAGGTAGAGAAAGCGGTGATCTGGAGACTCATTCCAGTGAGGACCCAGGACTGAAACCTCAAGAGCCTCCTGTGATTACACAGGCTCCGTTTGGGAACGATTTGCTCTGTCAATCAACCCTCTTTCCACTACCTGCCCCCATCGATTTTGATCAGCGCTTATTTGAAAGCATGCCAATTGAGACTTAGCGTTCCCTCAAAGGGAGAACACATCCGTAATTAAGAGAGGAATAATATGCAAATGAATTACTAACACGTTTCTCCTCACGCTTCTTCGTACTCGATACGTCGTCACGCTGTCGTTTACTAAGCGTCGTATGCGGAGCGTGGTACGACACGGCTAATGTGGTCACCCAGAACGCATGCGCCATGCATCTGCAGCTTCTTCTGCTTTCGAGGGCCCGGCCGAAAATGGTGAATCACAGAGACTATCTGACAGCACTAATGGGACGTGTTCGTAACTTTGTACATGGTCTTGTGCTCCTTCGCGATTGTTGGTATGGCGCAATCTGGCTTCATCAGAGTCCATGGACTTGAAAGCTGCATGTGGTACAGATAGATAGAGGAATAGAGTGGAAGCCACATCACGCCAATGGCGAGGGCCCAGGCTGGAGAAATTTGCGGAGTTGAGAGGCTTTCGGACCAGTTTGTGTCTTGCGGTCCACAGAGGCTTTTGGTGGAGCCGAGTGTCCAGCTGCGTGCGGGGGCAGCGCTCTGCAGCACTGAGAACTTCGTCAGCTTCACCACACGTATGTTCTCCGCCAACCAGCTCCTTCACGAGCACCGGGAGCCTGGCCCCAACGCCAAAACAGTCGTCACCACCTTCACAAATCCTTGTCGAGAGATGATGGACCGTGCAATGTGACGCTCGTCTGGACGATGAGGTGAACGACAATAAGCCTTTATCTCAATAATAGGGTTGCTGATAATAATGGTGTCCCGACAATCTGGGAACGGCTGGAGAGCGGTGTGCACTGCCCGGAAGAGAGAGTTGCCCTGGCGCTGGTAACAAGCTTTTGGTCACGATCGCGGCACCGGGAAGGCGAGCCGAGTTTGATCGGGATCCGAAAGGTGCAGGGTCCCGAGGCACTGGAGCACATGTTGCCGCCTAGAGCTTGCTGAAGCGCGACTGTAGAGAGCTGGTTGAACAAATCATATCGTGCTCGAGAGATCCTTTTTGGATCCCAGCAAGAGTCGAAAGAGCCATTTCAAATGGTTCGCATGCTTGTATGGGACGAATGAAGAGAGTCCGAGCTGTTGATGCGGTGGTAATAAAAGCATCGCCCACTTCCAGCATTTCATACGTCCTCGGCGGCAATGCTCCTTGTATAGCCTTCGACGGTGCTGTCATCAAACCGGCGCGTGGTTGTTTCATTGTCTCACTCTGTCTCAACAGGGTAGGGGCCGATCACGCCGTTTTAGGCGGATACGACCTCGGAAGTCCAGGCCCAACGCAGCAGTCTCCGGTGAAGAGCGGCTTGATTGCAGTGTCCACGAAAAGCGTTATTATTGGACACGCCATTGCGCCACTCACTAGCGATTGTTTGCAGAGCAGCAGTGAGCAAGCTCAGGTGAGCATCCCCCTCTCCACGCTGAGATCACCTCTCCTCATCATCTCCAGGATCATCAGAACCGAGTGCACCATCTCCTCGAGGTCAGGCAGTGGTCGACGTTACCCGCATTTGCTTGGGTAAATATCGTTTACATGCGCCGTGCGCAATGAACACAGGAGACGAGCTCGAGCGGCGGCTGGAGGGCGGCGATTAGACGTTCATCGGACGGCCTGTTCGCCAGCCACCGTGTGCAAAGGAAGGGGAGCTTGCTGATCCCATCACTCGTTTTGGACGTCGTACAAGGGCAGCTCCATTGTACACCGCCTTGCCGCGCAGCACTCCGTCATCTCAGCCATCCTTTCCTTCTTATTCAGTCTTAGGGAGGGCGATAGGCAGCAGCGCATCCGTGTTTAAAACCAGCATTTCAATCTTCCGCAATATTTCCTTCTGCCTGCTCGGCATCTGCGCCCTACAAGCGATCACTGCATGTGTTAGAAAGATACTTTCCTATCTGAGTAGTCTTCGCTTGTGCCAGTACAATTTCGGACGAGCATCGCCTCATCTCTATACTGGCTTGGATCAAAACAGCGCGAGAATACGAGCGTCCGTACCAGTCGAGCAGCCTCACACTGTGGCAGCGTACAGGGCAGGTCAAGATGACAACGCATGTTCTGCAGCCTGCCATAATGACAAACCTGACATCCGCCCAAATAACGTCAAACATGGTCATCAAAAATACGGACGCTAATCGGCCGACTTCTGCACCGCTCTCGCCTGCGACTTTACCAGAGGGTATTCCTCGATTAGCCAACAACCGCAGCATCGACCAAGAACTACCGCTATCTCTTTCTAATATCCCGTCTGCATCAACAACCACGCTCTCTATCCCGTCCTTCTCTTCGTCTTCTACCAGACTTGCAGGTGCTGCACATCATCGACAGAGCCTATCTTCTCAACCCACCCTTTCAGGGGCTCCTGGTACGTTCTCGGACGATCCTGTTGCTAGTGTTTCACGTTCAAGTACAGGAGAAGGCAAAGAGAGGGAAATCTCTGCACGGAAAGCACTATCACCTGATACTGGCAGTGTTGGCCCCGCCACGCAACATTCCCACCACTCCTCGTTTGCCAGCGCGCTCGACTTCACCGTCCAGCAAGGCAGTTCGCCGAATCCCAGCGATAGCGGTAGGCTCACCGGTCGTGGAACGCCATCTGCTCATCTAACGCAAGTGAGCGGGCAATCAGAAGATATTCCTGAAGGTCTGGATGCTCGCAAGTCGGCGTATTTCGACTCTGTGCCTGTTGCTGCACTGTCCTCAAAAGGAGCGACTTCTTCCCAAACCGGAGACCAGCGTGTGTTGCTTCCACATGTTGAGACTTTAGGGCACGTGGAAACCAGCTCTGGATTCGAAAGTATCAAGCGCCGGAGAGCAAAGCACAGACGGACAAAGAGCGAGCCATCAGCTCCTCGAAATTCGACAAGTGGCAACGAGGCGTACGTGCATGCTGGTACTGAATTCGTTCTACAGGCTGGCTTCGTACCTTTGCTCGAATCTTCGTCAACAAATCAGGCTGCATCTCTAGCGCCGACTGTGTTGCCTTTGCAAGCGTCAGGATTGATGTGCTTGCCTTGCTTCGCAACTTCGCCGAAGGAGGACCGGGGGCAACTTCTGCAAGCTCGCCAAGTGACCCAGAGCAAGTATCAGAGTCGGCCATTACTTGTGCGCTCGGGCGCGATACTGGGATCCAGTTCAGCGCTAGGACTGTCCTTTCCAGGATCGGAGTCTGCTCCGAGGCCGGATGAGCTGCCTTCTCCTCACAAAGCTTCCCATGCCCCTGATTCGAGTATTGCAATTGGAGCGGCCACAGTCGAGCGCGTACCGAGCGATATATCCAGTGGAAGTCGGAGAAGCCACAGCACAACCGGCACCGACACCAGTAGCCGTACTGGTCCTTCCTCGTCCTCTGCACTGAGCACGAGCAGGGCTAGCAGGACGACGGCGTCCTCTTCGCTCCCTACACCAACCAGCAGCGACCTCACCACCCCTGACAATTACTTGTGGTCGTCGAATGCCTCCCCATTTGCATTTGCTTCCTCTTTCGTCGCCAAACTCACTGACAATTCGGACCTCCCATCGCCCCCACCTGCTGCTTCGATACCTGCTACAAAACACTCTCCACGGTCTGCAACACTCACCCTGCTTGACAAACAGGTGCAACAGCGTCTGCGCCTGTATCATGCGCTGATTGAGCTTGTGGAGACCGAGCGTTCTTACGCCGATGACCTTGCCATTCTGGTCTTGGTCTTCTTGGAGAACCTGCAGCGCATGCCCTTCTTCGGCCAGGCCGGAGACGCTGCTGAGAGGAACTGGAAAGTGGAGACAGTCTCCCGCAACGCTGAGCAGATTCTCAGGTTGCATCAGCAGATTGCGGTCCATCTTGAGACGATCGTCGCTCGCCATGGTCTCAAGCTCAGCAACGGCGCCACGCCTGGAGAGCATCCCGCCACGACAGAGGAAGAGATCCAGAAAGCTATGAGCCAGGAGCTGGACGTTGCTGTCGTTCATGTTGCCCGTTACTTCGTTTCTGTGGTGCGTTGCGCCCTCTGACCAAGCCGAGAGCTAACTGCATGCTGATGTCCGCACTGGGTTCCTTACAGGCTCCGATGCTGGCATTGTACCAGACCTACTGCGCCAAGCACAGCGAAGCGCTCGGCTTGATTCATGAAGCAGAGAAGCGGCAGGCGGACTGGCAAGCTTTCGAGGCGCATTGCACCGATATCATCAGATGGCAGACCGAGGCCAAAGCAAAGCGCATGTCACGCTCGCGACATAGCAGCTCCAACAATGTCAACCTTGTCCAGTCTCAACCGCCTTCCTCACCGACCAGCCCTGACAAGCATGTCCAACCTCCCGAGTCGGCTGCTAGCAATACGACCAACCTAAGCTCGAAGAGTGCAACGAACCAGGCCAGCGGCAGGTCAAGGTCTCCCAGCGCGTCACAGCTGCTGCTCCATTTCCACGACTTCTTTGTCAAGCCTGTTCAGCGCATCGTGCTCTACCGCCTGGTGCTGTCCACGCTCGTGAAGCACGCCACTGGCATGGATTTGCTGCGGACTGAGCTTGAGGAGGCGCTTGATGCTGTCAAGGTCGCCGCTGATCGCGTCGATGATGCAGGCAAAAAGCGCGAGCAAGAGCTTCTCGCGGAAATGCTGCTCTGGCGCTTGGCCAGTCATTACTCGATCGCACAAAATTCATTGCGTGCTCTCGGTCCAGTTTGGCTTGCAGGACCCTTGCATGCCCTGTACCACCACAGTGACCTTGCCCCGCTCGAGGCGCCTTTGCGTTTCAAGTACTATGGAGTCGTCCTCTGCAACGGCTGGATTTTGCTCGCCAAGGTCCGCAAGTCGGGCGTGTACGAGGCTCGCCACTTTTTCCCACTTTGGGCTGCCAAATTGACGACGCGGAATGATGATCTTGAAGCAGTCATACCGCAATCCTTCCGCATTTCCGTCCGTGGCCACCATTTCGAGATGATGGCATGCAGCTCGAAAGAGAAGGAGCTGTGGACGTCCACCATCGGTTCTGCCATCAAGTCCGCGCCATGCTCCCCACCTGGCGATGCTGCTTCCTTCCCGTCGAGTTTACCTATGGACGACCTGAACATGGCTGGCGTCTCTGAAGTGCACACTCCATCGGAAATGCCAAAGATCGCATCAGACCCGCTCAGCCTATTCTTGTCGACTGCCATCAGCGCTGGCGAGGCCAGCTCTGCGCCTGCTGCTTGTGGCAATTTCAACACTTCTGCTGCAAAAGCTGGCCGTCCTGTTCCGGTTCTGTTCAACAGCACCACCAACTCCATTCCCCCTGCGCCTGTTGCAATCTCTTCGGCTTCAGAAGTGTTGATCCGGACCAACACTCCCGCGCAATGCCTTGCTGTCGACCGTTGCATGATCATGTCTGCGCTTTGCATCGCGGCACATTCTCCTTCTCACCCCTCGCGCGATGTCGTAACGACCAACCCTACTTCTCAGTGGCTCGCCACGTCTGCTCCGGGGCTCGGTGCGACGGTAGGAGCCGCAATCGGGCTGTCTCGCCTAGCGAATAACAGCAATCCAGGCACCGTACGCCTGCAAAGGCGCAAGAGCATGGTCGAAATGTCTGCTGTCGCTCCCTCACCAAAGATGCGCGTTCTCGATGTCCCTGGGCGGTCTGCTCTAACGACGCCTGGCGCCGAAACGGAAGAGCGCGGGCCGCTCGAGGGGTGGAAGAATACTTTCCGGAAACGCACATTGCGCACCCGTCCAGCCTCAGTGATTGGTGTCGCTATCGACAGCCCATCGCGAGAAGCCTCGTCACTTCCAGTGTCGGCTATCACGACACCGGTGCTTGAGATGAAAGAATTCCCCATCACTGAAGAGCTGCAGGAGTTTGAGAAAGTCAATCCCGTCGCTCCTCCCGCTGCTGCCACATGTTTGCGCAGGACGCAGTCGCGCTCCTTTGCCTGCAATGTCCGCAACGTCTTTGCAACTTCCATAGGCGCTCGCCCGAGAGCCAGCACGCTATTCCAGCAGGGACAAGACGCTCAGGCTGTAATCATTCAGACGTCACACTCCCTCGACATGCACAAGATTTCAGGCACGGAAGCTGGTCCCGTCTTCAGCGAGTTCGGGGCTACAGTGAATCGGGCTGCAGATGAGACGACACGGCCGCGTAGCAAGAGCCTCAAGCGGGCTCTCAGTTTTCGCCGCTCAAGCGGTTCCTCTTCAGCCTCCTCCGGCCCATCCAGTGGCACACCGCCCTTTGAGATGTCCAAAGTGCTTGCCGGTTCCGAAGCTCTGCGGACAATCAGGGCGAGGGCAAGCAGGCACTTTGCCAAGGTCGACATGTCCTTCACAGGCTCGCTGCAATCAAGCACCACCAACTCGGCAGAGCACGATAGCAGTGAAGGCATGCGACCCGCTCCTGCCATGCAGCGAGCCACGACTGAAGAACCTGCATCCGCGCAGGCCTCTTTCACGCATCGAAAGCGCCTCAATCGCATCTTCCTTCAAACCAATCGCTTCTCGCCTCTGCCTATGGGCATCGGCAGACAGGCCAATGGTCCCACTGCTACTCCCGTCAGCAATGGCACGCCCTAATTCTGCTCGATTTACCTACTACGATTCCTTTTCATTTGAACGCATAGCATCTTTCATACTTTTTCACCACGTACCACCATAGCATTTCTTGTACGCTGCCATCGCCTTGAACGCACTGCTTTGTTTCTGTTGACGTAGGCTCCGTTGGGAGACCTTGCCAGGCGGCTAGCGCGTGATAATGAATCGAGCGAGAGAAGGTCTCCCTAGGTTGCAGACAATGACCACAAGTGCAATTGCGCGGTGATGTGACAAGGCTGCTCCGTAGCGTATCTATTCCCGGACCTTGCCCTTTTCATCGCAGCATGTTAGCCGCATAGCGAGCGCATCTTCGCCGTCGGCATCTGCGAGGGTGCGTTGTGTTAGATGTATCACCCCCTACGCTCACATTTCTGGCCGTTATTTTCAAATTGACCAGCAATACTCACAATAACCCGCCTCAATCTTTTCAACCTCAAAGCCTAAGAGATCTCGGTACAGCCCAATCGCTGCTCTGTTCGATTTTCGTACGTGCAGCGAGACGTATTTCGCTCCGAACAAGTCTCGCATTGCTCGCTCTACGTTGCGCGAGGGAGGCAATGGAGCGGATGGAGGTCAGTGTTTTTGCCTTGTGCTTGGGCCTCGAGCAAATGTGGCGACTTACGGCTTTGGCGCATGAGCTCTTGAGCTACACCTAATCTTCGGTAAGATCTGAGAACGCTGATGCTGGTCACATGGCCGTGCTGCACTCCATCAGATGGCTCTTCTTCCCTGTGATCGAGAAAGATTGGTAGGACCGGCAAGGTCAGATATCTCGGAATACATCTCTGGCCTGTATGCGTGGCTCAAAACCCATCAAGCACGTACATCTTCCCCAAAATATACCCTACTATTCGTCCGTCGTCATCTTCTGCAACGTATGTGAGTTGTGGCCATGTAAGTAGATGGTAGAGATCTGCAGACAGAAGTTCGTGCCGTTCGGACCAAGAGTCAATAAGCTTTCTCTCCTAGCCACTCCGAACCCAGCAACTCTGGCGACGCACGGAACTTCAGCGTGTAATTTTCGGGCAGATTCTCCAGGTTGGCAGCTTGTATGCCCAGCACATCGTCTGGTGTTGCTTCGCGGATGTTCATGATGAAAGCGAGATGCTGGAAGGTGATGCGGTGCTGTTTCGTTTAGCCGAGAGAGTTGCGCTTGAACTGTCTGGAGCTGAAGGGAAGCGAATCCCTCGTCTGTTTCATGTACGCCAAAGGTCCGTATACGAACCGATGTTTGACATGCAGATAGGCAACGTAGCAAGCAGCCAGACGTCGAGGCGCGACTGCTTGGGGCTTGCTCGTTACTTGTAACTCGCGGCCTACGATGGTCCATGAAGAGTCTCGACTTGACTAGGGACTTCGACTTTCCAGCGTCGAGCGATTGAATCAATTCCGAGATCCGCGTTTTTTTTGGGCTGGAGTGCCGATCGGACATCATTGTCTCTCCGAAGAGTGACTGCTGACTGCAAGCGTCTCTGAGTCACAGCGAGCGCACCACGATGGAGTCATCATTGCCCCAAGCACCAACTGTGTACATTCATGACCTTTCGCATTTTCCCATTGCCCATTGCTCATCCGTAGTCGAAGCCTACTCGCTGCCGTGCACGCGATAAATTGCAAGTGGTCCCGTGACTCACATAGGACAGTATAAGGAGAACGCGCAGCTGGTTCAGCTTTGTCGAGGACGTCCTTTCTTCCTGCGCAGGCACCAAAGCAACTCGACGAGGCTACTCTGCAACATACACAATCATGGCGTCCAAGTCCTTCTCCAATTCAAATGTCCGGTGTGTGACCTTGATCGGGCACGTCGACCACGGCAAATCGTCCTATGCCGATTCACTGCTGGCAGCGAACGGAATCATCTCCTCGCGCATGGCTGGGAAAGTGCGCTACCTTGATTCCCGAGAAGATGAGCAGGAAAGAGGCATCACAATGGAAGCTAGCGCTGTCAGCTTGGCGTTCAAGCTTCGAAGACATGCAGCACTCGAGGCGAAAGGGCAGGCGAACCCGACGAATGGAGACGCGGAGAAGGAGGGCCCAATAGTTGAGGACTACATGATCAACCTGATCGACACACCAGGTCATGTGGACTTTTCAAGCGAGGTCTCTACGGCCAGTCGGCTTTGCGACGGGGCGCTCGTCATTGTTGATGTAGTCGAAGGAGTATGCACGCAGGTGAGTATGCCCTTTCGTCCAAGCTTCGACGAAGGTCTTATAGAACACCGTACTGCAGACAATCACAGTGCTTCGTCAAGCCTGGAGTGACCGACTACGCCCTATCCTTGTGATTAACAAGATGGATCGCCTCGTGACGGAATTGCGACTCACACCGAACGAGGCGTATCATCATTTGCAACAGCTGATCGAGCAGGTCAACGCCGTCATGGGCTCATTTTTCGCTAGTGAGCGAATGGAAGATGATTTGCGATGGAGGGAAGAAAGGGAGCAGCGCATCGCAGATAAGAAAGCGTCACAAGATGCACAGGCGGCCGCTGCTGCTGCCGCAGACACCTCAAACTCTGGACAAGATGAGGAGTACGAGGATCATGACGACGAGGATATCTACTTTGATCCGTCTCGAGGGAACGTCATCTTCGCTAGCGCCATTGACAATTGGGCATTCAGGTTGGAGAGGTTTTCAGTACTCTATGCCAAGAAGCTGGGGATCCTTGAGAGTCGCTTTCGAAAGGTGCTTTGGGGGGACTTCTACTTTGACCCAAAGAACAAGCGAGTCATGGGTCAGAAACAAAAAGACAAAGAGAAGAGGACACTCAAGCCCATGTTTGTGCAATTTGTGCTCGAGAATATCTGGGCAGTGTACGACAGCATCGCTTTGAATAGGTGAGGCGCTTAGCACCATCACATTCCATCGCAACAATCTGACCCAGTGTTTCGGTCCATGACAGGGACCAAGAAAAGATCGAGAAAATTGTCAAAACGCTCGACCTCAAAATTCTTCCGCGAGACCTCAAGTCCAAAGATACATCTGTCTTGATCAGCTCTATCTTTTCGCAATGGCTGCCATTGGCTCCTTGCACATTCGCGGCGGTGGTTTCCAACATTCCTTCCCCCCAAGAGGCTCAAGCCACGCGAGTGCCGAAGCTCCTCTCACCCGATTTATCTTACTTCGCGACACCGGCAGATCTTGAACCGAAGAACGCAGTGCAGGCAGACATGTTTGCTGCGCGCTCGGACCCTGCTGACAAGGTATACAATGTGGCGTACATCAGCAAGATGTTTGCGGTACGAAGGGAAGACCTGCCGGAAAGCAAGAGGAAAGCACTTACAGCGGATGAAATGCGCATGAAAGCGAAAGAATCGCGCGAGCGCGCTCGCGCGATTCAGGCTGCGACGGGTGCAGCTGTGCAGCAGGCCCCGGAAGGGGTACCTTTAGAAGAAGCAGCGGCTCTTCAACATAATGGTAGCGACAAGGTGGAGAAACAGGGTGAGGCGCATGAGGCGCCCTCTGAGACCAAAGTTGAACCCATCTCGGACGAGGTGGCCATTGGCTTCTCGCGTCTCTACAGCGGCCGACTTCGTGTGGGACAGTCTGTTGTCGTCGTCCTGCCCAAATATCAGCCTGCTCTGGGCGCCACAAGCCTATTGAATGCAAAGCACATCAAGGACATCAAGATTGAAGCGCTTTATATGCTAATGGGTCGTGACCTCGTCGCAGTGAACGAGGTACCCGCTGGGAACGTATTCGGCATTCGAGGATTGGAAGGCGTCGTTCTGAGAAACGCGACTCTGTTCGCTCCGCCTGGCAACGTTGATGATTTGGACACTTGGCTGAAGACAGACTACGCAAAAGACGTCGTCAACTTATCAGGTGTCAACTCGACTGCTGCTCCCATCGTTCGAGTCGCACTGGAGCCGAAGAACCCTTGTGAGCAGACTGATCTGCACTGGGGTTTGTCAATCTTCGGACAGCTCGTCCTGACTGCTCACAACCTCACCTGCCATTACAGCGGACATGTCAAAGCTCGTCGAAGGCCTGAAACTGCTCAATCAAGCAGATCCCTGTGTCCAAGTACTTGTGCAAGAGACTGGCGAGCACGTGATCATTGGTGCTGGAGAGCTTCATGTTGAGGTGAGGTGCGCGCATCAAGTATACGATGAGCCTGGCGACTAATGCTTTCGCTTTTCTTTTCCGTCAGCGATGCTTGAAAGATCTGCAGGAACGCTTTGCAAAGTGCGAGATCCAAGCCTCACCACCGATCGTTCCATTCCGTGAGACAGCTGTCAAGGGGAACGACATGCCTCCACCCAAGACGGAAGGAGCCCCCCGCGGAACCATTGTCGGAAGCGTCGCGAATGGTCTGGTATCCTACCGCATCAGAGCCGTTCCGATGCCTTTGGAGCTGACAAGTTTCATTGGAAGCAATGCTACGTCGATTCGCCGACTGCAGCATGAAAGACGCGCAGACGCAGATGAGGAGTCGGCCAAAGCAGCGCAGAGTCTGGATGGCCAGGAAGGCGGCAAGGTCCTTGCTCCCCAACAGTTCTGGTCGACATTGGAAGAGAAGGTGGCGAACTGTGGTTCGGACTGGAAGGATGTCGTTGAGCATGTCTGGTCGTTCGGTCCGCGGCGTGTAGGGCCAAATCTGTTGTTAGATCGTGCAGGTCTTTTAGCCAAAAGGTAAGCAGGCACTATGATTCTTGCCCACGTGGTACTGTGATGCTGACGATCACATCTCCAGTTTGCGCGCACGAACCAATCAGCGGCACTTGCTTGCTGATGGTCGATTCTCATCCGGCTTGCAGACGCCTGATGAGGCAACGGATGGGTATGGGGAGAGGCCCCAGGCGGAAAATGGGCAGACGTTGGAAGAGGTCCTTCATTCAGTGCATCTGGGCGACGACGATGCAGCGGAAGATAAACCCGGTCAAGTGACTTTCAGCTCCAAAGACATGAACGACGCCATCGAGGCGGGGTTCCAAATGGCTATGCTTCAAGGGCCGATGTGTGCGGAGCCCGTGCAAGGGATGGCTTACTTTGTAGAGGAGTTATCGGTGGATCGCGAAGAAGCGCAGAAGGAAGGTGCACGAGTGCGTCTGTCGCAGATCACTGGCTCCCTCATGTCGTCTGTGAGAGAGTCATGCAGACAAGCTCTGCTGGACTGGTCGCCGCGTCTAATGATGGCGATGTACACTTGCGATATTCAAGCTTCGAGTGAGTACGACGATTGTGCAACGAGTAGATGGGGGTGCTTTACTGACGCAAGCGCTTCCAGCCGAGGTGCTGGGCAAGGTACATGCCGTGTTGTCTCGACGAAGAGGACGTATCACTTCCGAGGAGATGAAGGAAGGGACCTCCTTCTTCACCGTCGGTGCACTCTTACCCGTGGTCGAATCCTTCGGGTTTGCAGATGGTGTGTTACCAGCGTTACAGTCTGAATGATGCGTGCCCGGCCATGAGCTAACAAGTGTTCTTTCACTCGACGCGAAGAAATCCGCAAACGAACGTCAGGAGCCGCTAGTCCGCAGCTCATCTTTGCGGGATTCGAGCTCTTCAACCTGGATCCATACTGGGTTCCACGAACAGAGGAGGAGCTGGAAGACTTGGGCGAGAAAGGCGAGAGAGAGAACGTGGCGGAGCGATACATGAATCAGGTGCGCAAGCGCAAAGGCATGTTCGTGACGAAGCGAATTGTTGAGGCAGCGGAGAAGCAGCGGACGCTCAAGTCCAACTGAGGCGAATGGTTATGAGCGGCTACTTGTATTCTAAGCTGCCATGCATTCGTCTTCGTAGGCCGACAATTCCGGGTGTATCTCAAAATGCCTCAACAGGGTACAGACGGCATTCACGCTACCTCACCTACAGATTCCAGTTGAGACGCCAATGGCATTGTTGCCTCTGGTTGCATGGTCCAATATTGTGCTGTGAACGATATATTCGTGGAAGCCAGAAGCACGGAGCGTTGAGTAGAGGGATCAAGAGAGTATTGATGTCGTTGATTCCGTTGGTGTTGTGTTCTTGCCTCGCTCCTTTTTATGCTTTTCTGTTTGAGTCTCGCTATGTAGAGTCAAAGCAAGGCTCTGCTTCCATCTGCCAAGATACCTCCGAGCACAACCCAGTCAAGAGACTCAGGGCCCCCGACAGTCCGCTCCTGCTCAGGCGACCAGGCAGGTAAATATTCTTCGAACCGCGAGAGGTTTCGATTCGGAGACCCTCGTACTAGGATTGGCTATGAGGTAAAGGAGTTTCAGCTGCCGTCAAAAGCTGTCAGCCGGCGACAATGCACTTGCCACGTCACACGATCACCTCGCGTGTTCCGGCTCCAACTTTCGTCCGCGCATGTTTCTCATCTGTCGATCAGGAGTCTGAAGCCGAGCATCCGCCAAATCAGAAGCAGTGGAAGGGCAAGGAAAAGGTGACCGACCACCTCAATGATGAAGGTGTTGCGAGTGAGCTGCATCTGGAGGACGTCCAGTACCCGAATCGCTCCACTTTTGCGTGCGCTACCCAAACTGGCTTTTTTGTGGTCAACACATGGCCTCTCCGAGAATTAGTCCGACGAGGTGCGTGCCCTCTGCGTACGCTTGTGTGCGTGAAATACATGCAGCTGAGCTTTGCATTCTGGACGCACAGAATTTCCAAAGGCCCAAGGAGGCCTCGTCACCGCGGCACCGGTGGACGACTCGTCGCTTGTGTTGCTTGTCGGTGGCGGTCGCGTACCTCGCTTTGCCCCGAGCAAAGTCATCATATGGGATGAGGCGTCCTCCCACCGACGAACCCCCTCTGGCCTTGCGAGCACTACTAGACCTGCGCAGGCTAGGGGCGAAACGTCGCGCAAAGAAAGCCACACCGAGCTTGCGCATGCAGAAAGTCTCATCCTAAGGTCCGACAGCACAGTTGACCTGGAGCCGACTTCGCCGCCTGATACACCCTCAAATAGGTCTCATGCCGCGATGTCGAAAGCGTCCTATCAACCTTCACGGTACGGATATGGGCTGGACGACATGTTTCGCTCTCAAGCCAGTATTGCGTCGCAGCACAATGATGAGGACCACGACAGTAGCGGGGCTGAGAGCGAGCAAATGTTTGTCAGTGTGGCAGACTTTGATTCCACGGTCAAGGATCGCGGTGATGCACCTGAACGAGCGGGCGCATTTAACGCAGGTATTAAGTCGGAGAGCAACGCTCGGGGCCAAAGCTCAGCTCCGCCCGAGATAGCAATCTCCCTCGGATCAAGTGACGAGAAAGATGGACCCGCTCTCCCGGACTCGTTGTTTCCCACGTCAGCGGGCAATGCAGAGGATACCACGATACAATCGCCAACAGGTGCTGCTATCGTTGAGCTAGAATTCGGCGAGACTGTCCGCGGTGTGCATGTCAAGACGTTTGGCTGCAAGGGCCAGCGCGGCGAATTTGACAGTATGCTCATGGTGGTCATTCTCAAGACAAAGGCTGTCGTTTTTGAAGTTGCAGCGCCACAGCAAAAAAATGGAGCAAATGCCGGATGGTCCGTCCACCAACGGCTTGTTGTCAACATGGTAGACACCTTGTCGGGACTTGGGGCAATCACAAGTCTGAGGGGAAGGCCTGACCTTGCTCTGATCGCCTTGCCTGGGCGCCAGTTGGGACATGTTCAGCTCGTTACTCTGCCCGTGGGTCCAGGCAACACGAGCAAACCCGGTGGCCCCAGCACAATCATCGCAGCACACACTTCACCGTTATCGGCTATCGCGCTCTCCAATTGCGGTTCACTCCTCGCCACGACTTCAGAAAAGGGTACTTTAGTGCGCATTTGGTCTACGCTCAGCACTGCCAGTTCCGCACGACCGAGTGCATCGGGCGCAGCCGACGCACCTCTTCGCACCAAACTTGGCATTCTCCTCGTGCGCGAGCTTCGACGCGGTCTAGACACTGCGAAGATCCACGATGTGCGTTTCTCGCCAGATGGCGCGTGCATCGCAATAGCCAGCGAGACGGGGACGATCCACTTCTTCTCGCTTGCCAAAGCATCAGACCTTAGTCGACGCGACTCTACTTTGTCCCATTCGCAACCCAAAGGCTTTAAGACCTTGTCCCAACTCACCAGCGTGGTACCTTCATCAATTCTGCCACAGTACTTCAAGTCCGAGTGGTCCTCAGCACAGTTCCGCATCTCTCTGCAATCTTACACGGCGCGCGCAGGGGGGGCACCAGACACAAAAGGCGACACAGGCTGGGTCCAGATTGGCGGGAAAGAGAGCACGGCATCTGGTCCGTCTACTGAGGGACAATGGGCTAGCATTCGTGGCCGCATCGAAGATGCTCGGCGAGGAGAAGCAGGGTTGGATGAGCAGATCTTCCTGTCTTGGACCCGCGCGGAAGGCACGTATCAGCTCATCGCCGTCACTACGGCGGGAAGCTACTATCGGGTCTCTCTGAAGCCCGAGAACTTCGAGAAAATTGCTGATGACGAGTCGGACGACGATGCCGAGTCCAGTGTGGTCCTGGACATGTACAAGACCTCGTCAAATAAGCGCAGCAGCACGAAGAAAGCAAAGAAACCAAAGCCGAACCAGGACGCAGGTGCTGTCGGCTGCAAGTTGGAAGAATACCGCAGATTCGGTCAAAAGGACGAATTCGAGATGTAGAACCAACCACATACGACGTAGAGCACAGCACTGTCTTCGCCTGGTTTCGCGAGCATTCAACACTCAGTCCCCCATTTCTACTGTAATACAGATATATACAAAAGCAGCTGCATTTGTGAGCGATAATGCAATGAAAAGCGATTGGCAAAAGCCCGGTCATAGGAGGTGTCATCGCAAGCGGGGGAAGAAGCCCAAGAACGTTGCGCCGTCGACATCGGGTTCAAAGTCTTTCCCTTGACCCCACTCCATGGCGCATTCTGTGAGAAGTGGCGTGCCAAGGTAGTCGAGGAGCGCAGCACCACCATCGATGGATTTGAGAGAGCGCCTTATTCGGACGATGAGGCGCATGACGTCGTCCGGCGAATTAGGCGTGGCCGCATCAGCGGAAATCAGGTTGAGGATGGTATTCAAGCTGTTGTGGCCGTTACCGCGGGAGACGGCCGAAAGAAGGTTGACGCCATTCCCGGCTCCACCCTCGAGGAAGGCAAATTCAGAGCCTCCCGGGCCATCGAGTGCTGAAATCCCATCCCAAGGTAATGATTGCGCGACGCGCTGCCTCAGTTGCAGGACATAGTGCTGCGCTGCGTAGTAGAACGCCGTCGTTTCTGTCACACACGGCCTCGATCCGCCGACACTTTGACTGAAGCCGGCCTTGGCAAACCAGCGCTGCAGGCCATTGTCGATCTTGTTCGCTTCGAGGATCAACTTGGTGTCCAGCTCACCGACGTCGTACTGGAAGCTTGCAAGATCCTCCTCGCTGAAAGAGCCAAGTGCGCTCTGCGCTTGTGAGACCGCTTGCCCATGATTGTCGCGAATAGGGATATGCGGCAGGCCTGCTTGTTGGCGCAGCTGGTGTCGCGAAGCATAATCCATGCGGCCTACTTCGACAGCATGGCCGCAAAGGGCGACAATGGCCGAGAATTTGGCACAGGGGCCGAGCGAGTCCAACTTGGATGCTGGGTCCATCCGAGCCGAGGCATTTGATCTTTCGACGCCGAGAGCCGCCTGGCTTGGGTCTTCCGAGACTTCGAGGAGCGAACGAACAAGGTTGCGGATGGTGAAGGAGCGTTTGGACAGGCTGTCGTGTTCCAGGGGCTGATTGGGTAGCGTTCCCTTCATTGCCTGCCACTCACTGGCCGATGTCGCCTCCCATAGAGACTCGTCGCCAAGGTCACCCACTTCGAGAGAGCCGAGCTCGGACGCGGAAAGCCAGGGTGGGACGTGGAAGAGTATGCTCTGGAGCACATCGCACACGGAAATAGCCCAGAGGGTCCGCTTACGCTCTGCTCGCCGGACCCATTCGCGCCATTTCTCATGCTCGGAAAACAGACTTGAGCGCTGTGAGCGTTGTCGCGCCAGATTCTCCCGGTGCTGCGTCTCTTGTAACAATTCTCGCCCAATCTGAGAGACCCAAAGACAAAATGGACATCATGAAGTCAGTATCCAAAGCGGCGCGAGAACAGCTACGCTAGAATTGCCGACGCACCGTGATCAGAGCACCGTGCAAGAGTCGCGCGTGATTCTGATGTGGCCTGCTCTTGCTGAACAAGCTGACGAATTGCACGAGCGCAAGCGATTGCGCACGGCGCAGCAGCGTCGGTTCCGCCAAGAATTCCTTTTCAAGGTCTGCGCCAGCCTCGTTGAATGAGAACGTAGCGCGCGTCGTGCTGGGAGGATTGTCCGCGAAGTCTCCTAGCAACTTCGCTTTGAGCTCGCCTGCGCCATACCAATCAGCGCCGCGTTCGCTTGCGCCGTTTCCGTTGCTATGAATTCCATGCGCACCACCTGCACCCCGGGCGTCGCCGCCCGCGGCGAACTGGTACGCTGCTGAGTCCGCCATGCCGTCATAATTGGCACCGACGATGGCCATGGCGCGGAGCAGGTCCTCGGTACAGGGCTTAAGTCCGTCGATCTGTTTCGCCTGGTTGGTCGTCTTGAGCATGCCATTCACGTCGAGGATGTCCTCGTACAGCCGTGGGATGGTCGGGGTGTGGATGAAGGGAAGATGCTTGTTGAAGTTTTTGACGAACAATGATAGATGCCGGTTCGAGGGCGGCGGTGAGGACGGCGTCGGGAGAGTTCCGAAATGCCCTGAGCCGACAACCTCGGAGCTGGGGCCTGCACCTGGCCCAGTAGCACCAAGGCCGCTTACGCTAAAGCCATGGATGCTCTGCTCCTGCTGTTCTGCCATGGAGATGTTGCGAGCGGGCGAGAAGATGCTGGCGGCTTGCGTAATGTACGACCCAAAACCTAGATTAGTCTCGTCGTTGAGGCCGGGCGAGAACAGCCTGCCGAAATCGAAGCGCTCGGTCGCTGGGAAACCCTCCATCGACGGCAGCGCGTATGAAGAGGCATCCTGGTACCCCGGCGGCCCGCCGGGTGTGGAGGCGAGTCGAGGTGGAGGGATCATCAGGCCGTGTGCTTCGTCGTGCTTCTGCGAATTCCAGACTGCGCGATGATGCGATCCAATGGCGGGTGGCGGTGGAGGCATGGACCCAACTAAAGAGGGACGCAGAGCGGATGCAGAACGGGAGAGAGCAGTGACAAGTCAGCATGACAGAAGCGTGCAATAAAGGTACCGCCGTAACAGAATGCCGCACGCACCGGAAAGAGGAGTCCCGGACATGTCGAATGTCGTGTTCCCAGCTGCAGCATTACTAAGCAGGGCTGAGGGGGGCTGAGAAGCGATTGAGGCCGACGAGCGCCCGAGATGCGCGGAAGGCGTCGCACCACCAGCAGACAACGTACTGCGGCTGCCGCCGGACTCTGTGCTGACGGAGTTGCGCCCGGCCTTTCCGCCGAAACTGCCGGGCAGGTTCGTGCTGATGCTGCTGAGCTGCGGCTGCGTCTGGCGGCGCATGAAGCGCGAGGCGACCGATTGCGCGCCGAAGTTAGGCGGCACGCTGGTGCTATTGTTGTTGTTGTTGTTCTTGTTCTTGTTGTTCTTGTTGGTGGTGGTGTGACCGTACGGGCTGTCATACCCGCCTGGGCCCCCTCCTCCCAGCTGCGGCAGACTGGCCGGCGGGCCATACATGTCGCGCCCCGAAATGGCCATGGCCATGAGGTTGGCCGCGTCACTCATGCTGACACCTCCGGGTCCGACCTGCTGCGCGCTAGGCTCGTTGTCCTGGTTGAGATGGAGCTTCATATGCCTCTGCAGCGAATCGGTGCGAGTGGATTTGAACTTGCAGAACGTGCATGCGAACGGCTTCTCGCCCGTGTGCGAGCGCATATGCCGCGAGAGGCCGTTCTTGCGCTGGAACGCCTGGCCGCAGACATGGCATGAAAAGCGCCCGGAGGCGGCCTTGCCGGCTGAACTCTTGGACTGGTCAGCAGCTGCGCTGCCCAAGGCGGAGGAAAGGTCGGTGGGCCACTTGGAGGTTGCATCTTCCAGGGACCCGCTTGAGGCCTGCGAATCTGGTGACCCGACGTCCATATCTGAAGTCGCCATTGCGACCGTTGCTCCTCCTTCTCCGATTACAGGCTCGTTCTCAGCCTCGATAATTTGCTTCCCCTGCTGTCCCTCGTTTCCTGCGTATGCTCTGCAGCCACCAGGAAGACCTGGCCTGCTGGACGAATCAGACCAGCTGAGACGACCTGCTGCAGATGCAGATGCCGGTGAAGGTGGAGGTTGCAGCGTCGACTGCGAGGAGCGGCCAGCCGATGCGGGTCCGACGAGGCTAGAAGATGACCAGGCGCTGCTCAAGAGCCCAGCAGCGGACAGGCACGACAGATCTTGGTCGTTAGCGTGCGAGGAAATGCTAGTTGAGCCTTTGGATGAGGGAGTAGGTGCTGCAAGTCGACCTGGACCAGCCGCGTCCGCAGTCGTCGTGGATGCTGCTCCTTCTGCTGCAGATAAAGGTGACCGTAGCAATTCCTCCCTTGGCGACAAGAGAGGCGGAAAGAGCGCAAATGCGGATGCAGCAGCAGCAGCTGCTGCTGCTGAGGGTGATGTCCCCGCTGCTGCGAGCACTGCGTGGGTTTCGGCGTAGCTGCCGCCGCCGCTGGTTAGACGCGTGTCGGTCGATAAGGGCGAGTGTGTGTGAGCCAGTGCCGCTGAGGGCAGGCTGCGGAGTACGGATGTCTGCGCCAGCTTGGATGACGTGGGCAGGGTTCGGCGCTCTACGTTGCGAAGGATGAAAGGACGGATGGGTGGATGTGGCCAAGACGAGGACCTTGTGGATGGGACGACCAATAGTCGGTCGGAGTGTGTAAGGATGCAGGCTAGCGGGGGTTAAGGCAAACACTGCTCCTGTGGCGCCAGTTGATTGCCCCCGCGCGCGCTTTTTCCACCCGCTTCCTTTTTTTTTCGGTGGCCACTCCCTCGAACTTATTTCAACACAATCAGAACCCAGCTGAAAGTGCTGCGAGCGTTCGATGGGATGCTGGAATTCACCGCTTCACCTTGTCTTGGAACGGGTCAGGTTGGATGGATGGACAGACGTTGCTGCGATGACTTTGAAGATTTGTCAATGAAGAAAGAGCAGATTATTGTCACAGAAAACGACCCAGATGATGATTACAAAGTTCGTGCTCGGAAACAGTCGCACGTATGAGGATGCGATGAGCACCGTGACCTTGATATGCATCCCAAACTCTACAATGCAAGATGATCTCAATCGTCCCATACAACTCCACGAACTCATCTAGCTGAACAGACTGGGCAAAGGGGGATACGTATGCAGGATGTATCTTCAATCTCAGAACCAATTTCCGTAGAGATTTGCGGGTATTCACAGGGCAGGAGGAATGAAACGGCAGAGGCAGGTCGAGTCCCTGTCATCATCTCATGCCTCAGGCAAGGTTACAAAACAGGAAATACAATAGCTGCCGATAGCTGCACACTAGTGGCTATCGCCTATTTGCATCCAATAGTATTCAAAGATGATGTGGAGCGATCAAGGACTGTGAAGGCGACAAGGCCCCGATTTGACGATCGCCATGAGCATGAGCTCTACCGTATGTAGGGTAGCCAGATGGACAGACAGACAGACAGAGCGCACTCGACGATACAATGTACAATTCATGTACATAACGGCTACATACGTATGCGTGTAGGTATGTATCCATCTAGGACGCTGGGCACGCACAGAACGACGATCGACAATTGCCGAACACTAGTCTACTCTGCAACTTGCTCTAGCTTGCTTCTTCGCTGAGACGCTTGAAGCAGCTGTAACACTCTGCAAATCTCATCGGAACGTCAGGATTGGCTTCATTTTCAATTGTGCAATTGGGCAGAGGACCCTGGAAGGTATTGGAGGCGACGTCGAGCTGGATTCGCTTTCAGCACATGGGATACTCGTACTGCTTGGTGGCCGAAGGTGAGCTCTAGTACATAGCCCCGAACAAAGAGGTCTAGTGTGGTGCCGTAGGGTTAAACTTTGGAAGCGTGCTTGTCAAGAAGGCCGATCACAGCCGAAAATGTATGTACGAGTATCATGAATTTGTAGCCAACGAATACGGTAGACTGTGCCTCTGGCGTGTAATTCGAATGGAGCAAAACATGGCGAGACGCACGTGTAAGTCGCACCTTGTCCCGCAAGTGCGCTAATTTTCAGATCAGGAACTTTCCGCTGCATACTGCACACTACTTTCCAAAGTCTAGACTCTAGCCTCCATCCATTCATTCCCCTAGGCTTTAAAAGGCAAAAGTTTCCCCCAAAGGCAAAGCATGCAAGACCTGGGGTGGAATCCTAGAGTGTCCTGGCACGTGGCAGTTCCAAAGCTGACGCCGCAAGAAGCATAAATAGAAAAGCCATGCAGCCAGGTGTGCCAGGCCCGTGATCTCAAGGAAAGACTCAACGTTGCATCCATGTCCGTGGGCACTATGTATCTCGGCAAGTTTCGGAGACTGAAACCGCCGGTAGCGAGCAGTCAGGCACCGTGGGGGTTGTGGCTAACCCTTGACTGTCTTGTTCTGCTGGAAGGAAATCATCACGGCAGGGATCGTCCGTTTTGCTCTTACGTGCTTTGGTGAAAGCGGTGAAAGGGTGGCGCATCGCAAAAAGAGCGAGACTAAACTTTCAAGCTCTCGGAGGCTCCGTGCCCTCAACTGGTCTGTGTGGCGCCCTTTTGACCAGGTATGAAACAAATTTTGCTTTGTGCCCTGTGCCCTGGCTCGCGACATGCGGGGTCGCAGGTCGAGCAACCAGTCCCAATTGATGCACCGCAAATCTCAGGGGAGTCTCAGACCGGACATATCTCGTTTTGACTCTCTCTCGTCCCAACCCATCCAGCTGATCAATCAATCGAAAAGCGAGTGATCGATTGGAAAGCAGATGATCGATTGAAAGTGTCGTGAAGGAGCGAGATGATCACGTGACCATGCATGGTGGACTAATGGTATATTCACCTGTGAGGTGCTCATCCTTGGTATGAATCGAGCCATTCACCCTTCCTGTCCTACAGGGTCTTCTCCGCTTTCCCCATTGGCCAGCTCTCTCCGTCCAAGCTCACCACAAACGCAAGCACAAACCCCGAACATACATGCACCCATTAATTGCTTCAGCCTTGCTGTATTCGCCTCTTGAACTATATTACATGCAGCTTACCGCCACCAAGCACACGCTTCATCATCTTCACATGTCGTTCCGCCTTCAGCTTCGACGCGATGGTACCCATACAGGCATACAGGACTCTCGCATCTCATAGAAGCATGGCAGGAAGGCAGCTGAAGCAGTACCAGTAGCACGCACTGCGGCTGACGGTCCTTGCGCTTGTACAAGAGGAAAGCACATGGCACTACGCATGTCCGCGTGCGAGTGAGGTGTACATAGGACGCATGTAGTGGATCGCATGTCTGTGCAGCTGCCCTCTGAACCTCACGGACGCTCGTCGCACAACAGGGCGCGCACAAAAGGCATGTCCGACACTCATGTGGACAGGGGAGCGGCAACCGCGTTGCAGTGGGATGCCCAACGGACTACTTGCGCCGATGTTGCTCGATTACACAATCCTATGCTCCACGCAGCCCGTTCCTCATCTGGACCAGCCGATCCCATTCAGGCGCGTCCTCGAACGCCTCCTTCGTCCTGGCCATGTATCCACGCACGAGCGAGCGCGCCTTGAACTTCCAATCAGGCATCGCCTCCTCCGCTTCCTCATCCTCCTTGCTGCCTCCCTCTTGCGTCAGCGCAAGCGGGCCCCTGACCTTCGCCGGCCTGGGCCCCAGGTTCTCCATAACCTCCACGAGCTCCTGCAGTTCCTCGACGCCCTGTAGCCAGCGCGCCTTATCCAGCGCCGCCGCGTCTTCGCCCGCATCGGCTCGCGCGCACTTCCATGCTTGCAGCTCAGCCTCCAGGTACGCGCGGTACGCTCCCTTGTACATCTGCAGCCGCGCGTACACGCGCCACAGCCGTGCGCTGTCATGTACGCGCGCCAGCAGCGTGCCGCTGAAGAGCAGCTCGATGGCGCGCAGCAGGTTGCGCGCCGCGTTTGGGTCTTCTTGTTCTTGCGCTTGTGCGTAACCCTGTGCGGCGCCTGCGCCATCGGTAACAACAGCAGAAGATGCACCTCCGCGCGTGACGGCATCCACCAGCCGGTCCAGCACATCAAAGTCGACGGCGTCTGCGCCGCCCTTCTCGCCGGCGTCCGCGGCCGACCTGGCACAGCGGATCTCAACGACGCGGCCCAGAGCGCGCGCTGCCTCGCGCAGCTCACCAACATCGATGGAGACGACCATGTAGTTGTACCACACTCGCCACGAGTCGCGTGAGAACTTGAGTGATTGCTCCAACGCGCGGTGCGCAAGCTTGCGCAACGCGTACGACGTGTCGGCCTTTCGTGCCGAAGAAACCCGTGATGGCTCATCCTCCTCGTCGTCTTCGGTGTCGTTCTCATCTTCGAGCGTTAGAGCGTCCAGCCCATCGTTTGCCTCTTCATCGAGCAAAGGCAGCGCAGTGCCGTTCGTCACCTTGCTGGCATCCTGAGCTCTTCGCTTTCTCACACCACCTTTCTTGCTTCCACCCTCCACGCCCATCCTCAAATAGCAGCTCGCGAGGTTGTTCCAGCTCTCTCCATCTTCGTCGTCCAAGCTGGTACAGCGCCTGAAACACCCTGCCGCCAGCTGCCAACTCTCTTCGCGCATGTATGCGCAGCCGAGGACGAACCAGCTACGCGAGAACAGTGGATTGATCGCCAGCGCCCGACGGAGCCAATCGATCGTCTGCGCGTACTGCTGCGAGCTGAAGTAGATGCCGCCGAGCGAACGAGCTGCGCGAGCGGAGGAAGACCCCGAGACGGACCATGCTTGCTTGTAGTGTTCCAGCGCAGATGCGGGCTCCAGGTCACCAAGTAGGCACCAGAGCTTCGCAAGCCTAGCTGCTCCCATGCGTGTGCGTGCGGTGCCCTTGCTTGTCCCGCTTACTCCCTCCGACTGCTCCATCTGTTTCCGCCTGACCAGCGCTTCGCCGACCTCGACCTTTCTGCCTTCAAGCAGATCCCTCACCACTTCCCTGCCCTCCTCATGCCTGCCCAAGCTGCCGAGACAGAGCACCGCTTCCTCCCACATCTCGATAGCGCTGTAAATCTCCAAGGCGCTCCGCACGACGCCGAGTGCAGCGTAGCGCTTGCCCAGTTCGGCCTGCAGCTCCCAGCGCGGTGGAAGGTCAATGCTGAAGAAGAAGCGCAAGCGCTCTGAGACGCTCGAGTCAGCCGTCGGCATCTGGTCCACGAGCGCTTGCAGTTGGAGCACGCTCCTCTCCACCGTGCGCGTGCGCGTGCTCTCCAGTCGCGAGCGCAGCAGCAGCGCCATCGTGTAGACGGACCAGTTCATCGGGTGCAGCAGGACGCGCTGGACGAATGCTGAAATCTGAGAGGATGTCAAGCCGTGCGATGGCGACGTGTTGCGGATGTTGAGCGAGAGAGCAAGCAGTATGGACTGGTCAAAGGGTGACAGAGGCGGCTGTGCATTCGGATCGATAGCCGCAAGCGGAGAAGCAGCGTCTTCACCACCGTCGGTGCTGATCACAGTCGATGTAAACTGCGTCAGCTCGAGTAGTGTATCATCATTGAGCTCCAGATTTGACGGCATCGACTTGTCCTGCCCTTCCTTGGAACGTGATTTCCATCCGCTCCTTTCGTGATCGACTCCCTGCTCCTCTGCGACTGCGGCGTCATTTGCCTCCTTGGCCTCTTGAGCTTCACGAGCCCTCTCCTCCGCTTCACTCTGAATGACATCGTCGCGCGACTTGGCGAGCAGAATCAACTGAGACTTGTCTTCTTTTTGCCATTTGGTTCGTTTTCCCAGCGCACCACTGAGCTGGTATGCAAAGCCGTGCAGGCGAGCTGCTTCGACAAACAACTCTGAAGGTGTCTGATTTCGTCCCGGGCTCTGGCCTGCATCCTGACCGTGACTGTGTCCGCTGCCCCCGCGCTGTAGAGCAAGGCCGCGCTCCAGAACGAGACGAGCAAGGACGTCCGTCCATAGCTTGGCTTTTGGAGGATGTGATAAAGATGAATTGTTCTTGCGTTCGAGAAGGAACTCACTCGCCCCCTCAGGTCCGCGCATGATGCTATCGCCAAAAGGCACCGGCTCGTCGAGCAGACGGTTGTGTACGAGTGCACCTCGTAGGCGCCACCATGCTGCTAAGTGTTGCAAATCGGGCGAGTCACTTGTACTTGGGGATAATGATAGCTTTGCGAGCCACCTTACTGCGAAGACAAGCATGAATGGATCTCTGCACAGGTGGTATGCTGGCTCGCCGCGCCACTGCAAGGCGTCGACTGCAGCACTGTGCAGCTGTGCCTTCGCATCCTTGTCTTGGATGCCTAGCAGTTCAGCTGAGCTGAAGGACAGATCTGGACCCGTCCAATTGGCCTGTATAAATGCTGACAGCGCAGCAGCCGTGATGAGGATGGCTTGTTGGAATTCTTCGTCGGAGGTTGGCACATGAATCAAAGAAGTCTTGTCCAGCTCGTACCTACGAGCTGAAGAAGAGGGGGACGATGTTGATGATACGTTCCTCCCAAGCACATCTTCCTTGAACGGCTGCAGCATAATTTGCGCTGCCTCTGAGCGCAGGACCGCCGCATAGTCCCCGGCTTTGCAATGTGTCAAAAGAGCAAGGGTTTGTGCTGTGCCGCCGACGCCGCTATCGGCGCTCGCGCCGGGCAACGATGCGGTCCAAGCCCACAGGGATTCTATTTGATCGTCCATGATGCCTCCGAGAGAAAATCGCCAAGGTTCTTCCCGACCAGATTTCAAACGCAAGGCCATGAACAGTGAGGATGATGAGCTAGAAGAAGAATTATACGAAGGCAACGTCCGAGGGTTGCAGAGAGACCTCTTGATCCGACTCGAGTTGTGGAAAGCTCGAAAAATTTGGCAACGCAGGCTACGTACCCTACAGCCGCGACGGGGTTAAGGAGGAAACATTTGCACCGAAGAAGCTACGCGGTTGCACCGAATACTGTGGCGTTGTCCACGTCCTATCTAGCTTTTCATCTCGAACGCATGAGAAGTCTCTCGAATCGGCGCCGAGGCGTTGAGAGGCGATGAGGACGAACGGCGCCAACTATTAATCGGAACCAGGAACATCAAATGTACAGAGGCCCACAAGGCAGAAGCGCATGACTTACTTCGTAGCAACAAAGCCGTCGCTTGCCTCCTCATCGTGGTCTTTCAGCGCCTTTCCTCGCGATCAGCAGCCCCGCTTCAACGTTCCTACTCTTTTTCAGCCTGGAGGATCGCCGCAAATAGCCGCCCCACGATTCGGTATCCAGATCCATATTGGCGCCTCGAGGGCTTCCGGACTGAATCAGGAGCTATCTAGCTAACCCTCATACACCTCGGTGTGATGGTATGTGCTATTCCCCTATTTCATACTTGATGTTCATGGATGGCTGACGTCCATTATCACCTTACCTCTGCGCCACCCCTTCCTAACCGTTTCTCCTTCCCGCTTGACGGCCTCAGCCAGTCTCACTAGCCAGCTCCCGTGCGCTCTTCCCCCTGCGCGTCAAATACGCCAAAGTTACCCTTTTCATCCCGGTACAGGCCTCAACTCAGTTATCGGAGCTGAAGGCGCATGTGCTCCAGGCCCTCATTGCAACAAGGCAATCCCCGCCGCAAGGCGTTGCTGACACGTTCATGGATCTCGACGCGGTGAATGATCTGGGGTTCTTCCATGGTGCTGAATCATCCTCAGCAACGTCCGCCACTCTTTCTGCCGTGGGTGCTGATGCGTCTGCGACAGGGGCAGTAGCAGTTCATACAGGTGCAGGCGAGATGACATTCGAGAACGTTGAGGAGAGGACGGGGAAACCGGACACGGTCGGACAAGTGGGATGGAAAGATGAGGTGAACAATGTTACGTATCTTGGATTTAAATATCGCGGTGACAGTGAGCTTAAAATGAACTTATTCTGCGTTGCCCCGCCGCGACTGACGGTTGGATTTGACCGCTTCGCACAGAAACAGTCTCCCAGCCACACGTGCAGATTCCGTCGCTCATGGACGACGAGGACGAGGAGGACGAAGGGGAAGAGCTGGGGGATGACATTCCAATCCCGAAGTTCAATGAGGCTGGGGAAGAGGTGGGGTAGCCACATATTAGATGGGAAGACCTCATGCCACTTTGGCGCGGGTCTCCACAGCACTACAGTAGTTGCGCCGGTCAATGCACCATCAGGCGAACGCTAGCGCGTGGGGGATTTGATTTGTGGCACATGAACATGCAAACGAGGTCATGATCACTAATGGTAATCGCAAGTGATGCGAAAATGGGCTTTTATGCTACATACTTGTGCCGATCTGCTTTTCTCAGGCCATGTCGGGTTAGATTACACTCCTCTGAGCAGCGGCCTTCGCGAAGAGAGGCACCACGCCTACAACTACCGTACTCCTTGCACCTCGCCTCTGACAGCCGCTGCTTAGATGGAAGAGAGCAATCACCAATAACCATTGCCTTCGGCTCCGTCTAGAAAGTGCAAATCGAGCTGGCTCTCCTCACCAGGACCAACTGATGCTGCATCGAAAGGTGCGGCGCCGCCTGCATCTAGCCCTGGCGCGCCGTCCAGGCCTGGAAGCGGATCCAAGTCTAAGCCGGTTGCCGGCCATCGATCATGGTCATGCTGCATGAAGACGAGCATTTCCATGCCACATGTTGGACACACTATCGTAGCCGATGATCCGGTTGCTGGAGCTTTCCGAGTCTGAAAAGGTGCTAAAGGCTCCACGAACGATGCCGAATGTGATGCCAGTTGTATTTGCTCGGCCCCGGGCCCGTGACCGAGACTTGCTGCAGCAGCGGAACTCTCGGCAACTGGTTGAGAGATGGCCTTGCGCAAAGCTGCACGTTGCGCACCATCCAGCGAGGTGCTCTGCATGATCTCGGCCTGCAGATCCGGTGGAAGCCGCAAGAAGACATGCACATCAACGACAGCCTTGTCGTCAAGCGTACCCTCTCCCACGGTATCTTTTGCCACCGAAGCTGCACTTGATGCCGAGGCGTTCGGACGCGTGCGATTCTTAGCGCCACTTGCGCCGAGCAGGGTGCCGATTGATCGACTAGGCTTGCGTTTCGAGAGGTCGAAAGCGGTGATGTTGATCAGGTTGATCGAATTTACGTCTCCGCCTAGCCTAGTGGCTACCGCGGCTGCGCTAGCGGTGCCGCGTGCGCCATTGCTGGTGCTGATGGTGCCATTCGCGACCATCGCTCGAAACATGGCCATGCATGTTTGCGCGATCAGCTGCGCCCGCTCTTGACGGCTACGGGCCTTCGCACTCTTTTCACATGGGCTATCGCTGATGCTGCGGTCAAAGATGCCGACGGGCACTTTGCCTTGCTTACTCGTCCTGTTTTTCCAACCTTGGCGTATGCTGAGACGTAGATTCGTCGGGTAGCGCTTCCACTTGACCTTCGGCTTGATGTGTGAGACCTTCGTTGCCTCTTCTGTCTCCTTTTCCGTCTCCTCTTCCTCTTCGTCTTCTATCTCGTGGTACGTCTTGACGATGCCATTGAAACCCTGTTCATGTATGACTTCGCTCTTGCATATGAACCTCTGCTCCTTTAGCCGCTTAATGCCCGCGATGCCACTTTTGTGGTCCTCCTCCACCTCCTCTTCGTCCTCCAGCAGCTCCACTTCGAGCCGTCGGAGCAAGCTCAGTGCAAGCGTCTGCACCTGGCGGACAACCTCATCGCCGGCGATGCCTCCGCGCGGAAACGTATCCTCGACGCCGATCTGCGCAGGGAACTCCGGAGCGGGTACGACGGGCTCGTCGTCCCTTCCCTGCAGAAGCGCCCAGAGGCGCTGACCAAGGCGCTCGCCGAACAGTACATCGAAGCTGGCGGCGTCAAAGTATGAGCAAACAAGCGAAACGGTCAGGGGCCGCTCGTCTGATGGAGCGTCCCACGGGCGCTGGCCCTCCACGCGTTGTTCTGCCTGTCGCACAGTACCGCTGTCGCGCACAGCCACATTGGGGTTAACGCGCTTCTTGCCTGCTATGTCATCTTCGAGCGTCTGTACGATCGCCGAGCCAAAGCTGTTGACTTTGCGGATATCGAGAGGATCAAGGAAAGCTCGTAGAAGCGCGTCGCGCGCTTCTGCCTCCCTCTCCACCTCATCCCTTCTGCCGAGCCCACGGCCTGCGGCCGCGCTTTGAGCAGCTGGTGCGACAGGGAGCCACAGCGTCTGCTTGTTGGGCTTGTTGATCGCCCCGACCATTTTGGCTGCCATCTTGCAGTGCGCCACGCCCGCGCTCAGCGTCAGGCCCACCTCGCGTTCGATCATGTCGCGTAGGTGCAGCGCGAGGTGTGTGCCGATGCGCAGACGTGTGGCGTACAGGTCTTCCGCTTGTTGCAGCGCGCTCGATAAGCCCAGCCCTTGGCGGCTGTTTGAGGCTGGCGAGGGTAGGACGTGCCCGGGTACGCGATCAGGTTCGGCAACGTACCAGAAGCCGTTGTGCGAGTCAACGTCTGTGCCGGAGACATCGCCAGCTAATGAAGGGGTCCGTGAAGAATGAGAAGGTTGGCGGAGGTCGAAGAAAGAGACGGATGTCCCACTGCTGCCACTTGCTGTTTGTTCGGCCATGCGCTGCACCAGGTGGGCGTCAACCATGTCGGTCACCTGATCAAGCAATACTTTGAGTGGTGTGCAATATTGAGCAAGGAGATATGCTTGAACGACTCACATCGCAGAACAGCTCGTCCATGCCGAGTTTCTCCACTTTTCCGCCCCACACCACGCGCCTGACGAGCGTGAAGATGGCGCTGCTGAGCTTGCGGAACCAGCTGAGGTCTTCCCCGTTGACGAGCACGAGCTCGGGGCAGAGCCCAAGTGCCTCGCGGATTGACGCGAGCTTGCGCACGCCCTTGGCCCTGCCCTCGTAGCTGACGGTCGCAAGGATGCCCTTTTGCTTGATGCCAATCGGCAGGCCGTGCAGCGCTGGGTCTCGCAGGCGCGACGCGGAGACATAGAACGCGTCGATGTCGAGCGCGATGATGATGCGCTGGTGCAGCGGTGAGATGGTGTCGAGGTTCAGCAGCGAGGAGGGGTGTGGGGGAGCCTCTGACGGCTTCCGATTGGGCTGCTCTGCGCGTCCATTTGAGCCATCGCTCGCTCTTGCCTTGCCTGCACGCTTGCCATTAGGTCCAACGTCGGCCACGGCATTGCTCTTCCGCTTCAGCGATGGCTGCTGCTGCTGGCTCCTGAATGCTGGCACAGCCATCTAGATGACCGACTATCCACAGTCTTCTGTTGCACTCGCAGTGGGGAGGGGCGACCGTGGCAGCAGCCGCTCCTCTTGTTTATATTGCCATTCGTCCAGCAAGCGAGCGACGCTTCCGCCCCGGGCCGCTGCTCGCATCACACCCCCACGCCTCGATGGCGCTGTCGTCGCTGGTGTTGCTGAGAAAGTATGTCCACGCGCCGTCGAACGGATGCAAGGCTGTCTAGGCGTCGCGCTGAACACCGTTTCTTTTCCCTTGATGACGTACTCATATTGGTCTTTTCTTTCCCTTGCTGGTGCTGCCGCAGGGAATTCTGACAAGAGGGGGATTGTGATCGGAGCAGCATGCCACTGCGGTGACCTGGCGTGCATCTCGGCCGAGAAAGGACGCCACGCTGCACGGCTTACGAGCGGCCCCACCCTCGGCGCCACCATCGGCGCCGCACTCGGCTGGGCTGCGCGGCTGTGGGCCCATCGCCAGAGTTCAGCCGCCAACAAACTCCGGATAAGTACTGAGTAGTCTGTAAATACGTAGGGTTGTATATTTGTGTGTATGCATGCATCCACTTCCATCATCAGCACACACAATACATACATTTACACACACACACATCGAGCGAGCCAAGGCGTGGTCCACACCATTCACCAAACGAAGGCCAGGGAGACGGCATTCAGCTTGCAGCATGCAAAGGGCGTGATTCGCTGGGTTGGCTTTCGTTTGCTTGTTAGATTGACTCGTGATTGATACAACCATCCAAACACATCCATCGTTGTATTCGTCTCGTCATCCATACTGTGTGTGTCCGCCCTTGTTAGCGTGTTGCGAAACTTGTCCACGCTACCAGTTCACGCCTGCCTGCCTGCCTGCGAGAGACGGCTGTCAAGCTGTACTGTGCCTTTGCCCATTACATCTGTTTTGCAGGCCCTCGCTTTTATCGTCGCTGCCGATGGGACCACCACACGCCTTAACAGTCCAATCTAAAATCTGATCCCTGCACAGGACCATCAACATCAAAACAGCTTGTGTGATCTTCTTTCTGTCCATTCTTTACCCCCAAACATTCGATTCATCTGATCCGTCATCAGCACTAAGCACGCGCTGTCCATCGTTGGGTCCCCCTCCCTCCTACATGCACACCCTGACCAGCTTGGCCAGCTTGCGGTCAATCTATTGTATCTTGCCCATATACATATATACGCGACCGGGGCCGCCCACAGCTGGCAGCTGCGCCGGGGTTTCCCTCCCGACCACCCTGCATTGCATCCATCTCGCGGATTCTTTTCAGCGAGAGCGGTCCACATCCTGCAGGAAAAAGAAACCTGGAGAAAAAGGGCTCGATTACGCACTACGCGCTACCCGTTACGTCCGAGAAACACCGGACCGTACTGCGCGGGTCCCGGCGGTACAAGGTTGGCACTGGCAGTTTTTTACGGTCGTCGACCATAGAAATCCCATCTCGGACACTGGAAAGAGGTGTCGAACAGCTGGAAACACACTCGTGGCACCCACAGCTGACAGCTCCTAGTCACACACACACATACTCTAGGCAGGGGGGGACAAACGTGTGTGGAAGGAAGTTCGATCCCACAAGTATAAAGGACAGCGTCGCACCGACCCCAGGCGCATCCCCCACTGCCACTACCATGTCGAGCTCTTCCCGTCACCCCTACGCCTCGCCTCGACTGAACCAGCACCAGCAGCTCCCACCCGACCTGAGCACAAGCACAAAGCACGAAACCGACAACGCCTTCGCCTTCATCGACAGCACCGAAAGCGGTAACAACTTGCAGCACAGCGCAGCGATCGACGCGCTCGGTACGACGGCTACTGCTGTACCTGCACCTGCATCGCAGCGAAACACGCACGACGGCACAGACAGCACCTCGAAGCAGCTACACACGATGACCTCGCTGGTCCCCGCCGACACACAAGGCACGCTTTTGAGGTCCGTATCCAACGAGAAGCAAGCAGCCGCAGCAGCACAAGGGCAGGCCGGAAGCTCAGCAGGGTCGAAGGCGCAAGTACCCATGTCGCGACCGACTTCGGCACATGGACAGGTGCCAAGGGCACCTGGCATCGGGCCAGGTGGGCTGCAATTCCGTTCCCATGGCTTTTGGGACCCAAAACTGGAGAAGCAGCGTGGCATCCTCTTCAAGGGCTTCCTGCCTTTCGTTGCCGTCATGGCCATCTTCATAGTCTGGGGCGTCGTGTCGATCTACGTAAGTCCCTTACATCCTTGGGCAGTGTGCAGTTCGCGCCGCACTGCTGACAGGAACCGCTCACCCTCATCGCATCGCAGTGGGGCTCGCTTTACGAGACTAACACGCATCGACTCTCGGCGTACGTGATCAACGGCGACCCGAACGGGCAGATCGGGCAGACAATCTCGTCCGCCATCCTGAACACGACGCAGCCCTTGTCGCCGAACTACCCGCGCCGCCTGGGCTGGGTCGAGCGCTCCTTGGCCGACTTCCCAACGGCTGCTTCGATCGAGGAGAGCGTCGCGGTGCAGGAGGACTGCTGGATTGTCGTGCGCATCCTCGACAATGCGACCGCCGCGTTGCAGAGCGCACGCGCGACGGCCGACGCAAGCTGGAACCCCGCAAACGTCGTGCAGGTGTACTACTCGCAGGCGCGCAACTACCAGGCCAACTCGCAGTACACCCTCGGCGCTGTGCAGGAGATCCTGCAGGGGACAATCCCCCAGCTCAACGTCGCCCTCCTCGGGGCGTACATCTCCAGTAGTAGCAACAGCGGTAGCAGCGCGCAGTCAGCGCTGCTCAACGCCGCGTCACGTGCGCCTGCGACGATCGTGCAGCCCGTCGCATATACGACAAACAACCTGCGGCCGTTCAACCAGACTGTCACCATAGCTACGACGTTTGTCGGCCTGATCTACGTTCTGATCCTCGCGTTCAGCACCACCATGGCCGGCCATGGCATGCGCCAGCCGATCCAGCCATGGCTCAAGCTCAGCCATTTAACAGCGATGCGCCTCCTCGTGCCCCTCTTTGCGTACTTCTGGCTCAGCCTCAGTTTTGCCGCGCTCAACACGCCCTTCAAGGTGGCCTTCACCGGGCTCAATGGCAATGCAGCCGCCGGCTTCTTCGCCTTCTGGGCCGCTATGTTCACCGGCATGACGGTCTTCGGTTACGTCACCGAGGCCTTCCTCTGCATCCTCGGACCAAAGTTTATCGTCTTCGGCTTGAGTGAGCAACACAGCACGGGGCGGAAGAATCGCCTGACATGAGACTTACCAGCAAGCTGACATGATCTGAACCTTGCACCTCCTTGTCCTCTGCATGCTTTCACTCTCCCCATTCTTTTTTCCCGGCGCAGTGTTCTGGATCATCTTGAATGTCTCAAGCGCGAACTACCCGCTAGAGATGCTCAACGTCTTTTACAGGTACGGTTACGCCATGCCTTTCTACGTGAGTTCTATTCCAGCAGAACATCCCTGAGCAACGCCTGCGTTAATGCTCACAGTCTCGCCAAACGTTCATTTGCCGCTTGCAGAATCTCAAGCAGATCTTCCTCACGATCATTTTCAACACTGGCCGCCACATCATGATTTTGCAATACTTTGGCGTCCTCTGGGCATGGCTGGTGAGCACGACGAAGCGCGACCTCATGACCGTGCCATGAGCAGCAGTCTGATCCGCTCCGCTTTGCTTGTGAACATCATTTTCTTCCTACAGGCCGTGGCGCTGCTGACGATGCCTTTCTGGTTCTGGTACGAGCAACACAACACCATCCAGGAGCGCAAGGCGCAAATGGCTGGTGGGCAAGGCTACCCGACGCCAGCAACTAGCACGGGCGTGGTGGGACCGGCCGCCTACCGCAGCGAAAAGGATCTCGAAGGAAGCAACAACCACCAGGATGGCGCTGGTAACCGGGGAATGCCGCCTTCCTTTACCTCCTCACATACAACTCCACGATCGACCCGTGAACTCGGGGAAGAGGAGTCACATATAAGCAGCCACGGGCGATGATGCTTTCAAAGTTCACGCATGCACACACAGACTCTCGTTTTAACTCTCGACTCGTCGACACTGATCTGGGCCAATCAGTCGAGCCCGCCTATGATAACGTCACCACCTACAACGTTGTTCCCGTCCTGTGGGGCTACAGGAAAAGAGCGATGCAAAAGCGACGGTGTAATTGTTTCATGGCTCCAGGCATAACGTGACACACTCTCTAGATAAAATACAGTAGATAATATGCTGCTTACTGAGCCCATGTCCCACGATGAATAAGAGGCGTCGCTGGAGGGCACATCTGCTCAAAGGGAACAGGGCTGCATAAAAATATGCGGGTCCAGGATGGACCGAAATAGAAACACGAGGCGGGCTTCCGGAGCGATCGTCGTGTTACACATAAAGTGTGCATCTCTACGACTTCCAGTTGAAAATGTCCTTTGCACCAGAGCTGTTGGTGGTCGACGTGGTCGTCTGCGCATCGCCTGCTCGCGGCTCGAGCAGCAGACTGCGCCGGTACAGCTCCTCGGCTGCACTCCCACCGCCGCCTCCCTTGACAGCCGCCAAGACCGAACGGAGGAAGGACTGGATCTCGGGCACTTCGACCAAATTGTACGGCACCTGATACCGCTGCAGCTCGCCGATGATCCGGCTGACCTTAACGTATCGGTCGAAGTTGATGAGCTTCTTCTGCGGGTCGAGAGGCGATGCTCGCGTAGGAGCGTTTCCTTCATGGCAGAAAGTAAGATCGGTCAAGAAGAGGCCGACAAACGGCAGCGCGGGTGGGAAGGTCTGGCGAAGCTTTTGGCGGTACTCGGCAAAGTTACGCGTGTGCTCAACGGCGCGACGCTGCTGGTCATTCATGATCCTATACTTGGCGTTCAGCCCATCCCACGTCTTGCTGAGACGCGTGATCGTAGATGAATTCAGCGCGCACTGGATGGCCATAAGAGAGTTGAAATTATTCAACGAGTAGCAGCGCTGTCGAGGCGATTCAAGGAGGCGTGGGGCGCGTCAGCGAAGAAGTCCTCGCTGCTTGAGCGTGCAGAAACTCACATTACCCAGCTTGATGAAGAACTTGAGCAGCTCGCGGCGCTTACGTGCGTCAGCCTCGCTGAGAATGCACTCAGAGATCCAACCGGTGATGTGCGTGCTGAGCGCGCTCATAGCTTTGACGTGTACAGCGTTGCTGACGCCGACCTTCTTGCTGAACTCCTGTCCGAGAAGCTCTTCGGGCAAGATGGCGCAGTACAGCTTGGACTCCATGACGGTCAGCTGTCGCGCAAGCTCCAGCGCATCAAAGTCGAGGACGTTGACCATATGGGGGTTTATCTGCCGTAGATGCGACAGCAACGCCTTGGACACAATTGGCGCGGGTGGCGCGGGGCCGTTCTTGGGGAACGCCTGCGGGCTGTACATGCTCGACAGGTTGGTCAGCGACGCGAGCGGACCTTCGCGTTTGACGTGATCGGCTGAGACGACACGCGTAAGGCTTCCCGGCCCACGAGAGGCGGAGATCATCATCTGCACCTTGGTGGCGGCGCCTGCGGAGAGGCGGCGTTGCGCAAGGTCGGCAAGGCGGCTGACGGCGCGCTGCAGAGCTGGCTGCTCCTGCGCTTTGGCAAACTGTACGACGCCTTCGAGGATAACAGCGTCGGTCGACGGCTGCCAGTGCACTTCGAGCCAGTTGCGGAGGAAGTTGACGACGCGCAGACAGACCGGAAGTACCTTGCGCTGCTCAAACAGCTTGCGCTCCTCCTCGCTCAGTTCGACGTCTGCGGGTGGCACGACGTGGTAGCGTGCGACCATGGCGTCGCAGAGGCTCTGCGGCGTCGTGAAGAGGCGGAAGCACATGGCAAACGCGTTCGAGAACGTCGGGTCGACGGTCGTGTCGTGCGGCGTGAGCTTCTCAACGAGCGCCTGGAGTGTAGCGCCGATGAGCTGCTTATCGTTGTTGTACACGACGTCGCTCAGTTGGTACGACGGCGCCATGTACCGTGGCTGGTCGCGCTGGTCGAGGGACCAGGCAGCACTCGGGTCGAGCGTGCCGGAGCGGCCGCGGCTGGTGGGCGGGTGCTCGCTAAGGACGGGAGAGCTGCTTTCGCTCCGCACGCCGGAGCGCGCAGCCTTGGTCATGGACACCGGCGGGACGTCACGCTGGAAGTGACCAGTGATGGGCGCTGTATGCGGCACGGCCTGCTCGATGTTGAACGGGTCCGACTCATGCCGGTCGATCGACGGCCGGGCGGATGTCTCTGCCGTCGTCGCTGACTGGTGCGAGACGGCGCTAGAGCCGGACGTGCGTGAGTGGTCGCGTGACATGCCCTCGCTGCCATCGCTCTGGTGGTCGCTGCCGCTGTCCACGCGACCCGTGCGGCCCTTCGTCGCGGGCGGTAGTGGCTGGACGCGTCCGCCCGAGGGCGAGGCGATGCTGGCGCTGCGGGCGCGCCCGCTGGCGCTGCGGGTGATGCTGCCGCCGCCGCTATTGCCCCCTTGCTCGACGGCCAAGCGATTGGAAAAGGTTGATTTGGAGCAGTCGCGCCCATTGAGGTCGAGGTTGGAGCTGCTCTTGGGGATGCGGGTTGTGCTGTCTTCGTTGTACTGCTCGAGCGCTTGCTCCTGCTCGCGCCCCTGAGTCCTGTACATTATCTGCGCCTGCGCCTCACTGCCACTCTCGTCTTCCTCCTCACCTTCCACTTCGGCATCCGACTCAACGATCGCTTCGGCGCCGCTCATATGGCCGTCGGAGCCGTAGCGGTCACGCACGCAATTGAGGCTTGTCGCCTTGCGGCCAAGGTACGACAATGTGTTCTTTCCGCGCCGGCCAGATGCATATTGCTCCATCTCGTCTGGGTCCATAGCCTCCTCGCGACCCTGCTGCTGCTGTAGATGCTGTTGGTGCTCGTGCTGCTGCGGTCGCTGCTGCGAGATTATCTCGGTAATGATTATGCGAATGGAAGCGTCCTGCCTGTCGATACACAGCTTGACGGCGCCGACACACTCGCCGCCGGCCCGTAAGACGCCAGTGGCGGCCTGGAGCAGGTTCGACTTTTCGTCGTCCTCTGCGTGACGGAGCGCCGGGTTAGGAGAGCCGGTGATGACGCGCGCGGCGGTGACGAGCGCAGTGGTGGCCTCGTAGAGCGACTCGCGTGTCTCGAAAAGGATGCTCATCTCCCGTGGCTTGGCCGCCTGCAGCTGCGCCGTGCTGTGCACGGCCTCGACGACGACGAGCAGGCTGCGTACGGCGTCGACGGCCTCGCGCGTCATGTCGATCAGATGCGCAAAGCTCGACGCGTGGCTCTCGCGCGTGTGCGTGTGCACGTGCCCGATGAACCCCGCGATAACGGAAAGCAACTGGTCGTTGGCTGTGTTGAGGCGCTGCAGCACTTCGACGGCCGTCCGTTTGACCGCGACGGACGTGGCTTGCTGCTGCTGTTGATGCTGCTCGCTGATGGAGTTAGAAGACCCAGACCGCGGGATGGCGGCTGCAGAGTAGGAGCCCGCGTCAGATCCGTTCGATGAGCTGGCGAGGGAGCCAGAGCGCACTCGGTGGTCAGAGCCTGCGAGCGAGGCGGCTCCACGGAGATCCATCATGCTGCGAGCCGTCAGTCCAGCACCGCCGGGTTTTCCTGCTGCTCCTGCAGCTGCAACTGCTTTCCGCCTGCCCGAGTCGGGTGTGGGCGTCTTGTCGTGCTCCCTGGCGTCCTCCCCGCCGCCGCCGTACAGTTCATCGTACACCGATGACCTGCGGTCAGGGACCTTGAGGCCGCATTCGACGGCGACGTCGAGGAAGGTCTTGACGTTGGTCAGGACCATCTCGGCGTGGCGGAGCATGGACTCCATCTCGTGGCCCCGGACGCTCTCGTCCGTCATGGGAGCGGACGCCTTGCGGGCCTGTGTGACGAGGCGGCTGAGGACGGATAGGATTTGCTTGCGCTCGCGCGCAAGCGTCGGGTGTGCGCGCAGCACGGGAGACTCGCGCGTCAGGCAGTCGGTCGCGGAGAGCACGCTGCGCACAGATGAGATGACGCATGCGGTCGACGGCTGGAAGTGCGCGACGCGGTTAGCTCGCACGGCGTTGTGGAGTAGCGCGATCGCGTGGAAGATCGGATCAAGGATCGTGTACGCCAACGTGCTCGCATCGCCTGGTTGGCCCATCACCAGACCGCCCTTGTGGTTCAAGCGGCCGTGAGGGACGATGCCGCGATAGCTGGCGTAGCCGTTCGCCCGGTCTACATCTTTGGTCCCATGCTCCTTCCCTCCAAAAGCGCCACCAGCCAGGAGCCCGGTACTAGGAACAGCACTGGCAACCACAACGTCGTCGAGGTCTGGCTCGGGCTCGTTGTGGTCAGCATCCTCCTGGTCCACATAGTTGCTCGGGAACCAGCCTCGCTGCCCGTCCAGCTCTCCGTCCCACCATCCGCTAGCGTCGCGGTTGAAGACGCGGATGACCTGGCCGGCAAAGAACGAGAGGCAGGTCGAGTTGTTCGACTGGAAATCGTGCAGCGCGACGACGTGCTCGACGACAATCAACCCGCCGTCTGGGCCAGTGATTACCTCGGGTGCGGATGGCCGCCGACTGCTCCTGCCGCTGGTACTGCCGCTGCTGCTGCTAGCAACGTCAGATTCAAAGGCGTACGACGATGTCGAGGCAGGCGACGACGAAGCAGCGTCATTGAACAGCACTGGACTGCCCGACGCGCTGATGCTGCCGCTCGATGAGGCGTTTGAGAACATCTCGGCGGCGCCAGTTTGCGACGCACGTGCGACCATGGTGGTCACGGTCCTGTCCGTATCGTTTGGTGCTCGCTAGCTACCTCGTTCTCGAGGGTCGGGAGAATGCGCCTGAAGGGTGTGGAAGAGTCAGCGCTCATTCTTTGCCTCCCACAATACTCCTAGGGACGCGACAAGGACAGCTGATTTCGCGCTTGATGTCTTCACCCAGCTCTTGTTGCACAAGCGAACCGGCAGGCACCCCGCCAGATGACCACTTGGGAAGTGGCGGCTGAATGTGTTAGCCGGCCCAACAGGAGCGAGCAGCGCTTCTCTGCTGTACGGCGGGCTCTTGTGACTGTACACCGAAGAGGGGATGGCGCCAGGACGCAAGCGTTTATCCCATGGACCGATGCACAGGAGAAAGTCGCGCTATTTCTACACACACGAGCTCTCTGCCGCACTCGCATTGCCAATCGACTCACTTTCAGGGGAGGAAGGGGGTGGGTGGATCCGAGCACGATGGGTGAGTGGTGAAGTGGGGACGACGACGCACAGAGCCAGCTGCACACATCTGAGAAAGGAAATTGGAAACACGTCTACTACGAGAGATGGACGTCGTGTTCGTCCATCAGGGTGGGATGACTTGCTGAGGGGGCAGCGACGTGTAAAGATGGATCCGTCGGTGGATGGGGGATGGTGGAGACAAGAGATGGAGGCGGCTGCTGATGACGAGACCTGCGGAGATGGTGTTGTGTGAAGGGGGTTGTGAGGATGCGTGCATCACATACAACACATCACACTCTAGGACAGGTGGGTGGCATGCCACCTTGACTCTCCTCTCGTGGGCGAACACCAACAGCCTCTGAGCATTAGAGCGCGTTGGTGCCCAAAAACAAAAAGTTAAACAAAGAGGCGATAAAGAAAGAAATGGGCGCCCCCCAAATCGATCAGCGGCCAAATGTGGGCGCGTGGCAGTGCCCAAGCCCTCGAGAGTCAATTTCTTTCTTTTCCCTCCATGTTTGCTCGCCATCTCTCTTGTTGTTTTTGTCCAGCCAACAGACCGCTCACAGCTTAACTACATTTCTCAAAAGGAGAGAAGGAATCAAGTGTACAATACAGGATAGACTATAGCGAGCCATCAACGGTAGCAGCGCGGCAGCGCATGCTCTTCCGGCCACCTGGGTCTGCGTCTCGTCAAGAAGCAAGGTCCACAACATCATGGCAAGCACAGTCGTTTCTATTCACCTGCTTCCTATTCCTCCTTGCGAACGAGCCAGCTGCACGCTCGCGCAGTGATAGGCCATGATACATAGAGGCTCGAAAGGTTGGGACAGGGGCGCTATGCCTCAGGACGGCCTGATGGCGCTGGCTGCAGTGCTGCTAAATGCGGCCGCCCCACAAGTTTTTTTATTAAGTTTTATTTATTTATTTTACTGATGATGATGGTGATGAAAGCTCATCCTTAGGCCGACTGCAGACCCTGGCGCGCTCACCAGCTGTCCAAAAAGGAAATTTAATAGAGGCATGCACCAGCTCATCCTCGCGCATACTTCTCTATGTTCGAATCTGAAGCTGTCACCCGCTCGTCATAATACCACCGATTGTCCCTTCATATTCAGAACTCCTCTCATCCCATCATCATGCATGACTGCTGCTTCTGCTTTGGCGTAGCGCGTGCTTCTTATGGGGGGATCGGCTCTTGTTTGGCTCTTCCCAAGCACTGGAATCGACTGCATATGCTAAGACATTGGTCAAAATAAAATAAAATGATGAATAAACTACATACAAACTGTCACGCCCTGTGACCAACACTTAAACCGGTTGAAACATAGGTGCTGGGACGCATCAAGGTGATGATGATACGCAGTACAACACGGGGACAGCTAAACCGCAGCATATGGCTCGTCTTCCGAAGAGCCTCTCCAGTGCTCTTCCTTCTCACATTAACAGGATTTTCTTTCGTGGGAATTAGATTCCTTCTTGTTCCTTTCTCCTGCTTTCTCCGGAGGACTTCAAATATTTTGCGAGAATCAACGATCCGCGCCATTCTGAAATGATGATAATTTGTCTGGCAGCTAGGGTAGCAGAGCAGTTAAACGCATTTTACATACTTGCATGTCTGTATTTTAGAATTATTTTTACGCCTACAGAGAAAAGCCAATTGAGTTGCCAGAAGTACACCGATTAAGTGGCTGGCAAGCGGCTGCAGCTGGTGCATATAAACCAGCCATGATGTCCCGATATCCGAATTTGCGGAAGTATTCTTTCCTTTTGATCTTGCGCTGCCACCCCCAGCCCATAGAGACAGTGCAGCAGTGAGAACAGAGTGCAGCCTTACGGGCAGCAGCGACCTGGCGCCCGGGACCCGAAAGCAGCATGCAAGAGGCTCCTGCGCCCATTAAATTTATGACCTTCTCCCGAGTTCCGGGAGTTTCGCACACCCGAAGCAAGGCCCCCTGGTCGTTTTTTTTCCTGCGTCCGCACCTTGGAAGATTCTCCCAGCCATCGTCTTTGTCATCTGACAGGCGGCCTCCTGCGTCCGCGCAGTGTCACAGCCACATTTTAGCTCATCATGTTTGCTGCACGCATTTTCTTAAAAAATTAAGACCCCTCTTAGTAATATCTGATGGCCGCAGTAGGATACGACAAGATGTCCGATGTGCGCTCAGGGCCTCCGAAACCTCAGACGAGTTTAAAAAGTCATAGGTGAAACGGCCCTATTTTTCCATCCGGATTGTAAAAGCGACTATGCCCTCTCTCCTCATACGGCCATGATGTTCTCTGGCGCCTGTCAACACATCTCAGTCACAGCCAGTAGACTCTCAGTAGTCTATTCAGCTTGTATGTACAAGTGTAACAGTGTCGACACTCGAGACTCGAGCGGCGGCAAAGTAATATGTAAACGCATGCATGCATGAATGCAGAAATATTGGACACCCAAAGCGACTGGCTGACACATGCCGTCACGTGATATATGCATGTAGTAAGGACATCTTCAAACGTCTCGTCTCCACAGAGTCCACATCGACCCTCGACAGTCAACAACTCGGATCGCTCATGCGGTCATGGCATCCATGCCATCGTAAACTTAGGAGACATTTGTGCCTTGTAGCGCATCACGCCACATGCTTTGTCGTACATTTAAGGTCATCGTGTCGCCAATTCACCTCGACTATATGGAGGTCCGCATGCTTGGTCGCCAAGGCCTTTTTTGGAGCGTCGACATGGTTTGCGGCCTTCATGTAGCTACGGTCCAATGGCTACCGGGGAGCAATATTGGGTAGGAGACTCACGGTTCATTGTTGGTCCAGAACCAGCACCTTGTTGGCACTTCTTGAGGTCTGAGCGCAGAGAGCCAGTAGACCAGTCCAACTGGTAGGTGCATCCTGCCCAATACCACTCACACATTCGAACACGTACTTGAGTCCGTAAAACGGTTAGGATCCACGGGCACACAGGGAATGGTCCTGAAGCAGGTGAAACGGCGGACTGTACCCTGCACTCCACTTCTTCACGCATATGGCACAGTAATGAGGTAACGAGACAGGAACGCAATGTGCAAGGGATACGAGTGATCAGCGTATGCCATGTTAGTGGTTGTCAGAATGCAGTGTGAATACAAGCCAACGGCGACCTCCGACAGGCCCGCCGCGGCAACAGCAAGAGATTACAGTGCTTGCGAGCCGAGTGTTTGGAGGGAGAGCTGACGAGCGGTGTGCCGCCAACCAATTTTAGAAGAGCTGCGCGCTGCACTGAGGCTGCGCGAGAGCAACTGCACATGCTTGTGCATGACCCCATTCCGTGACTACGACGCGACAGCGAAACCACTTTACTCTTCGTCCTCGTCCTCGTCCTCTTCCTCCTCGCCTTCCCGCTCCTTCTCGAGGCAGGCGACAGCGATGCGGTCCAGATCACGCATGCCATCCTGGCTGATCCTCCTGCCACCCTTGGGGTCCTTCTCCAGGACACCGATCGATTCGAGTGCCTGCACGACCTTGCGCTGGACGCTGCCAGATGCGGGCATGTGCTTCGATGGACGGAACCCCCGGTTCGCGGCACCACCGTGCAGCTTGCAAAGCGCACCAATGCCGACCGACTTGCGCAGGTAGATGTGGCGAGCGAGAGCGGCTTTGCAGGCAGCAAACAGCAGTTCAGTGTGAAAGCTCGACATTGGCACGGGTGCCGGTGCGAATGCATAACTCACCAGCACGGACGTAGAACCAGGTCTCATCGTACGGAGCGAGCTCCTTGTATGCACCGGTCTTGACAATGTCAACCCAGGTCGGCAGCTCCATCTTGCCTGTTAGCACGAATAATATTGAGTCAGCTCACTGAAAGGAGCCTTATAGAGACTACTGTAGCGACAGCGACCACAGAGGTGTGACATGCAGCAGTGATACTGCTCATCGCATCTTGTTTCAAAACCCCAATTCAACCATCAACCCAAACCTTCCAGTGCCATCCAAGATACGATGTATCCAATCGACAGCGGTTGACCTTCCATGTCGGATGGGTAGTGCGGGCCATTGAGGATCTTACAATCCACAGTAACCTTTCCCCTTGGCGATGTTAAGATACCATGTAGCGATCGGCCGGTATATTATCACAGTCTGCCAATCTGCATATCCTCCAAGCACCCCTGCCTCTTTCTGCTGCAAGAATCACCTCGCGCGGCTCAAGGAGGTCGGTAGAATTGACCAGCTTAATAATTTGAGCGGCAACCCTTGGACGCACTCCCTTCAATTGTCCAGCGACCCTTAGATGGCAGCCTCTCTTCCTCCAGCAGCCTGATCCTTCAGTGTATTGTACCTGCTGCCTCTGCAGCCCGCTGCTTGCTTGCTCGCTGCCGAATGCCTCTAAGACACGGCAAAGGTTGAAGAAGGTGGACGTTACTCACCCGACCGCCTCAGGTGCTCTGCGTACTCCTTGATGAAGACATCAGCGGCGACATCCCTGACGTTCGGCATGTTGGCGAATGTTTTCCCTCGTTGCCGACTGACGTTGGAACCAGTTGGGGAGATTTCTTTGAGGTTGACGCTGCAATATCTCCAGCTATCGAGAAGGCGAAGAAGTCCAATTGGACCTCCATGAGTGCGAGTCGTGGCGGTGGTGGGCGGGTGGCGCGCGCACACAGGGTATTGATTCTACTTGCAAAAAGAATGCGACAACTTGCCGCAGCTATATTGCGCCGACAATGTATTCTCTGCGCTGAAACCGCAGCGGAACGTAACGGGAGCGGATGGTTCAAGGCGAGAATTGCACCGAGCTTGACCAAGCTTGCATGTGTTTACAAGCACGCTTTCAAGCAATCCAAAGCCGAGAGCTTTCTGTCGGGCTTTGCTCTGAGAGACGGCATCGAGGATGGAGCTACGGAGACGTGCTCCATTCGTCAACGCGTCAGTTCGTCAGTAAAAGTATATGGGCCATCCATCATGCATCATGGTGTCGTCGCGCCGTGGTCCCAGCCTGGCCAGCCATCTCCCTGCGTTGTCACCGTTTGAGTATGAGAAGGCGTGCATCGGTTGGACTCCGCTTGCTGATGCGCTCCAGTGAATAGAAGGCCCACTAAGTCAACTGTAGGCTGACCACATACGTGGTCTTGCCAGTCGTTGCCTCTGTGGTTCGTACGCCTGGTACCACCCGTCAACGCTTGTGAGACTTACAACGTCACCAAAAATATAGTTATCTGTCGCGTTAGGCCTCGAGTGAAGAGGGCTCCGCGGGTGACGCCACCTTTCCCGGGACAAGCAGTCGAGGCCGATCGTGCAGCAGCTCATTATGGAAGCCATGGTTCTTCTCCTCGGTGCTTTGCTTTCCGAACGAGCACGCTCAGCTTCCAAGACCTACCATTGTAAGCAAGCGAGAAAGGGCGGCTACAGCGGCGCTCCCAATGTCTCGTTCGGCCGAACTGTTGGCCCGCACACGGGGCAAGAAAATCTCCAGGAACATGGCCAAGGCGATCATTCAATTTCAAAGGGAAGTTCGGCAACAGCGATTGGAGGGATATGACACGGGTAGTGGGGATGAGCTGCCTGCTTGCGACGAGGCGAAGACCATGAGATGCATATAAGGGGCCCCCGCACCCGCGTATTTGCGTGCATGAACCAAGTTGCTGGGAGCCCCTATTCGCCCAGCCTCGGTATGGTGTACCGTCGGCTGGACGAGCTCTATTCTGCATTGCAATCGGACCATCTCTGGCGATTCGCCAATAATCACGTAAAATGACGCATACCTGCTCAGCCTTGCAAGTCATAAGTAATAGCTCTTGGTTCCAACAAGCCATTTAATGTATATCAGACGCGCCTGTATACTACAGCAGCCCGCATCTGATCACCGCAACGGATCAAAGTCGCTCCAATCATTTTGCTTATTTTCCGCGGCGGCGCCCGGCGCTTTGGACGGTGTCAACACCGTTCCCCATCCCGGTGACTGTACAGGCCTACTCGCTCCAGTCCCAACTCCTTGAGTGCCGGAAGAAGGGACAGAGCCCGAAACAGAGGCAATTCCAGACAGGTTGCTCAACGAGCTGCCACTTGGCTGAAGGGGTGGTAGCGGCGCCGCACCGAGCCCCGTAGACATGGGTTTGGTTAGCGGCATCGAAGGTTGGGTTGACTGGGAACTCAGACTGATGTTGTAATTTGAAGCGCCATTCATGTATGATGACTGACTGCTGTTGGCGTTACTACCGCTGGTGTTGCTCGAAGTTGGCGCGAGCGGATAGCTCGTCCACGTGGGAGTAACAGCCCGACTGCCACCTGTGCTGCTGGGAGCAAGCGGCTTGGAAAGGGTGGGAGCAAGCGAAGAAGCCGATGGCGCGCTCGGGGGCGCACTCAACTGGAGCACGCGAAATGCGCTCGTCGCAACGGGCGAGATTCCTGGGCGTGACGCAGTGGCAGTAGTTAGCGACGCACCATTCGACATCATTGCCGGCGTGACCAAACCGCTGCTAGCACTAGCTGCATTGCTACCAGTATGTGATGGTGTCAGCGCTGGCGTCGAGCCTGGCAACGGAGTTGAGGAATGGCTTGTGAGCTGGAGGACACAAGTATTTGTCAGGATGCGATCATTCCAGAGAACGAGTCCACGGAAGCACGCTCACGGTGTCGAACTCGTCCAGGCCAAAGGGATCCGCTCCTTGCGGCTTGTCCTTGACAATTTCCTTCCCAATTGAGTGCGCTGAGCCGATTAGGGTGGCGAAGTCGATTTCGCCCTTGCTGCTGTCGATATTTGTGACGCCACGTCCAAGCCCTCCTGCTTGTTGTCCTGACACATAGCTGTCTGTGTGCTCCTGCATGCGCTTCACCTCCTTCAAATGTTGGAGATCTGAGGGGCGAGACGAACAATGTCAACATATGGATCATGCGTAACCTTTAAGATGCCCGCTGCGACTCACGTTCCGACTCGACTCGAGTGCCCATCTCCTTCACAGCTTTCATGAAACGCACAAACTGATCCGCATTCAGAAGCGGGCCCATGGACATTGTCCATAGCTGGGGGATGATGGCCGAACCGAGCGTCTCTCTATCAACCTTCTTCGACATGACCTCGTATACTGCGAGTGTGGCAATCTGCAGGATGGTGAGCTTAAGTCAGCATGTATCTCTTCCATCTGGTACGTCATCGTAAAGCTCACCATCACTGAAGGCTCTTTAGTTTTGATACGAGAGAGAAGTGGCACGAGCTTCTCCGTCAGGGTATACTTGTCGAGCACAGCGATCATCGAATGAAAGCAGATGAGCGTATTGCACTTGACGCTGAGCACTTTAGTCCTCGTAAACAACGCCGCAATCTTTGGAAAGAGAACTTCCTTCACGTGTGAGTACTCGAGGATCTCACACAGTCGCGGAACGACTTTCAAAGCTCGCTCTTGGACGGTGGCGTGCTCCGATTCGAGCGAAGAATAGAGCAAAGGCGTTACTCCTTCGCGAAACACAGAGGGGCTGGTCTTAGTCACGAAGAGCTCGATCTGTTCGAGGAGAAGCACTGGATGTCAGGAAGAGAGGAGGGCATAACAGGGTCAACACGTGGAAACAAGCCCTTTTTGCGCCTTCACGTACGCAGATTCTGCGGCGGGTCTTGAATCTGGAAGAGCGGTTGCAGCTTTGGTAATATGCTGTTGGAAAATTCGATCATGGCTCCATGTATTTGACGAGTCAGCACAACGAAGATGGCTGCGCGCGCACTTTCTTGGCTCACAGAGATTCTTGGAGATGTAAAAGACATTTGGTAGAATAAATGGCAGAAGAGAGCGATCCGACATGAGTTCCAATAGTGCCGGAAGCATTTTCCTTCTTAGTAGTCGATCTGAGAATTGCGGTAGGACATTCATGAGCCCTTTCAAAAATTGGACCCGTTCCTCTTTCTGTCGCCCTGCGAAATTGTCTCTTTCCATGAACTTGAGCGTAGAGACAAGGATGTTGTTGAAATAGTTGCTCTTTTGGAACGACTTGGCAGTCAGCCTTGATACTGGGTATCGGGTGAGAAGAGAACTGAGAATACCTGAGAGGCAGCGCCACGTTAGACACTCTCTCCCGTGGCAATAACTGTCACAATAGGCTTACTGAGGACATCAGCGCCCATCCTAGCCCAAGAGGTGCTCCCAATGACGGTGGACAGCTCGTCTGCGTTCTGTCGCAAAGTAACGGCGCTATTCCGATTGCGGAAGGGTGGGCTACCCTTGTTGTGGACCGCAAAGATTATGCAGCCGAGGGCATACATGTCGTTCGCCATCTCCAGTTTCTCGTCGATCGCATACTCGGGAGCCATGTAGTCCCAATGCCGCGACATTGCGGCAGGTAGGGCAGCGTTATAATCAGGGAAAGTCCAGGCTGTGGGCCGTCCATCCGCCGATTGTAGAGGTGTCAGGCTGATGTGATGAAAGTTAGTATGGCGTCATTGTGTCTGCGAATAGAAAACTCACAATGCGAAGCCACCAATCTTCCAGTCACCTTTGGCATTGATCAAAACTGCATCTGGCGTGAGATTCGAATGGACCATTTTTGCATCGTGCAGAAACTCTAGTCCCCGCGCAACCTGGGGATCCAGCAGAAGCAACATGTTGAGCATCGGCCTAACGTAGCGCAAAATGGATCAGTTGAGCGCACCTGCAGAAGGCCCTTTTGAGTTTCCACTTCGTCGAGCTGGATATCATTTCTGCTGTCGCTGTGCAGCGCTTCTTGCAATGGTGCGACAATCTGCTCGGTGGCGAAGGTCAGTTCATACCTTGTCTCCTCTAGGGGTTCGACAACCTCCAAGACGCAAGGATGTCTCAAGCGAGTCATAGCAGATGCCTATAAAGACTATCCGTCAGAAAAAAATTGGCGTGAACGTGTCGCCATAGCCCATAAACCCACCTCCTTCTTTGCCTGTTCAACCACTGCTTCTCGCTCCCTGCCTCTCGCCTCTAGCTTGTGCACCCAGACGCTGACATTCTGCCTGCCCGTGTTTACAGCAGCGCTTGTGCCAGCATTCCGAGTGGCCTTGTAGACTTTCCACAGACCGACTTGTGACCTACAACAAACAGGTCCAGCAGGTCAGCCGATACATCGCTTCAACGGTGGCAGTTGCAATATGGTTGATGCTCACGGTGGGGAATTCTCGTCAAATGTGTAATTGGCCGATATGCTCGTCCGTCCACTGGCATGAAGGAATTCAGAGGTAGGGGATAGAAAATTCAGCCATGTCGAGCCTTTTCAAGGGTGTACCAATCGGTCTAGTACTCACATGAAGGACGAGACCTGGCTGAGGAAGGCAGCTGCCATCGTGCGCTTGACTGATCGCGCAGCAAGTGGAAGTCTTTCACCCGTCCACTCGTACTAGCTGCTAGCGCGGTCCGCTGTGTTGCCAATGAGTAGAGAAACACCTATGAAGGCATGGCAGAGGCACCAAATACATGGAATCGGAGGTGATCTGGAACGGTCGAGGGTCCAAGGCGATTCTGAGCCGTCCTTGGAAGGGGGAGGCGATGAAAGGGACAGAGAGGGATTGTGATGACACATGGTGTGGGCGGTGTGGCGCATCACGTCCCTGTGGACTCTTGAGCCTTCAATCGGCAGGCACAATTACATCTTCTCACCCTCACTCTTTATAAACACGGCCATTTTACAAGGGTAAATGCAAAGAGTAGGTGGCAAAGAAGCATGGCTCATGATTAGAAAGGTCAAGGGATACATGTGGAGAATATGCGAGGGCGCGGTGGTATAAAGTATTTCAGAGTGCTGGATCGTTACTTCACCAACAGATGTGATGTGTTGCGTATGCCTGTGTGAGACGACGCGGTCAGATTCTCGCGAGCGGTCCCAACTCTTATGCAACCAGAGACTGCAGGTTGCAGACCGAAGGTGAAGCGCCGGCCATGTGCATGTTCGTCTAACGCATCCGGGTGCTGCTCGCCTAACTCGTCATCCCCAAGGGAAAAAATCGGCTCCGACTCTGCAACACGGGCATGGAGACGGCGCCCATGCGGCGCATGGTAGTCACCGTAGGGCGACCATCTCTGCTCTTCCATCGATTCGAGACGGATGCGCTCGCCAGTTGCCTCTTTGAGACCGAAGCTCCCACGGGCAACGTGCTGCTGCGTAAGTCGCCACTCGCGCCGAAGCGCCCAGTTCTTGAGCACCATGAGGAGCGCAGCGAGGCAAAAGACGAGGGCGACAACCGCGACAGTGAGGTTCAGCAAGGCCATCATGTCATCGTAGCCCGTCCGCATCTGCATGAAGCTAACCTCCTCGGTGGAGAGCATGAAGACGAAACCGCCACAAGCGAGGGAAAAGGATGCCATCGCCTCGGTCGGCGGACGTGACGGCAAGATACTTGTCGGCGGCCGCAGCCACATGAAAAAGTATGTAAAGCACCGCAGAACGGCAAAGCCACCCAGAAGGTTGCCCCACAAACTGTGAACCTGTACCTCATACTCGTAGTCTTGATGATGAGCGGCCATGGCGATGCCAGTCACGCCGATCACAAGAGCAGGGAATGGGTTGAAAGAAGCGACATAGGACGGAGGCGGTGCCTGGCTGTCCACGAGTATGTGCGCCTCGTCGATGTTCGACGATGCGGATGAGCGGCTTCGCATGGGTCGAGCAGCAGGATGGTGGAGGGAGGCGCCGAAGGAGAGAAGGTCGCGGACCCGCTTGGTCTCCAACAGCATTCCAACGAGACCAGCAAACCAGAACATGACAGCGATGGAAATGTGCTGGATCTCCTTGACTGTGTAGGGCGAACCTGGCGCTGCGCTAAAGCGTTCCATCCAGGTATTCGTAACACCATAGGTGAAGATGACCGCGGACTCGACGAACTCGGCACTGACCGCATTTTGCCGCCAAGATGCAACGCCAGATCGCTTGGTGCTCATTGGACTCGGCTTCTTGTTCCATGCCCAGCCAATATCTGAGTAAGCACCAAGATATCTACACCATGTCAGCAAGCCGTACCAGAAAAAGATCGCACCCTTGATTCCGTGGGCTGCGCAACCGGGCGCCTTTCCGGAACGGCAGCTGCCGGAGTAGACAGCGATGCCGACGTAGCCTGTTGCAAAGGCGAGGACGGGGAGGGCGCGGTTGAGGACGACATGAGCGAAGCGCAGTGTCATGCGGAGTTGTTGCAGGCGAGAGGTCGAAGCAGAGGAGGACGCAACAGGTGTGGCTGTTTCGCTGGCCAGTCGACTCATTTGCGCACGGGGGCTGCGCGGTGAACTGCTGAGTGGAGCATCAGAGTGTAGCCACGGGATCTTCGAGTGTGTCCATTCCCCGAAGCTGCTTCCTCGAGGAATGTTGACAAGTGCACCACTGGGAGATGGGATAAAGCCGGCTTCTGCGTCGTGGACAGTCTCATCGTCCTCAAAGTGCACAGAGCGTGGCGGAGATGTACGCCCAGTCGCAGCATGCGAAAAGTTTTCAAACGCGACTTCGATTTCCTTGGCATCGCTCTCTCCAATGACCTCTCCAGCTTGCAGCATCAGCTCCTCTTCTTCCATTAGGGCGGCTTGTTTGTCTGCATCGAAACTCATGTACTGTCCTAGAGCGACATGCAGTGCGTTGCTCCAGTTTGTCCGCATCTCTGCGCTGCTTCGCCCCGGATTCGCAAGGGCCGAGAAGCGCTTTGGCTTGATCGCCATCCAGGCTTGAACAATGAGTCGAGAGACATCCCCGCCGAGGCCGATGACGGAAAGCCAGAAGACGGCGTATCCCAGACCTCCATGCGCATTCTTAGGGTAGAGTTGAGGAGTCAGGGCCTTGTACAGCCATGACACGAAGAGTGAAGCAGACAGTGCAAGAAGGTAGATCAGGCTGAACAGCGGTGCGAGCGACGAGTGCCCGGCCTTGAGCACAAGGGCTGCCACAGAGAGAAAATGAGCGGTCAGCCCATGTGTGATGCTTTTTGGAGAAGCGAACCCTGGCACTCACCTACTGGTAGGAGGAGGCAGCAGGAAAAGGTGGATCCCGTGATGTGAAGAAGCATGAGGCCGGAATGTCGCGGCGCCCTGCCATCTTTACCGATCCTGCTTTGGAGGTCTTTCTCGAGCTGTTTGCGACTTTCGCTTCCTTCATCAAAGAGGGTCCGCCATGCCCCGTCTACCTGACCCATAAGCTTGGTGTCATTCATGCCGGCGTTCTGTGTAAAGCGAACAATTTCACCGTCGCGACCTGCGCTAAATCGGAAGTCCCATTCTACGTAAGACAGGGGAGCCGGACCTGCGACATCATAGAGTGCCTGTTCATCGAGTTCTATCTTCGCTGCGGCGTGGCCGTCGTGATGGTGGCCGCCGTTGCCTCTCCATGGGACAACAGGCACGAGCTCTCCGGAAGCAGCGACGATCGGTGCAGCTAGATGAGCTTGCATGTGCTCGGTCTCGCCGACCTGTATTTCCCTCAAGTCTTTGTGACCGTGTCCGTGGTCTCCGTGTCGCGCATCAAGCTGCCATGAAGTTGGGCCGACTGTACCATCGGGTGCAGCGCCGACGCTGGCCGCATTGGCGGATGGCGCAGAGCTGGATACAGCGAGACACGCGAAGCCGACGAGGGCCGTAATGCGGATGAGCCTGCTCATTGTGCCTGTCGTCAGGCGTCAGTCAGGCTTGACAGTACCTTCGACGAGTACGACAAAGAAAGAGCTGGCGGGTGAAGGATGTTGAGCGTGCTCTCTCAAGTGGATGGGCGCTATTTGGACACCCCAAGGGGTCCAGACGAGGTCGGTAAGCATAGAAAGTGAGGGGCGAGTAAGACGCTGAGTCGAAATATTAGGGTCCCAATTGAACAATCCAAAGAGAGCAAAACTCAAGGTCACCGTGATGGATCACATGTGATGATACTACACAGAAACAAAGGCACTGGCAAGCAACAAGAGCAGCATTTATTTGGCGTGGTGATGAGAAAAGACTATAATCGGACGTGTTGGTCCGTGTCTCCTTATCTCTTACACCCGCGATCAGGGGATGGAAGCCCGAGCCAAAAGAGAATCTCGGCCCTCGGATGTAAGATGCAGCGCAATAGAAGCAAGAAAGCCCGAAAACTCAAAAGCCGTCTGACAGCTGGCGATCCACGAACTTCCGCACTTGGTCATCAGGTTGTTGCAAGCGTTGGCGGTACAAGTCGACCAATGGGCAAAGGTTCCAAGGCACTCTATGAAGGCGGGATAATGGCTAGATTCATACAAATCCAAGGAGCATACCAGGTGTATATTGCCTAGTCCACCATGAGAGCCGTAAAAGGAGAGAGGGAGACGACGCTAGTGGATGTGCCAATTTGGTGGGGGGGGGGGCATTGCGTTGTAGGGCTGAATGCATCGTCATGTGGTCCTTTCCGTTCTTCACAACAATCTCTTAACCTTCTCTCTTCAGTCTCCCGCTCTGTTAGCCTCTGTAATGAGGAATCTCCATATACATTGAAATACGAGTATGTCGCAGAGGGCCAGAAATCTCTCGAGTCGACCTGTTAAAAGACAGCGCATCTCATCTGAGTATCTGACAGTCGTTCTGTGCTCGACAATTGACACCTCGTAAGTTTGCCCGCACGGACTGCAACCTCAATCATCGGACACGAGCGGACATGCGTCATAGTTGCTGCATACTACGTTTATACGTATGCATAGTCCGACTAGTGTCCAGCTGCAGACTGCACTCAAGTGTGAGCTGCCCATCAGGAATAGATTGGTCACGAGTGCGTTTACGAGACAGCTCTGGTGGAATGACACCAGGTCAAAATCAATAGTAATCCCACTCGGGGCAGGTTTCGCTGAAAAGCGAAGACACCTCGAGGTGGTATCACTTCTGACGTCATCGACGGAAAATTAGGTTCGTTGGCTTCAAAGCAGTGTCCGCTCACAGCGCACCATTTCAGCGATGAGCTCGACACCTCCACCATCCATGCTTTGACTCGCATTCTTGAAACCCACCAGAATGGTCAAATCCACTCCTGATGCATGATGATGGTGGCCAGGATTGCCAGCGATCTACAGAAATGATTCCGGAGCAAAGTTTCTTTTACGTACAAACACTGGAGGCGTTCCTGGGGACCAGTGTTGTAAACGCACTCAACCAGATTGTTCCCAGTGGCGTGCGTGTGCCTTGTACATCCCTTTGCATTGTCGAAGGGTTGTGGATTTTGAAAGCCGGATACTGTCAATGTGGCTGACTGTCAGTTGTCCAATTGGCCAAGGATCCGACAAAAGAATAAAGATATGGCGGAATCGTTGAAAAGCACCAAAACTCCGTTTCTGTGGCCAGGCGCCAGACTGGAGCCGGGCAATCGGTTCCTTCAATTGGTGATTCCCTAGCGTTCCGATGAAGTACTCGTAAATAATTTCGTCTTCGAGGCCAAAGGCCAGATGACAACATGCCAGATGTCAAATGGACTAATGTCAGATGGAGCCAGTCACCAGTGGCCAAAAGTCACCCGTCTCCCATCTCCGTGTCCAGTGTCCCAGTGTCCGGTGGCCAGTCTCTCGGCTTGTTGGGGACTTGGGAATTGGCCTTTCGGTAATGGACAGGCGGCAGTTGCTGCATTTGCTTTTGGGGGATGGGGTGTTGGAGGCTATTCACTATTGGCTGCTGTTGGATAGGCTTGGGCTTTGGTTTCCTGTCTGCTCTCATTTGTTGGCTTGAGCAAACTTTGACGGGAGTCTCGCCTTCACGATTCATTTAGTATAAACATTTGGCATCTCGAATGCGTTCCGGCGTCTCGATGAGATCTGAGCAGAAGTGTGGGGCAGTTGAGCAATTGCCTGAGCCGTGGGCAGGCCAGAGCGGCACTCTCATCCATGGCTGGAAAGACTCTCGAAAGCAGAGAACGCGCTCTTCACTGTTAATCCAGGGTCGAAGCATGGGAAACATCCACCGACGCATGTTGAGTCGACAACTCTCCTTCCGAGGTTCCGCAGCAGGCATGGAAGTCGAAAGGCGACCTCGATACATACCGTAAGCACGCCTCGATGCTATCAACGCTGCGCATGCTAGCGCCCATATCTGCAGATAGTATTCGGATTTGTGCAACCATCCAGTGGCTGGTGGGTCGGCCAGTGCGCGAAGGGTACAGCCTGTGCAAGTCTGAAGGCATGAGTACTTCGGATGATCGGATCGCATTGTAGTCCGGTAATCCAAATGTGTCGGGTAAGGCTCGAGAACTCGTATCAGTGCTTATCCGCCATCAGTCATATAATAATGTTTATACAGACAGAATGTCGGCGGCGGGACCTAAACGGTTGCGCAACCGAGATATGTTCGATTTTGAAAGATGCTGCGCAGAAATACACGGTCGGTACCTACGACGCTGGAGCGTGCTTCGCCAGTGCCTCCTTGATGAGAGCGTCCACATCGACATTGATCTTCTCCTTGCCAAATGACCGAACAAACGCCATGAGTTCATTCCCGAGCACTCCATCCTTGTCTTCGGCATGCGCAGCCTTGTTTCCGACTCGTGCAATCGACTGAAGATACGCTCCGTTCAGCTTCTTCTCGTCGACCTCGGGCGAGGTGCACGCGTAGAGGGAGGTGAGAGCGCCTTGCTCGGGCGTGAGCAGAAGGGTGCTCAACAAAGCCCTGAGAATAGGATTCGGAATCCCATATGATGCGACTGGGCCGCGCATCAGCTCTGTGTTGATGTTGCCGGGGTGTAGAGAGATGTTTCTGCGGACGAACGTAGAATGCACTTTAGCCAAATTGCAGAACTTCATAGTTAATCTAACAAGCTCACGCGATGTTCTCTCCTGCAGTGATTTTCTTCAACTCGTTGGCTAAGATAATGTTTCCCTGTCGAGGAAGAGGCAGCATACGTCGGTCATTGAATGTACCTCTCAATCCGGGTGAGGGACATGGGAATCACCGTTTTGCTCTGGGCATACCTCTTCCAGGTGCCGACAGCTTCCGGCCAGAATTTCTTGTTGATTGCCTCTATGGATGCCCAACTCTGCTTTGGAGATGGGTCGCCGAATTTGTGACCCATTGACGACACTTGCACGACGCGTACACTGTGCTTGAGGGCAGGATCACGCGAAGTCCGGACGAGTGTGGGGAGGAGCAAGAAGGTTAGGAACGCGTGGCCGATCACGTTCGTGCCTGGAAATGCCGCCTCGACATTTTGACCATCAGCAACCATCCAGCTGAAATCAGAAGGGATCAGGGCTATGTAAAGACTCACCGTTCTGCAGCTCAAGACCTTGCTTGGTGAGCGAGTAGGGCAGAGCCATGACGCCTGCATTATTCAAAAGGATATGCAACCTTTTCTCCTTTGCAATGAACTCGCTGACAGCCTCTTTGACGCTCTCCAGGTCAGCCAAATCGAGGTTGAGATGCTGGATGCGAGAAGCTGCTTCCGCATCCTGAGTCTTGATGCGTTCAAGTGCCGCCTTGGCGCGTTCGGGCGAACGAGCCGCGAGGTAGACTTTGGCGCCATGGCGGGCCAGCTCGAGGCATGAAGCCTCGCCAATGCCTAATTTCGTTGAGCGCAGGTCAAGCAGAGGCGACAGCAAATGTAAGTGAAAAATCTCGCATCTCTATCGAACTTGCCCGCCGTACCTGCATTGCCGCCTGTGACAAGCGCGACCTGACCGGTGAGGTCTGGAATCTCTTCAGCGGACCATTGCTTGGCTCCACAGCCGAACATTTTCGTGACTGTGTCAAACCAACTAGTCTATACGAGATAGGGCGTGATATGAACGTGGGAAGCTGGGTCGCAAGAACGTGCATCAGTTACACCGTGACGACACTCGCTTGATATCCTGGCTCACTCTAGATTCTTATTATATATGTCCTTCTTTAAGTCCGTAGGGCGTTACTGATCACAAGAGCACGCCAAATATGCGCGTGGTTGCTAGAACGGAGTTTGATCGTCGTTGATAGCGGGCGGTGTGTGCAGAATGCAGTGGAAGACAGGTTGGGTGGGAGCTTGCTGCTGTCACTTCGTCAGGCGAGGATGGCGAAGGACCATGGTCCATGGAGCATAGACCATGGCACGGACACTGTGCGGCGCGTGCCATCGGCCCGCGGCATTGCCATACGGTCTGCCGGGGGGTGCGTGTCCACCCTTTTGAGGCGTGGCCATGATGTAATTGGATGCGGGAATTTATCATGAAATGGCCGAAACGCGTGGTCAAAAGGGGCTGAGTTTGCTCAAGTTCGGGCATTGAACAGGTTCGTGATCAATTGTTTCAATTCAGAGGAGAGTGCAGTTTTCGCATTCACTTTCGTACGCAAATTTCCGGGACTCTGCACTATTTTCCTCTTGAGGCGAACTTGAATTTGGACGGAAAAAAGCACGCGCTGACTGTGGCGGTGAATGCCTTGCGGAGCAGGCGCTCTGAACATAAACTTTGAACGTAGTTAGAACGCTTCTGCGGTGATTCATCATGCCACTGAACCCTGTGATTTATTTCTTTATGAACTCTCATGTGATCTCTTCATTGCATTCGGCTCGATATCCTATTTGAGGAGCTTCCACTCTCGGAACGTTCTTGCCAATGCTGGCGAGGCGGTGAAGGTGGGAGCCATTTGTGGCAATTGCAGCAAACCTAGACCTTCAGGTTGACAGTGATATTGTTGCGCGTAGCATTGCTGTAGGGGCACACCTGAAAAATGTAATTGTCGTCAGTGTACTAGCACAAGTGGACGAAAGCCGCTTCGACCGCTAGCACTCACCTCATGCGCCTTGGATACGAGCTCCTTCAGCTGTTCATCCTTGCTTCCGGACTTTGTGTCCACAACGAGATCGACAGCGAGGCCAAAAGGCTTTCCATTGTCTGGCTGACCAAGGTGGACGTCTGCACGGACGGACAGGTCTTCAGGGAGTTGTGCTTTGGCATTGCGGGCTACCAGATGCAGTGCGGAGAGGAAGCAGGCTGCATAGCCCATCGCTACAATGGGGATCGTGACGGAATGTACGGTCAGCGCGAATGGAAGGTTAGGGTGTTATCGAATCACACATACAGAAAAGCTGCTCAGGGTTCGCTCCCATGCCGGTCCCGCCAAGCGACTTTGGCATGCTGACAACCGCCATTGGATGAGTTCGTCAGTGCTTGCAGATCCATAGGGCGTTTCGTGAAACATGCCCTGATCAAGCTTGGCGCCAAACTCACGCAAGCTGCAAGCTCAGTCCATTCTCCTCGCACTCTGTCTTGCCGTTGCGCCCAGCGCCCGAAGCAGAAGCGTGAGCTGTGTACATGACCTTCTTCAGCGTAGCCAGCGAGCGCACGCTGCCTCGCTGTAAACCGACGCGATGCGGCGCTGCAGCGCGAAGTGCGAACGGCTGGTAGACTGCCGTCGTTGCTGCACGAGAAGCGAGTGCGAACATGTTCGATGCGGATTACTTGTTATTCTGCGATGGATCGGCACCAGGGCTTATTGTTCGATTCAGAGAAGTTAAACGACTCAAGCAAGAAGGGTTAACCAGACCCGGGTGAAAGAACTCGGCAGGCAAGAGCTTCGACACAGATGTCTAGATTGGTTTGATCACTCTGTCACTTCAAACTTGTCGGGCGTTCTGGAAGAAAGCCAAGTTGATGCGGTGGAGTCTGGTTGCCTGGTGGAGTTTGGTCACTCCCAGGAGCTACTCTCGCTTACAGATGACAAGGACAGGACATGGGGCGCCTCGAATCTCGTTGCATCCCAAGTCCAAGCAAAAAGCAGATGAGATGGCCTGAGCGCTCCACCCTCTAAAGGCCCCTCATGCCAGTGATTCACCAAGCCTCCGTTCCGCTGGTAGCAGCGAGAGAGGTCCATCAGCTATTCCATCGCTTTCTGCCAAATGAGTGGTGAAAATACACAAGGCCCTGAAAGTGCCAGGTTTCTCGTCCTGACGCTCGAAAAATCCCCGTTTGCCCACGCTACCTCCTGGGGTGCGGCGCAGAGAAAATATCAACTTCCCTCGGGAACCCTGAGTGAATGCGGTGAAATACGCCAAAATCTGGGGATGCCCGCGTCGATATGGGCCGCCTGTCATGGGGAACGTGTTGTGCCCGGGCGCTTGGAATCCGGATCACCGTCGATGTGAATGATAAAGCCGATCTGATTGGCTGCCAAAGAACCACTTTGGCAGCGCATGCCCCTCGGACATTGATGCGAGCCGGCCTCCTTGTCCCATCTGTCCCTCTCCTTCGGATTCCATTGCAGGTTTCAATCGTCATTCCCAACAACCATCTCCACCCTCTCGAAGTAATGTCAAAAGCGGGCTCCTCAGCTGACCGATTACGACTCTCTTTCTCTTTCTCTCACTCGAGCTCGATTTAAGGCAGAGGTCCCTCCGTTCTGCAGCCTTCCTGTCGGCACGGGGTGCACAACTCGATCACCTCTCAGGTCCGTCTTAAGTCCGTCGCAAGTTCAAAACCAGGAAGTGCTTTGGCAACAGCGTACATCTGGCACTCTCAGTTCGCTTGACCAGTGATCATTATTGCAGTCGGCGCAATGCCATCCTTACGGATCCTGTCTGCTGCTGCCCGGCACATCACGCAGGCAGGTAGCTCCCGGTTCTCGTCGAGGACAAGATCGTACGTTTCTTCCGCTTCGCCTTCCTTCTCTTCCGGCTTCAGGTCCAGAAATGTCTTGATTGGAACATGTGCTGTAGTCGCCCTCGCAGCCGTGTATGGGACAGCCAAGAGTGTCGTCAGGAGTGATGCGGTTCCGCAGGTGCCAGAGGACCAGCGGGTGAGTGAGCCATTGTAATGGAGGTGGTCAAAGAGCGCAAATGCTCCCCACTTGCTTCTTACTGTCTGCAGCCTCACCCGCTTTGGGTCCCTCCAACTCGCGAGCAAATGCTCGCCGCGCTGAGGGCCTCCTCTACTGCATCCCTCCGTCCAACGAGCAAAAAAGTTGCGCAGGAACAGGCGTTTCTGCTTTTACCGGCTGCGGAGGCAGCCTCCTCAAGTCCCTCGCCTTCTGCCGGTGTTCCCCCTGCTTCCGAGCACAAGGATGCTCTGCGGGGCCAGCTCGACGGTGATCCAAACGACCAGGGGTTTGATCTTCTCATCGTCGGAGGCGGTGCCACAGGCACCGGCGTTGCTGTTGATGCTGCCACCCGTGGGCTCAGCGTCGCACTTGTCGAGCGAGATGACTTTGGTGCGGGAACCTCGTCCAAATCCACTAAATTGGTGCACGGAGGTGTGCGCTACCTCCAAAAAGCAATCTTCGAGCTAGACTACGAGCAGTACAAGATGGTCAGAGAGGCACTACATGAGCGCAAGACGTTCTTGCACATCGCTCCGTACTTGAGTGACCATCTACCCATCATGCTGCCGGTATACAGGTGGTGGCAAATTCCCTATTACTGGGCTGGAACAAAGATGTACGACATCCTCGCCGGAAGCGAGAACATGGAAAGCAGCTATGTCCTCGGCAAAGGCAAAGCGCTTGATGCGTTTCCCATGCTCAAGAAGGATGGTCTCGCAGGTGCTGTCGTCTACTACGATGGCCAACATAACGACACGCGCATGAACATCGCTCTCGCGCTCACCGCTGTACACCATGGGGCCGTGCTGGCGAATCACACCGAGGTCATCAAGGTGTACAAGCAGCCATCAGAGAAGCACGGGGGGGAAGAGCGCATCTCGGGTGTCCGCGTAAAGGACGTGCTCACGAACGAAGAGTGGAATGTCAAATGCAAAGGTCTGATCAACGCAACAGGTCCCTTTAGCGATACTTTGCGAAAGCTCGACCAGCCCACTGCACAGGAGATCGTCGCCCCAAGTTCCGGTGTCCATATCACACTCCCTGGCTACTATTCTCCGCGCAGCATGGGTCTCATCGATCCACAAACCTCAGACGGCCGCGTCATTTTCTTCTTGCCTTGGCAAGGAAACACGATCGCAGGGACGACGGACACGGCTGCACCTGTCGAAGCGCATCCCAAGCCCAAAGAGGAGGAAATTCAATGGATCCTGGATGAGGTGCGCAACTATCTCAGTCCTGACATCAAGGTGCGCCGCGGCGATGTGCTGTCCGCCTGGTCTGGGCTTCGGCCGCTGGTCAAGGACCCAGATGCGAAGGACACGCAAAGCTTGGTCCGGAACCACATGATTAACGTCAGCGCGTCTGGGCTGCTGACCATCGCAGGAGGAAAGTGGACAACGTACCGCGAAATGGCTGAGCAGACAGTCGATGAGGCAATCCGCGTATTCGACTTGAAGCCAAAGCGAGGATGCGTGACCAAGCACACGCGCCTGCTCGGGAGCCACGGATGGAGCAAGACAATGTACGTCAAGTTGCTGCAGCGATATGGTCTCGAGACAGAGGTCGCGCAACACCTCTCATCCACGTACGGCGATCGCGCTTGGAGCGTCTGCTCCATCGCAGAGCCGACGGGAAAGAGATGGCCGGTGCACGGCATCCGCGTCGACCCGCTGTACCCTTACATCGAGGCCGAGGTGCGCTACGCCGTACGTAGCGAGTACGCGGCGACTGCCGTCGACTTTCTCGCGCGGAGATCGCGCCTATCCTTCCTCAACGTCGAAAGCGCCGCGATGGCGTTGCCGCGTGTGGTGGAGATTATGACCGAAGAGCTCGGCTGGGACAAGAAGCGGCAGCAAAAGGAGCTTAAAGAGACGCTCAGTTTTTTGGAGAGCATGGGTATGACGCGCGCACGCATCGACCAGCTGTCGCAGCTCGATCTGAAGCAGCTCCGCACGCTCCGACAAGGCGACTATAACGCCAAAGTCGGCAGCCTGGTTGCTGCCAGCAACCTTGACGAGAGGGACTTGCAGGCTATCTCGATTGGCAGCCGCGCGCAGTTCAGCAGCGAGGAGATGGACCAGCTGCACAAGCAATTCAATACGCTCGACACCAACTCGGACGGCAAGCTCGACTCACGCGACTTGAAGGTTGTGCTTGACCGTCTTGGGTATGAGGACATTAAGGATGGCCACATCGCCGCTGCGTTGAACGAGGTGGACTTTAACAAGACAGGCTTCCTTCGCTTCGAGGACGTGAGTAGCATCACCACAACGTACAGCTATATAGTACAATCCCTTCAGGCCGACGCAGTGTTCATCCCATCATTTCTCTCTCTCCTACGTTCGCAGTTCCTCGACGTTGTTGGTAGCCTGAAAGACGGACAGATCGACAAGTGAGTCCAGCCCGAAAGCCGGCAACACGAGCGAATTTGGCAGCAGATCCCAATCCCCAAACTCCCTTCCTCTTGCAGCGCGTTCTCGTACATTGTCTCCTCTACCAGCAGTTGGAAAGACGTAGACTCCGCCAAACCCAAAGGGGGGTCAGACCCTGTAGGCATCATGGCGCGAGAAGGTTCTGCACGGCGCGATGCCAGCCGCAAGATCCCGACTGAACGATCTGGTGGCGGATGGTAGAGCCGCCTGGCGCCGCCAAGCAACTGGCACTTGCCGCAGAACAAGCATGGTATCCATTTTGCATATGGCTTGTCTTCATCCCTGCCCAACCGCTCATTTGACAAATGCTAACATGCAAATTAGCCTCTATTCAAGCATTCAAGCCTTTCCGAGTCGATCGTCATCGCTCGCACTTCCTGTATTCGTACCTGCTCTCCAACCTACTTCATGCACAAATCCTTCATCATGGTCTATCAGGTCTAGAGAGTGGTTGCATGACGCCGCGACTCTAAAGATACATACGAAGCAGCTATACGGAGGAGCTACTTTTCTGCCCTTGACTAGCCTCCCGTTGCTGGCGATTTTGGTTGGTTACCGCTTCTTTCTGCTGCTGTGGCTCTGGTTGCGGTGTTGGCACCTTTCATCCCTTGTGCTTCCTCTTCGGGAGATGCAAGTATGGCCGCCGCCTCATCCTCCCACAATGCAGAATTTGGCGTCTCTTCCACCTGCCTTTGCAATGCCGCGACGTTCGCCTCGATTGGCATGCGAGCTTGCTGTTGCGCTTGCATAAGAGCGAGGCGACGCTCGTTGAGCACGAGCTTGATGCGCGCCATGGATTTGCGCACCTGTGCGAGGTTTAAGAAGTTGGTAAAAACGAGGGTGTATTGGCAGATAATCGGTCAGTTTCCCAAATGGGAGGTGCATTCTGCTATGAGGCGACGTACCCTGTGGTTCCTATTCCCAAGACTGGTTCTGGCCATGTCCATGAGCCCTCTGATTTCAAGCCGTTTCGCTTCCTCCCAGCTAGTCGCCAACCTATTCTTCTCCATGAGCAAGACGTACCACAGCTGGTGAAGCTCGTGGCTGCTTTTTGTTCTGAGCTCTGGTGCGAACCACGAGCGACCGTTCAAGTCCGTCCCAAGGTCACCCTCTGAGAGCGGTGAGGGCAGCAGAATCTCTTCCTCTTCCTCCACCGCCGCTCCTCCCGTTCCCCGCGCAGTCGCCTTGGGCACCTTGGTCGGCAGGAGAGGGAAGAACTGCAGTAGCGAGTGCTTGGGATAGCGCCTGACCTGTTCGACGATAGACTTGGGTGCCCGGGTGCCTGCTTGCGCATGCGCCTGAGGGACCATCGCAAATGTTAAGGGTTTCGTCACGGAAGGAGATGTTGCCCCACCACCCTTCGCCTTGCTTTTTGTATCCTTGCCCTTGCGCTTCATTTCTGCTGGTGATCCGGGCGGTACGAGACGCGGGAGGTCCAAACCTGATGCTGGCAGTGCCCTTGGAACGGCAGAGGCGCTGTGAATTGCCCTTCGGGCTGCTGATGATGGTCCACTTCCAAGTAGTGCGACGCTAGATGGCCCCGGGCCGCCGGATGAGCGAGCGTGCCCCAGCGACATGCGCTGGCTCTGCTTGACGCTCAGCCGCAGCGAAGCGCTGCATGAGCAGCCTGCGGAGGCCATGCTGTGTTTTCTTTTGGTTCAAAAGCTTGAAGATGCCTTTGGAGGTGGTATCCTTGGCATGCAATCCGAAAAGAGGACTGCCGAAGAAGAAAGCAAAAGCAGGCGATGAACTCGACTTCCTCTCCGTAGTCTGTACTGAGATCCTCCGTTCCGCCCTCTTGTGTCCCCAAGTTCCCCTTATACCGCCACAGCTCGAGTGTCGCGAGCTCCGCCACTTGACCGCGAGCCCCAGCACGGGGTGCCCGACTGTCCACTGCCATGCCTACTATGTACATGCATGCAGCATAACCTCACCTGTAGAGTGCTCATTAAAGCGAACACTGCATTGTTGTGGAAGGAAGCCTAAGCTTTGCACGACAAACCCACCGAGTGTACAAAGTCCTGGTGCCGCCCAACGAGATGGCGAACTTCCCTTCTGGGGACGCCGTCTCGTCGTCCTCGTACAACAACGCGGACAGTCACGACCACGACCGGTTGCGCTTGTCTGTCCGCCCTCAACCCCTTGCCAGTGCTCATGATCATAATCATCAGCAGCCGCAACATATGCCTACAAATATGCGAAAGAACATACTGCCACGAGCTGCAGCCGAGTACGAGCCGGGCGTCTCGTCGTCGAAGAGCACCGAGGTGCCGCCGTATCCGTACGCGTCCGAGTACGCCGAACACGTATCCGACATGCCCAGGCAGGCGCAGCAACAGCAGGTGGTTTATCGGAGAAGAGCTGAGTCGCTCAACAGTCTTGGTAGCAGCGTAGCTCCAGCCGCTTGCCCCTATCGCCTGAAGAAGTATTCAGAAGGAAGACCTGAAAGGGGACGCTCAAACGAAGGAGCGGATCACCCACAGCAGCCGGTCAGCGCGCTGGAGGCATGGGTCAAACAAACTACCGAAGCGAGCGTGCCACGCAAGAGCTCGCTGCTGTTCAACACGGATGATTCGCGCGCGCTACGCGATCCGTTGTCGAATCCCGGCGCCCGTAGCGACCGAGGAGATCGCAACCGCAGCTCGAGCATTCGCCGGCCGGCAGCAGAAGGAGCACAAGAAGCCTCCTCGTCATCCGAATTTACGTTTGGACTCGTCGGTGGTGATTTTGGCATGGGTCGCTCGTCTCGAAGCGGGTGCTACGATGAGCGCGGCCGCGATGGAGGCTCAGCGAGCGGCTGGTCCAACGGCGTCATGTCCGGCTCGAGCAGACGGCGCATCGTCAAACCACGGTCTTTAATGTTCGATACAGCGCAAGCTCTCAATCTGTCTTCATCCGGTAGCAGAGCAGCTGCACCAGATGGATCCAACCCGTCGACTGGCTTGGATCATGTTCAGAATTGGCGCCACCAAAGCAACGCCGGCAGCGCATTTGGCGCGTCCGCGGAACCACCAGCGGCAGACAGTTTGCAAGTTCAGCCAGAAGGCAACGCGCTGAGGTCAGCCTATTCGACCTCGAGCATCGGCTCGCACTCACGCAATCGCAAAAATGTCTCCGGGAGCACTGCCGTAACGCCAACATTGGCTGGAGGCCTCGGGGGACTCGCCGGCATCGAAGAGAGGGCCCTCGAGGTGGAGACGTTCTTGTCTGAACAAAGTCCATTGCGAAGCTGGGTACGATGGATGGCCAAGAGCGGACTGAAGGAGTGGTGTATCCCGTGCGGCTTGATGGCTGTCGTTCTGGTCAAATGGTGTGCTGGCCTAGGCGGATGGAGCGGTGAGTGCAAGGCAAATGTCATGTTTTGTTCGCAATTAGTCTTGGTGTTCTGATATGTTGAGCGTTGCATCTGGACATGAAAGGGCGGGGTATGCCACCGAAGTTTGGCGACTTTGAGGCCCAGCGACACTGGCTTGAGCTCACATTGCATCTGCCGTACTCGGACTGGTACTGGTACGACAAGGACTGGTGGGGGCTAGATTATCCACCTCTCACCGCATGGATCAGCCTGCTTTGTGCAAAGGTGTAAGCGAAAAGGACCTCGCAGACATTTCGTCCAGACAGTGATGCTCATGCTCACGGCATTCTCAACAGGGCCACCTTAGTACCCGGACTGTCACCTTCACTCGCACTGGACACGTCGCGCGGATCCGAATCGGCGCTGCTTGCTGTTTTCATGCGCTCTACCGTCCTGATATTGGACCTCCTCCTCTATGTCCCTAGCGTCCTCTTCTTCCTTAATCGTCGACTGGCAGGTCGTAGCTTACGCACGCGGAGCGTTGCTTCCATCTCCGTCCTGCTGCAACCTGCGCTGATTTTGATCGACAGTGGCCACTTTCAGTACAACAGCGTCATGCTTGGCTTGTGTGCGCTCTGCTTTGCGCTGCTTTACTCCTTTTTGCCGAACCCCGGTGCCTCCGTCGCTACAGCCGGATTTGCCGGATCGTCCCCCCCCTTGCTGCAGACGAGCAGCGCACAGGAGAATGCAGCGCGAACGAAGATCAAAAGTGTCACACGCCAGCTCTCGTATCAGTATATCCTAGCGGCCGTCACCTTCTCCTGCGCGTTGGGCTTCAAGCAGATGGCCCTCTACTTTGCTCCTGCCATCTTTTCCGTCATGCTCGGACGATGCTGGGGTCTTAAGCATATTAGATTTGACAAAGGGTTAGTCCCTGTGGGCTTCGCGTTATACATGCCTTTCAAATCTGAACCTATTTTGCATGATTTGATTGGCAGATTCGCCCTCTTCGCAGGTCTCAGCGCCGCAGTCATCGCGACTTTCTTTCTGATGCTTCTACCCTGGCTCACATCACTCTCGCAGCTCCAACAAATTCTCATCCGCGTCTTTCCACTCGCCAGAGGGCTCTTTGAAGACAAAGTCGCCAATCTGTGGTGCTTCCTCAGCTGCCTCCCCGTTCCGCAGCGCTTCAAACTTCGCAACGTCATGAGTATCAGTTCGCTTGCGCGACTCAGTCTGCTTACGACGCTCATTGCGATCTTACCGACATGTGTGCATCTATTCTGGGCGGGCATGCAAACCGTCAGCATAGAGACTTCAATCGACGCGGACACTAGGGCGCGTAACAGCGGCGCGAGCGTAGCCGGCTCCGTCAAAGGAGATGCTTCTCTCGCTGGCGCATCGCTGCGCGACGAAGCCCTGCCTTCTGGTACTAGACGGACGAGAAAGTCGTCTGTAGCCGGGAGCGACGCAGGTACCGAGCGGATGAGCATCTTTAGCGGTCGCACAGCTGGTGGCACTGCTGTTCGAAGGCCACCTGTCCTCTCGAACTACTTGGGTGATCAACGCCCGGTCACAATGGTCGTGCCCTCACCAGCGGCTGCCATCCTTCCTTACGCGCTGCTCTCGGTGTCGATGGCGTTCTTCCTCTTCGGCTTTCAGACGCACGAAAAGTCGATCCTCATCCCCTTGCTGCCTCTCACGCTCTTGATGAGTAGCAAAGGTGACGCTTACAGCGGAGGAGCCGGCGCAACAGACTGGGAATGGGCGGTGCTGTCGAACAATTTGGCTACTTTCAGCATGTGGCCGCTACTGAGAAAAGATGGGCTGATCGTGCAATACGTTGTGATCACCTTGATCTGGAATTGGGCCATCGGCTACGAGCCGTTCGCACACCTCAGGGAAGCACGCAAGCTCTTCGTCGGTTGGTTTTCTGCGGTGAGCATTTTCACGACATTCGCATCACAAGGTGACTCCTCTGACTCATCCATGCTTTCTTCACTTAGGCTGTCACGGCCGCCATACTGGCGCTACATGCTGCGGAGGTTGCCCTTCCCGCCTTGATTCCGTCTTCAATTTGGACACCGATTATCTCACGATACCCGGACCTCTTCCCTGTTCTCAATGTGCTGCTATGCGCACCTTGTTTTGGCCTGGTATGGCTCTGGAGCATGAAACGACAGATGGAAGTTGGTTTTGCAGCAGGTCTGGACAGCCTGTCTCTACTGCAGGGGCTTTTGCGCAAGCCTCAAACCAAGGGTGTTCGCAAAGGCAGTTGAAGATGAAGGATTGTGTATAGTATGCATGACTCAAATGATACCCTCCCTCAGCCAACTGCAAAGAAGACAAGTGCAATTGCGGCAGTACAAGTAAGTGTACAAATGCAGACCTGGTGGTCATTCACGTCTTGGCAATTCGTCAAAGAGGCGATCCAAAGCAAGGCGAATGATGTTCAGCGGGACGCGAATGTCGTCCCCCTGCCCTCTGCGCGGCGAAACCATGCTACTGTTTGTTTCGTCATCAAGAGCGGCTTCCCAAGAGGCAAGCAGCTCGCATAGCGGGTCGGCAAAGTCTTCTCTTAGACGCTGGAGCGTGACGGTATCTTTGATCCCGGTCTTGAAGGCAAGGGAGGGTAAGTTCACGATGACCTTGCGCGGGATGCCAAACAAGCCAACTCACCTTGTTCTCCACGTCCCTCCGCAGAAGATAGAAGAAGAAGTGAGACACCTCGCTAATCCAAGACGTTTTCTCCTCCAAAGCGTTCAGCGCACCATCATATGATGTTTTGAATTCACCCTCAGAGCTAGTGTCTGGTTTGGGAATACCGGTGGCGTTTAGAAAAGCCGGGAGCACCTCTGTGAGAGCGACAGGGTTCCAAAAAAGCGAGTCGGACGACGCCTTCTGATCGAGGACATCCTTAAGCAAACCCACGCAGGCAGCTTTGAGCGGAGGGTAGCTCGTCTCAAAGATAAGGTCTTTGATCTGATCGAGTGCCAGAGGCTCCTCCATCAAATCTACCAGAAGATCGCGAAGCATACGAATGCTGATGTGCCTTGAACTGGGCGCGGACGACAGAGCTGCATGCAAGGCAAGTAGCTGCACGAGTGGTAGCGAGACATTCTCTTCCAGCGGCTCGAGGCGCTCGGTGTCCCGACGCAAGCCCTCGAAGCACCACATGAGCCACAAGAGAGCGCCATCGGACAGAGCACTAGCGCGCCCACTTGATGCTGTGCCTGAAGCCGTGAGCATCGGTGGCATCTTTGCCCCGAGACCTGCCATCAGAGTCGGAAGTGCCTTCTCGAGCATCTGCTCAGCCTCAGATGGGGTCCACTCCCCGGGTGATCGAATGCCCAAGCTGTCATTGTGTAGGTTGCGAGCAAGAAGTTGGGCTAGCAACAGAAAGCTTCCCAGGGATATCGTGCCTTGCATTGTAGCCGAAGGGGATGATGCTTCTTCCGCGGCTGCATGGTGCTCGAATGCGAGCTCGATGAGATTGGTGCGCAGGCTCTTTGTAACTTCACTGATTCGAATCCACAGCTGCCCAGGCCCCTGAGCATCTCCCTGCAGCACCGTCCGGTCCGACGACAATGACATTATCGATGCAGAGAGAGGCGCAGTTGGAACTGAAAAGGGAGTCGTAGCTGGCCGATGGAAGGTGTACTTAGGCTCACGAGACTTGAAGTGGAGCTCAGCGAGGCTCGCCTCCGAGCCATTGATGAGGGGAAGGCTGGGAAGGAGCGATGTGAAGCCGCCCAAGAAGAGGGCAAGAACCCTCTCTGAGGCACCACCATTTGTTTGGGGCGCGGGCGTTGTAGATCCGGCCGCGCTGAGCATTGCAGCCTCCCATCCGATGAGCGTCTCAGTCAAAGCGCAAAGCCCTTCGCACAGCTCTCGGACGGCAGTCATCTTCAGCGGAGACTGCGGTTCAGTCCATGTGCTGGGACTGCTTGAGGAGTGATGCACATGAGAAGAGCGCGGCTCCTGTTGGCGGGAGGCCGAAAGGTCGGAATCTGCTGCAAGCTTGGCCATGAGGTGACGAACAGCTCTGGGTACTGTCTCAGTGAGTGTCTCCGTGAACTTGTGTGGTTTCTTCGACTGTAGTCTCGGGAGCACTGCGAACACGACACGTACGTCAGCTGTCACTGTCGTTGAGCTTCACAGCCTGCGACATTCACCTGTGTTAAGGACATTGAGGAGGCCCGACAGTTCTAGCGCTCCCGTCCAAACCGGCGCTGCGAGAGGCTCACGTGAAGAGTCTTCTGCATCCTCCGCTTCCGCTTGCTGTTCTTCCTGACCTTTCTCTCTCTTTGAACTTCCCGCCAGCATCAACTCCATACACTCTTGCACGGCAACGAATACTTCTCGCGGGCTCAGATTGCGGGCCGCGACCTGCAAGACGTCCGCACCCAGGAACCTGATTGCCGAACCTTGTACAGGCGGCGTCGTTCCTTCCGAGGAGAGTAGACCCTCGGCATTGATCCCAAGCGAGGGGGCTACTGCAGAGAAAAGGTTAAACGTCCAAGGCGACAGGATCGACTTTAGACGCTCAGGATCCGCCTGCTCCAAAGCAGAAAAAGTCTTGGACATTGTAACAAGAATGCCACGAGCGGCCGTGAGCGCCTGAGTGGCAGTCTGTGCGTCCGTGGCCTCGATGGCACGGCCCGAAGGGTCGATAACCTTCTCCAAGTGCGTTCCACAGTCGTTGACCATGGTCTCCAAGTCGAAACTGGATGGTGACTCTTCCTTCACTGCTGCGACAGAGGATAGGTCTTGTCGCACCTCCTCATGACCTTTGCGCCAAGGCTGCCTGCCCCTCGTGGCCGTGATTTCTGCCGCTGCCGTTTCGGAGGCGGCGGCGCCCCGCGAAGGTCGTCTCGAGCGAGTCAGCGGCGCGTGAGACCGGGAGCGCAGCATGCTTTGGCGTTGATGCGTGAACGACCTGCGCGAGGAGTCTGTGTCATTTCCATCGGTCGCAGCGTCGTCTTCAACATCAGAGGGCTCCTGTACTCCGCCGCGGCTTAGAGCATTCTTGACCACCTCGACTGCGCGCTCGTCCGAGACTTGAATGTATACCCTGCCCTTGTGGCTCGAGCGCTTGTTGCTGATGGGCATGTGCGCTGCATTGCTGCTGCCTCTCGTGCGAGTCCTTGACGAATTGCGCGAACATGGCGGCGAGCGCGATGCATTGATAGCAATGAGGTTCAGCAGACCGTCCGGACTCGTGACGATCTGCAGCGGATTCTGCAGCGGCCCGGGCGATGCAGCTTTGGGTGTATGCCCTTCGCCTTTCTCGTTGCTGAGCGTCGTTGATACCCGCTCAGTCTCCGTGCCTGGCGCTGGTACAGTCGGCTTCAATCGGAGAGTATTGTTCTCCACCGCAGGTTCTTGGAAAAGTGCGCGGCTAGCTGTCGGCATCTTGCACACCTCTGTTCCTGCAACAGAGCTCGCACGCGATCGCCTACTTCCGTATGCGGAAGAGGAGCGGCTATAGCCCGGACGTGCTGACAGCGCCGCGTGGGCGGAAGGTGACCGCGGGAAGCGGATGACGAGGTAGAACGTCAAACAATTGATCGCGCCCTTGTTACCCGAAGGCCCTGGCGATGGCTTTCCTTTGGCCCCTTTCGCAGCGCCCGCCTGCGCGCCTGCACTGCCGTTATTGCGTGCTGGTGTGCTGCTGCTCCTCTTGGTGTTCATGTCGCTCGTGCGACGACCGAACGCGGCCATGATGGTCTGCACGAGGGACATGGAGCTCTGCGACTCTTGCTCCTCGTCCTTGCGCTCGACAAGCTCCATGACGCACTCGAAGACGTAGACATGGCCCCAGCCGTCCGCGCGCTCGCCCATGATAGGGAACATGGGTGTCGTCGGCGAGGGCGGCAGCTCCACGGCCGGTGTCCCAGGCACGCTGAACGAGCCCGTGCCCGTGGAGACGATCTCGTGCAAAGCGTGGGAAAGGAGCGCGGACATGTTGGCTGCGCTGGTATCGGCCCAGCAGTGGTAGAGGACGCCTGCACAGCGGAGGCAGTACTTGATGAAGCTCAGCAAGCGCTGGGGCGGGTGCCCGGAGGTGTTGAGGAGTATGAGCGAGGGCGCTGCGGTGGACGAAGACGCAGCGGAGGCGAGGCGCGTTGGAGATGGTGCTCGGGAGCCGACGGGCGTCGCGAGGTTAGAGTGGAAACCGGTCATCGATTTGGCAAAACCGGGCGTTGACGCGATAGCTTCGGTGGCGGAGCGGGTGAGTAGGCGGAGGTGCATGGTGTGCGCGGGCTCGGTGGGGATGAACGTGGTGCTCTTGAACTCCTTTACACCCCTGTGCTGCTCTTCGAGGACGCTCTGCTGGTCGCTGACGAGCTGGGTAAAGTAGCGCATGCGCTTCACGCCGTCCATTTCGAGGAGCATGGAGACCTTTTCGCGCATGCGCACGTCGTGGATCATCGCAACGGCACGCTGAGCGCGGATGGCCATGGAGCGCAGACTGGCGTGCGACGCGCCGAGCGGGTAACGGATGCCAGTCAGGACGCGAACCATGGTGATGCCGCAGGTCCACGCGTCGACCTCTGGCCCCCAGTACTGCACTGCGCCCGGCGGGCTGGCGAGCGCGTGGACGATCTCCGGGCAATGGAACGCAGGGCTACCGCAGCACGTGGAGAGCTTCGGTTCGCTCTTGCTAAAGTGTGTCGCGAGGCCAAAGTCGAGCAGCTTGAGCTGCATTGTGGCCGGGTGCACGAGGATATTCTCGGGTTTGATGTCGCGGTGGCAGATCTGCAGCGGGTGGTGGATCGCGTGCACAGCAGAGAGCAGCTGCGTCAACACCTTGTCCGCCACGTCGATCGGCAGCTGCGGCTGTTGCGGCGGTTGCGTCTGGCTCATCATTGGCAGCAGCGCCTCAAGCGTCACGTACCCACCGAGGTACTCCTCGACAAGGTAGAAGTGGCCCGGCGTGCGGATCGTCTCGTTGACCGCGACGAGGTTCGGGTGCGGCGGCAGCTCGGCCAGCAGCGTTGGCTCGCGCAGCAGGCGCGTCGAGATTAGGTGGTGGTGTGGAAACAGCGGGGTGTGCTTGATCGCGTAGCGCTTCCCGTTTTTGACGGCCAGAAACACTGTAGAGAATTTGCCGCGCCCGAGAATCCTGGGTAGGACAGTGTACTCGGAGATCCCACGGCTAAGCAGCAAGTCGGCAGAGGGCACCTGGAGTGGCTGCGATTCCGGGGCGTGCGTAGCATTAGTATAGTCCCATCTGAGCACGCTAAAATGGAGACGTGGTGAAGAGACTCACTTCGAAGCGCCGACTCTGCACCACCTCCAAGCTCGGCAGGACATCCTCCGCAGTCCACTCGTCGCTGGTAGCACTGGAGCTGCTGCAGCAGCTGCTGCTGCTCGTAGCACACTCGCTGCCGCCTCTGTGCAGGGCTTGTTCCGCGCCTTGCGCATCCAGGGTATCCGCCGCAGTTGCTGGGTCCTGCTCGTGATGAATGGCATTGCCATTCGCGGGCGCATCCTCCGCGGCCGTTCGCATCTGCATACCGGTGCGCGTCCTGTGCTTGCGCTGCCAGCTCGCGGCGAGCTGACGCGCGTGCCAGTCGTCCACGCCGAGCAGGTCGAGCACACTGCTGCCCGCGCCGCGTGTGCGCTCCCACGCCTCGCGCTCTGCCGCGCGTGCCGTCTCGCGCTCCTTTTCGCGCTCGCGCTTGCGCGCCTGCTCCGCGGCGGACAGCGGCGGCGTCGTCGACGCGGACGCTGTGTGCTGTGTTTGTTGTTGTTGCTGCTGCTGGTGCGGCTGCTGACGGGCCGTCGAGCTGGAGCGCGTGCGCGAGCGTGCCGACGCATTGCGCGGCGTTGAAGCGTTGGAATGGATGCGTAGGTCAGTGCTACGCAGCGCAGTCGTCGCGGTGCCGGGCGCTACTGCTGCTGGAGAGGATGGAATCGAGCCGCTCGCAGGCATCGGCGTCAGCCTTGCTGCGCCCGAGCGCGTGCCATTTGCCGACACCGACGCCAACATGGCGAACGAGTCGGCGCCCCGCTCGAGCGGCGCATACCCTCGCCCTGCAGCGTGCGCGTTCGCGTCATGTGCTTTCCCCGCAGGAGTGGCAGCGGCAGGCAAATGCAGCAGAGGTGCCGGGCTGGTTATGCTGCGCGCGCGCGCGTGGCGGTCAGGGGGCACGTGCTCAAGCATGCCTCGCGATGAGTGGCATGCGCCACCGCTGTGCGCTGGACAAGCTGATTTTGCCGCTCGCTTGCGGGCGCTTATCGCCGCCGAGTCAGCTGCGAGCAGCGTTGCAGCGCCGCTGGCTGCAGAAGAAGAAGAGGAGGAAGAGACGGGGGAAGACGATGAAGGTGACGTCGGACGCTGCATGCCCTTGCTGGCTCCTGCATGCAACGCAGCAGATCGGGCTACCGCGACACCATCGTGTTCCATCGCAGCGAGAGAGGGAGAAGGATGGACGGACGGCGGCACAGCGAGCTTGAGGGGGAAGAGTCGCCCCGTCTTACACGCAGCACGGGCTGGCTCTGTGCACGGATGGATGGATGCGTGGACGGCGCCTCTGTAAGCAAGGCGGTTTCGACGTTGATGTTAGGTTCAAGAATGAGCGTATGCTGCAGGCCGCAAAGTTGTTGCGAGTGAATAGATGGGCGGAGGCTGATGAGAGACCCACTCCGATCCTGTTTAGGTCCCGGATGTGCCTTCCAGAAGAGGGTGCGGCTGGGTGGATGCTTGGCTTGCTGTTCACGAGCGTCTCCGGCAGCGCGGCCGTGCGGCTGTTAGCTGGGACGGATTCTTCATCCACGAAGATCCGAAGATACAGGCCTTGCGTAAGACGGAGCCGACCGAGGGCGAGAGAGCGATGCACGCTTCCGTTGCCCTCTGGCTCGCGGTACAATGCTCTTCGCAGTTAGCTGCTTGGCTCTGCGGCATTCCAGAAGTTACGCAGCGTCTACGTGGCGGCGGCGGCCTGTCGCCTTTTCCTTGCAACAGATCAAGACGTCAACGGCGCGAGGAAATGGGGCGACCGCGAGCGAGCAAGAGCCAAGGGCAGAGATGGTTTCTGCGCTGGAATGTGTGAAACGCGCTCTCCCTCTTTTTCTGTGACAGAGTCTGGACTCTGTTCTGTCTGCGTGAGTGAGAGGACTAGGCTGCAGCCGATCTTGCGATTGTGGCCTCTACTTCTCTGTCACACCCTTTTTGCTCTTCTTCTTCTCGGCCTCGTGTCGAGAACACGACGATGATGATGCTAGTGCTGCGGCTGCTGCTGCTGCAAGGGGCCGACCGGACGCCGAGGGTAGCCGAGTGGAGAAGAGGAGCAGACAGTTCTTTGGGGGGAGCAACCCTGCAAGCTGGACAGCGGGCCACGCCTTGGGATAGATGGAAAAGGAGAAGAAGGGAGTGCCCACAGCCAGGCAGCCAGCAGCAGCAGCCAGCAGCCAGCAAGAGGCGAGGATTGGGACGCGATTACTTCAGAAGATGGTGAGGTGAAACAGCCTCTGACATTCTCGAGAGTCCACAGCCGCCAGCTAACCCTCTCTCCTTGCGGCAAAAGATAAGCATGCGCCTGGCACTGCAGCAGTCTCCCACACGCACCACCCTAGATAACACGACACAAGCGTGACTGCGCCACA